GAATTTTTAGCAATGTATTTATTGTTCCATGTTACCTTTTAGCATTCCTTATCTTTTCTATCCTGGCCTAGCTTTTACATCTCTTCCTGTTAATCTGCACAGCTCAAATTTGCCTAGTCTGAAATCCATCATTGTGCATCGTTTAATGAGACATTTCTCCAGTCATCATTACTGCAGATCAATAGAAGCAAATCCCTGTCTCCTGACTGGTTTAGCTAAGGATCTCATGCATGACTGTCTTTCCAATTTGATCCAGTTCAACAGTCTGTTTCTCCCCCTTCCCCCCCCTGCAGAGATAGATATAAACCTTGAGCCAGACTGCGGGGGGTTTCTCTTGTATGGCCTTCCCTCTGTGCACAGCCCTCCCTGACCGACTGGCTGCTGTTGCCAGACAAACAGCTGTCTTAACAGTTGCACCAACAAATAAAAGAGGAAGGAGGGAGGCCAGGGCAGTGGAGGGAAGCTTTTTGCCCTAAGGGTCCTTGTTCATTTACTTTACTAAGAAATTCAAAATCTAATGGGGGCCCATGGCTGGAGGCAAAATGAGGATAATCTATGATCTTTGGAAAAGAGTGAAAATCCATTATCACTTAGTACTTCACATCAGCATATCTTTTCACGATGACCTCCCCAGGACAAAGAAGGTAAAAACTGATGAGTAAAAACTGAGATTTTCCTTTTCATTGCTCTGCCCTGTAGTCTGGTTGAGGGACTGACAGTCCCGCCTTTCTCACCTCTCCTAACTTTCCTTCCCATCAAGATAGGACTCATGAACGGTGCTCTATCTTCAAGGAATTTTTAGTGCTGTGTGAAAGGACACAAACAGCCCAGATTAGACACGAACATCTGCGGGCTTTGGGTGCCCCTGCCTGCCTCCTCAGCCATCCCGTGTTCAGTTTTTGTTGTCCTGCCGATTCCTGCTGTGTGCTGCTGTTTTGTGAAACTGTGCACAGATATGTTCAAGCAGCAGCACATAGACAATTGTTTCATTTGATGAGATTTTAGGTGCCTAACTCAAACGTGGTAGGAGATTAAAATTAGATTGCTGGAGTGGGTATTATGTTGAGTTTTTTGGCCAAACTTTCTGATGGAGGTTGCTGTCACAAGGGCGGGAATGATGGCACAACTCCAGGTCTGGATCAGCTGTGAGCTGACCATTTGAGAGCTTTTGTCCTGTACTATTAAAATAAGCTGAAGTTGCCATCGGTTTATGTTAATGTGTTGGGCTGTAACATTTTGGCAGGCCAGAAGGTGTTTCCCAGCTGATCTTTCTGGCTGTATGCGCAACAGCCTGTGGCTGTGCACTGGGGTGAATGGTAGAGAAGGCTGCCAACCCACCTTGAGCCAATAATTTTAATCTTCTGCTGTAAGTGCAGCAAAGCACTAAAGCTCTGTGTCTTTGATCCTTGGTCTGTTTATATTGTACCATTCATGTGTACATGTGCACAGTCTTGTGCATGTCCATGTACAGGAAAGTTTTCTTTTTATTAATTATGATAATTTCAGGTATAAAGGAGCAGTTAGTTACTCATTTTACTGGCAGTAATAATGTACATGTTTCTCCTCAAGGTATGATAGCCCTTACTCATTGCGATCAGGGCTGACCATTTGTCTGTACATAGTTCTATTTCTCTTACAAGAGACCCAAAAGAACTTGAAAGATGAATCCATAGTTTGTAAAGAGCTCTGGTATGTATTTCTGACCAAGTAGGGAATTGTGATCACGTTTTCTTTTCTCTGTTTTTCTCTTAATTCTCAGTCTTCTCCCTTGCAGATGTACAGGTCTGCAAGCATGTCTTCCTTGTGCTGCTCTTTGAGATAAAGGAAAATATATTCTGTAAGGAGATCTATAATATAAAGGATTAGGTGTATTAATGATATCTCACAAAATCTGGATCCCTACTTCCACATCAGGGTGCAGTGAAATGGAAGTGGTGTACTTAAAAATTACACTTAATGCTTTGTTATTTACAGATATTGCAAACAGTCCTTTTAAAGTTCGGCTTCTAAAGCCCATAAGTGCTCTCTTCTTGTAGAATTCCTGAAGTTCAGGTTAAAAATCTAAAGACTCAGGTGACTGTTACTATTTGTTCTCCCAATGTTTTCAAAGGAAGGTAAACAAGAAAGGAGATATTGCAGCACTTTTTTTCTTTGAAAGTCGTGGTTTATGGGATGTTACAGTGACACCTGGTGGAAAACGGTGCTGGAAGTTTAAGAAAAATTTCTGCATCATTTGAGTAGTTCATTTGAATGGTGTCTTTAATATTACTATTTTATTAACTAACTGCAATGGTTAGAGCCCATTTGTGAGAGGCATGTGTGCACTACCCCTATATGAGTGTGCAAAAGCTCAATGACAAGAATTATCCTCATCAATAACAACCAAGCTTTCTTGTTACAAAGAGTTCATTATGTCTATTTGACAGTAACCAAATTTCCTTGTCTGAAAAGCCAAATACTGTTTTGTTATTGTTACGGTGCTGTGGACTTTTTCTTCAGACTAAGATGCACCTTGATTATATCCCTCACCAGGAGTTAACCTGGTTCTTAACCTGGTGGAGTCTCTGTGCCTGGAAGTATTCAAGAAACCCATGGACACGGCATTTCGTGCTATGGTTTAGTTGGCATGGTGGTGTGCAGTCAAAGGTTGGACTCAGTGATCTTGGAAGTCTTTTCCAACTGTAATGATTCCATGATTCTATGTTTCTCATCTTCCAGTGCTTCTCCCTATACATCCTGAAAAAACACCCTAGATATCCTAACAATCAAAGAGTTTTTTAAAAAAAGCCCAAAACAAAAAATTTTTTAAAAGTTGACTATTTAAATGCTATTAAAAGATTTTCTAAAAAGTTTGACCTTAGGCATATTTTTTTACCTGTTCTACATCTAAGTTAGTAATTTAAACCCATGTCAGACAGCATTCTTAATCCTGACTGACCACATAGATCAGTTGTTGAACTCTGTCTGATTTTGATCCACATCAGCACTAGCACAAATAATATCCAGGAACAGTTTGGGACATAGTAAATCCAAGAGCCATTGACCATAGGTATTTCAGCTGTCCCTATTCTCTCTTGGATTATGAGAGATTTTTAAAGTGTGGATGTGGGTTATCCCATGTCACTTGCTGGGGTACTGATGTGGGTACATTGAATTAACTAGTATAGACCTAAAAGTCCTAGAGACCAAATCCTAAAGGTCCTAAAAGTCCTAACTATCCAAAGCCAAAGTTCTTTGCTTCAGGAAGACATTGCATCTGCCTGTCACCAGCTTCCTCTTCAGTGTTGCTGGTCACGTGAGCTCTGACGAAACTTCAGCCAAGATGAGCTGGATTAGCAGAGACCTACTGTTTAAGCAGTCAGACTAAACTGGCTTATTTCGGCTGGATCTAAGGAGCTCCTTCTTGATCAGCTTTGCTCATGGGCTGGAGTGGGGGCAGCGTCCTTCTGGAGTGGAGAAGTGACAAGCAAATTGGGCAGTAATTCCCCCACACCTGTGTAGCTGAAAGCCCTTAGCCAAAAGCAAATCTCACCCTAGATGAGCCTTAGTCTCATCTGGAAACTGCCTTGAATAGTGGTGAGGAGACTGAGATAATGCACAAGGAAACCCTCCAATGCTTCCCAGGGCAACTGGAAGAAAAAGAAGGAACCTGGTCCTAAAAGCCTTTCCTTCCTCGGACCATGTTGAGCCACGTGCTTCCCAATATTCATTGTCTTGTCTCCATCCTGGCTTTCCCTTTCCTCCTGCCTTTGTGCATTTACTCCTTTCACTGCATGGACAGAACAGCACAGGGGATTCTACTAGAGCCTAAGCCAGAAAATACAACATCAGGTTAATGCCCAACAAATCACCTCTGCTGTAGCTGGGTTAGTGTTAACTAGGTTCTCAGCCTGTTTTACTGCATGACTGCAGAAATATTTCCTTGGCAAGTCAATGGGCCTTGGAAAGGTATGGTGAGAAAGCAGGTACCCTTTCTAAGCAGCAATAACAGTATGTGCCAGCCTCAACTGATCATCAAAATGCTACATGATTTCTAAAATAGTACATTTGATTTATAATGAGTAATACATGCACAAAATGACTTAGTGTTTGTTCATATATACATACATATGTGTGTGTGTGTGTAAGCTGGATCCATCTTCTACTGCAGAATTACTCTGTGGATGTCTCTGCTGGTACAGCACAGATGTGCCACAGACCAGAGCCTGGATTTGTCTTAAGCTTGACTTTCCATGGACCTCTTTAACGTGAGTCTTCAACTTTTAACTTCAACTCATGACTCTTTAAATCAGACACACGATTTATCTATCAGCTTCATTTTTCTTCCATGATATGGATTCAAACTTACTTGTACAATTGTGTCTCCTCATCTAGAGAACCCCTAGCAAATTGGCTCTGGTTAATTTATGTCTAGATTGCATCTGAAGGCAGACACGGGTCTGTTCTGCATGACATTTTGGTGTGGAAACAGAACATTTGGAAACAGTCATTTAAAAAAAGATTAATTGAAGTTTTTGCCATGTCTGATATGACCAATGGTGTTCTAACAAAGTTATTCATAATCACCAACAAATTTTCTTAGTTGCGTTCACGTACAAATACTTAGAAATAGCTTAATCTAGTCAAAATTAACATTACGCTGTTTTTTCCTTCTGTTTCCCTGTTTCCGTGTGGCTCAGAACACCTGATTAAGCATTGCCCTTAGTTTTCTTTTTACGTTAATGATATTTGTGTAAGTTGATACACTGACTTTCATTTGTCAACTCTTTTGTTTCAGTGGCTTAATAAGAAACTATGAAATAGTGGTTGCGTAACTTCAAGACAAGTGCTCCAGGAAGCTGAGAAGCTGTTGAAGGAGCGGAGTGTAAACAAGGATTCAGAAAATGTTTTAATGATCGGACATGCAGAAATTTCACAGTTGTATATCCGTATCAACCTAAACTTGACTCTGTCCTTAAGTCAAGGGAAGAGGCAGATTACCAGATGAAATTGTTTAAGTTATGAAGAACGCTTGCCTGTGGTTTTTCCCCCTAAAAAGGCTTGTTGCTCTTTGGTGCCTGTGGATTTCTGCAGTTTACTGTGCTTTCTCAAGGAACTGTCAAAACTTATGTGCAAGTAACCTGGTAAGTTTTCAAAACCTGTACCTAATCTTTTGAAATACAGATTGTTGTTAGTACTGTAAGAACTTCATATGACATATCAGTGTTTTCAAAATTTCTCTAAAGGATGTGTTTTATTAAGAGCAGAATTTGAGAATGAATGTTTAACATTTGAATTTGTGGAATCCGGTAAGGAACAAATCCCACTGCTCTGACTGCATGCAATTACTGTAAATGCTAAAGACCCTGGATGGTGGGGAAGATAAACCTTTATTCTTTCAGTTAATTCACTTTACTTATTAATTTCAGTCTAGTCCTGGGCTTTTGTTATATAATCGAGGAAAACTGTAAAGTCACAAGAAATTTTCTTTCTGTGACACACAGAGCTATCCTGAACCTAGCTGCAGATTAATTTTTAAGTTAGCTGGTTTAAATTGTGGGTAATTCTGTAAGTATTAAAATTAGTGGTCACATCCTTAGTTTTATACTTTCTTGATACTACTTGGAATAGTTTGCAAAACATTCTATGAATGCAAGAAAAAGATAAGCAAAACGTCTGAAATCTAGACAATTTATCTGCCTTCAGGTGTTGCCTCCTTGCTTCTCTTTGCCAGAAACATGTTGATGTGTTTTAGAGCACTGTGTGTCTTTGCCTTTTTAAATGGACATTTTGTGCCTTGGTGCTAATTGTGGAAACCTGCTGCAGAGAACTATCACCTGCTCTATTTTATTACATACACTTCCCTGACAGTTCCTTTAAAACTATTTGGAGCTCTTGCACCAGTCAAAGAGTTAATTGCCTTCCCTGATGGAAACCTATCATGCAATGATAACTTTAATGGGGATCCTTTGATTTGAGTTTAAATTAATTCAGAGTAAGAAATAAGCTGCTCTTCCTTTCAGATTTGAAAGACAGGAAAATCACATTTATGTTCAGTGAATGTATTGATTCAGGTGTGAAAAATGTAATCTTTGAGTCTGAGAGTTGTAAATATTATTTTTCTCCTCTGGTCTACTTGTTGTGTTTGATTTTTTTTATTTTGTGAAAGCTTTGATTCTCACTATTGTCATGGTGTACCCAGTGTGCTGAAAATTTCTTACTAAGAATTGTTTCATTAAGGTTGCTCTTACCTGCTGTCAGGTCAAAAATTTAAGAGCTGCTATTCAGCTTTTCTAAGGTTGTTGCATACATCCTCAAATCATTTGCACTTCAGTGACAGTGATAGGTCTTGCACACTTTGGATGATGTGAAAAAGCAGGCACTTTCACTGGAGAGAACTTTTGGCAGGAGAGGAAGGGTGGTGGCTGTCACCATATGGCTACGTAAAACTCTTTGAAAAGGTGGCCAGACAAAAGGCATTTAGCTTGAAGGAAGGTCTTTCCGCTCCCAGGAGGTCAAAGCCACTTGGCTTTGTCATTTAAGCCCAACATATTTGTGAAGGATTTGTTATTGACTCAGTGAACCAGAATGGGGAGGCAAGAGCCAAATTCCTACCTCAGACAGTTTGACAAACACCATCTGATTTCACCAATGTCTTTGTTTGATGGTATCTCAGAAATCAAGTGAGAAGCTACTTATCAACAATAAATTTCTCCAGATGAGGAAATATCAGCCAAAGAAAATTTGGTTTACAAGAAGTTAATGACTTAATGTATTTTAATCAAAGAATTTTGAGGAAATATTTAAATTCTTTTTAAAAAGGGTATATATTCCTACAGGAAGGAGAACTTGGAATTACTAACCTTTGCAATGTTAGTGACATCACTGGAGCGGTGAGTAATGGTTTACTTTGTTAATTACTGACATTGTATGTTCCTGCTCTTTGAATACAATGGGTACAATGATCATATTTTCAAAGTCTTCATGAAAATGTGCACAGTTGCCCATCTGGCATAAGTCACTAAGTCGAGTGGGTAGATTTGGTTCAAATTATTAGAGGCATGGCTGTATTTTTTATTTAAAGAAATTGTGTAAAGGGTGATGATATCTGCTGTGAGTTATGTTCACATTTGTGATCTACAACGTTCATAACCTCTCATTTTTGAGACAATGAGTCAAAAGTGTTGCCTCCAACATGCAGTCATTAAGACTGTCTTAATTCAGTTTCCTCTGTACAGTTGTTTATTTCATTTTCTCAGTGATTCAGTGTAAGAAAACTCATAACTGTTGAACATTTAGAGTTCTCTGGGACTTCAAATGGTTGTGTCTGTCATGGGGGCTTAACCTGAACTTTTCATAGGAGTATTCTTGGAGGACTTTAGCTGATTTCCTAGTTCAGATTGCAAAGGCAGTTCAAGCTGGTGGTGATAAATAACACAGAGAATAAAAATTTTCAGCTCCCCTAAGGCTGCTGAATAGAGCTTAAACACTAACTGGAAAAAAAAGATAAAAGGATATAATAGTATGCATGCAGGATGATAAACATGATTGGAACCAGTGGAGAAACAGATAAAGAGGACTATAGTGGAGTTTTTGCAAGTTATGTGACAAGAACCAACAGCTCATGCCCAAAGAAAAAGTTCAAGGAATAGTCACCTTTAATATTGAAGCATTAGGTGAATATGGCCACCAGAGACCCCTCTTGATAAGCCTTCAGGACTATAACAGGACTTCCAGTAGGAGGCAGATGCATGGAAATTAGTTCTAGGACAGTGATGTTTATGTATTGAATAAGAAACACATTTAATATATATGATTATAGTGGATAAATAGTTTGTTGTAAAGTCTCAAAATACACACAGAAATAAGGAGATGTCCTTCCATGTGTCCTGTACAGACAAAGAATGCCTGCTTTCTAATGGCCCAGATTGTGTTAGGAAGTTTTTTCCTGCCAGTTTCAGTATCAGTGATTATACACATTCTTTGAAGAGTGGTGGAGAATTCAGTCTTCAGTATCTGCCACAGACTAGTGGCAAGCAGCCTCTCAGCACCTGGTATTGAGTGAGGCTGGGCCATTTACGATGCTGGGACCATAAAAACCTGTGTTGTCATGACAACACATAGCAAGGTTGACTCACCTGTTTAAGTTACTGAGTATCTTTGCTCAGTGTTATCAAGTTTTCATTATATTTTTCATGAGGCTTTGCAACACTCAGTATCAGTCTTCTGCTTTTAAAGTTGTTCCAGCTTCCCTTTAAAAAGAAAAGCTTTCAGAATCACTAAGAAGTAGACAAGACAGCATAAACAAGAGAGTCCAACATCAAAACTGAACAACATAATATTGCTTCTGAACTGAACAATATATTGTTTCTGTGAAAACTCATAGTTTTAAAGCCAGTGTCTATTGGCATGCACATGTGGGAGGGCTTGTGCTCAACAGCTTTCCTGTGTGCTTTTCTGTCCTGCACACTGCATATCTGCTGTTTCTGCACAGAGAGTATGTGGTAAAACAAAGCTGGGATGGTGGGAGTGCTGGCCATGTCGTGGCTGGCTGAGTAAACTCATTCCCAGAACAAGACTGAATTTATTTTGTTTTGTATTTGGTTTTACATGGAGAAGGGCACTATACAACATAACTCTCTTACTCTAGGATCTGAATACTTATAATACCCATGTGTCCCTCTAATGTACGGCTAGTGCTGGAGTAACCCTTGCCTTTGGAATTCTGCTTTCAAAGTAATTTTTAAAGCCATCCGCTGTCTTTGCAGTGTACACAGGGATGTCAGTTTTGGAATGCAACCGTGCAAACTGACTGTCCACTGAAATGTGTGAGTATTACCTGAGCTTTGGCTCTAGAGCACTTGTCTCTAGCCTGTCAAGTATCTTCTCCAATGACAGACATTCAAAATCCAATCAGAGCAGTGTTTCTATGAAAAGATGTAATGCCTGCATTTTTTCTCTATTCCCTATAAATTCTGTTTTGAAAAATTAATAATTCTTGTTACCCAAATTGCATCTAATATCAAAGGTTTTCAATTAGTTTGTCAGAATATATGTATTTTGCAGCCCATTAAGCTCAACACAGATTTTTAGACAGTGAGAATGCACTAGCGCTTTTCAGGACTTTACTCTACTGGAGCTGTTTCAGAGTTGCATGCAGATGTAAATGAAGCACATGGCCCTCAGTAGATTGATTTCTTGTTTTTACTAAACCAGATGTGTGAGAGCTAGCATTGGTCTGGGAAAACTGCCATGATAGGTTTTAAACTTCTAATTTTTCTGCATCTCTCGAACACCTGAATCTTATTCAACCATAGCATCGCTCTAATGTTGACATTCTGTTTTCCAAGGGTGGGTTTTCCTTCTTTCATTATTTGCCAATGATAATGTTTTGTAATGTACTTTCACTGTAAGAAATTCTAATGAATTGGTGTGCTATCTCTTTGAAATACTCTCTGATTATATTTTGCTAACCCCACATTTTATTACTTTTTTTTTTTCTTGGCAGAATGAGACATACACTAGAACATGTGAGGTAAGTTAAATGCCATCAGAGCAATACAAAAAAAATCACTATTTCAGTGATTGCCATGTCCACACAGTGCTAAGAAATACCATGTAAATACACAAACTTATCAATTCAGGTCTAATTGTTTTGTTCTCCCTAAAGCTGAAGAATGAGTTACATGTACCTTTTCAGCATGGCGACCAAGGACAGGTTTGCATTAAGAACTGCTGTGTGACAAAGAACATTGCTGTAAAGAAAGCAGACTAATCTCAGTATTATGAAACAGGACAGACCTATGTAAACCATGTTCTAGCTCTCACAATAGTGTTGTTCATCTAGTTTTTCATTAATTCCATCAAAGACTATCCTGAGAGAATGCTTGTTAAGGCTGGTATGATACAGCTTGGCAAGAAGTGGAAACAGAGTGGGAGCTAGAAGACAAAACTCTTGCCTGGATAGAGTCTAAATGAAAAAAATGCAATTCACAGGCAACATGCGGCCCCTTAGAAAGAGACCTCAAGTGGGGAGTGCTGTGGGTGGACTGGTGTTCACAGTGATGAGTTTGGGTCAACAAAGTGATGGGCACTTTCAGCATGAACATAGAGTGCAGGATGGGATGGGATTCCAGGATAGGATAGGATAAGGATGAGGTGATTGAAAGATTGTGTTTGGCCCTGTTGAGACCTCAGGATGAAGGCTGATCCCAGATGGAAGCAACACATTTCAAGGAGGAGATGGAGGAGTTGAAGAGAGTCATGAGTAGAATACAAACCCATTGGCAACCTGGAAATTTGATTGAAAGGATTTTTTTAAAAATGGTTTTTTAGTGTATCCAATTGTGATGATGACAAAAGTTTACTATTACACGAAATGGTGGGTTTGGAGTGTAGGACCAGCCCAAGAAGTAACCAAATTACTTTTGTAGAAACATAAAATGAATGTGGGTTTTTTTTTCTTTGCCTGTCTGGTCACACAATATGCCACTAAAATGTGTTGACTCTGCAAGGGCTTTTTTGGGATTATCTTTCCACTGGATCAGCTGACTGACTTGACTACCCACACGTCAGGCACAAACTGTGTCACTGCATCCAGAGGACCATGTCATTGCAGCCTGCAGAGCAAAGGAGTGGGAGTAAGAGTGGGGCTTTTTCTTTGGCATTAGCTCAGTTCTGTTGTCTGAATGCACCTTGTGACTGAAATCTGGTAGTATTTCTCCTTCCACCTAGGAACAGGGGATTGCCACTGAATTTCATGGGAACAGTCACAAGAAAAGACATCAGACTGGGCTTATATTGCTGATGGATGGAGAAAATATGAGGATTTATTGTTCTCAAGTAGAGCAGCTGGCAAATTTCCCTCAAAATTTAAAGTTAGGAGCCTTAGCAATCCTCTTGCCTTAAGCAAAAATCGGATTTACGATTCAGGTTCAGACAAAAATCAGAAGAAAGAATAACACAACAAATAACAAATGTTCAGAAATACCTGTGTTCAATGAGGCAGAAGGCACAATGGATCAGCATGAAATCTGGGACACTACCCCTTAAAAAAAATTAGTCATAAATTAAAACTCCAGTGTACACTAGACAACTACTAATACCTGAGTTTTCACCTGCTAACAGTGCTGATAATTTACTTGGAATTATTTTATTTCTCTGAATATGAAACTATTGGAAAAAATTATAAGTGGTGGCACTTGGCACTGAATGTCTAGATGTGACATAATGTATATAGGAATATATAGCTAAACAAGTTTTGAAATCTGTCTTGGTTGCAACTGTGTTGTCTGAAATAACATGTCTTATCAGTTTCCATGGGGTGCTGGAAATGTGTTTCCTCAGATCATAGGAAGAGCAACTAAAAAACTTCCCTCAGTTGCCATAATGAATTGCTTCTGAGTGATCTAAAGGTTGATTATCACTTGAAAGGTGCTGCTGTATGGAGCAAACTTCAAGATTTTAAAGGCTGAATGAACTTGAATAAAATGAGCCCAAACAAACCTCCTGCCTAGAAAAGCTCAAATCTCCATTTCTCAAAAGGTTTGGATTTCCAGGAGACTCAGTCTTGCATGTAATTTTAAAGCTACTGAGACCCACCTAGAACATGTTCCTCCTTCTTCTTTAGTTCCCTACATAAAAAGCAGGATGACACTGTATTTATTTTCCCTACCTGAACTGGAAACTCAGGAATTTTCTGTTCTTAGGACGTCAGTGTGGAGCTCACTGCCCTGGGGTATTTGTTATGTTTGCAGCTTGAAGGCACAACTGTAACAGAAGGAGTAGCTGCTGAAAAGGAAGTGTGAATTATGCGTGGCTACCCTAAAAAATTGTTTTCAATTTCAGGTATTTTGAAAATCCACTGGTAATACATTGTAAGAATGTGCCTCATTCATAGGGAATACATGAAGCAGGAAAGGGTGAAATGTAACATGTGGAATATATTAGTAACTAGTAAAAAACCTTATCTTCCCAAGTCCGTGGTCATCACTGAAGTCTATTTCCAGCTGTAAAGTAACCCCATGTTCATGCTTTCCACAAAGGGACAGTGTGTGAGGAGGAAACCTTTAATTCAGGCCCAGTGAATTGATGAAAATGCTCTCAAGAAATCTTTGGAGTGAATTAATGGTAGTGCTGTTTTTTAGATTTAATATAATTATTTCCATAGGGTTTGTGTATATGCAAAATGTCCACAGAATTTGTATGCATTCAAAATGTGTCTGCATGATTCTGGAAGGAAGTTTGCCTTCACACAAAGCTAACCAGTGAGTTCTGTGCCCTACACAGACAGTTTCCTGTAAGTTTGGCTGTAGCTGTGCAGAGGATGCATATGGAGTTGAAGCACTAAGTAAGTCTGAATAGAGTTCTGTGTCCAATTGACAGTCTGATAAATTCATAGTCTCCTTCTATGATCTGGATCTATTTAAAGAGTATTTTCATTAATCAGAAAACTAGCATTCTTTTTTTTAATAAATACACTGAAGTTTATCTTGGAGTAAAACATTTTTCCCTCCCTTTCATGGACATGAGACTTTTTGAATCCAGTCTCAACTGTTTGAGATGATACCTCGGGCTGATACAGTGCTACTGAAACAGTCGCCTTGAAAATATTTACAGGAGTCTCTTGCGCCGTCTCTATGTTTCTATTCAGAAAAATTTTGATAAGTAGCTGTAACTAAAAATGCATTTATAAAAGTATGGGCTAGTAGTCACAACTACTCACATTGAACCTGGCCCATTTCTGTCTGACTTATCAAACTGTCTTTAAAATGCCATGTGAGTTACCCAGCAACATTTTCGATATATTCTTTTATGTGTTTTTATGGGCTTTGCAGCTTTTAGGTGTGTGAGGTAAAAGGTTTTTGAGATGCAAGGATACTTTTATATTGTATTTTCCCCTCAGGCTACTTGAACAAACCTAGCGCTCCATTTGCATCTGCCATTGGAAACCACAGCATCACATTAGGGTGGAAGGCAGCTAACATCTCTGGGGTGAAATATGTTATCCAGTGGAAGTTCAACAAGCTCCCTGGTGACTGGAGGTACACAGAGGTAAGGGAGGACACCTCCTTTTACTTTGCAAGGAAATTGGCTCTTCTCTGCTCTTTTTATATGTATATTTATATATATATATATTTTTTTTTTTTTGAAAGATATTGGATAATATGTTAGGTACATGAAAGAGATTTTCAAAATCATGAGTGGCATGGGGAAACTGAAAAGCAGTGGATGATTCCCCATTTCCTCCAACACAGGAACTAGGAACCTTGATGGAAACTAGCAGGTAGCAGATTCAAATCTAGCAAGATGTCTTTCCTCGCAGAATGGGTCGTTGAAATGTTCAGCTACTTCCTGGCACGTGTGGATGTTAAATTGCTAAATTTAAACTCCTGAATATTAAAATTGTTAAAATTACTAAATTGGGTTTGAAAAGTGACTGGAAAAATTAGCAGAAGAAAAAATTGTGTTCTGCTAAATGCAAATATTCCCATTGTTTCATGTTGAGTCATGCTTGTGAAATGCCAATGAGAATATTCAGGAGAAGTATGGCTGTAGGCTTTCTTCTCTCTCTTTTTTTTTTTTTTAAATACTTTTCCCTAGAGAACTTTTTTTGGTTCTTGTCAAAGCACAGTACTTGGCTAGAAAGACCTTTGTTCTGACTCAGTAGAGTTATTCTCATAATTTGTTCTTTTGCGTCAGCTGTACACTTGTTATCTTGCCATCATCTCTATTGGACCAATTTACAGGGCATGACAAGTTGGTGCCACAAATCAAAGGTAAAGATAATTTGCTAAGCAGGAAGTTATTCTGAATGAATCATTGATGAAATAATAGGGAGCAATTACTTCAGACAATAAATATTTCAATGTAACTAGGATCCTTTGTATCTGAAACCTGTGGTGTATGTTTAAAATACATTGCATGTAATATGCTTCTATTTCAGTTTTTTTTTTTTTTTTTACTTTTTTCTTAAAATTTACTATTGTATTGCATCAATCCTTTGATCTACCTGCTCATTGCTGAGATTTGGTGCTGTGTTCTGAGGAAACAGAAGGGAAAATGTTTTGAAGTGATGGAAAATCAATGTCTATGCTGAAAATAATTTTCAGAATTTCCTCTTAATTAAACTTAGGATGCTGCCTTTTTTTATTCTGAAGTATGTATATTGTATGAAACCTCTTTTGCCCTCATAACATCCTACACAGTAGCTGCAGCTGGAGGAAAGAGAAGCCCAATTGTGTTTGTGCACTACTCTAGGTGGTATCTGAAACTTCATATAGCATCAAAGACCTTCAGGCCTTCACAGAATACATATTTCAAGTGGTTTGGATCATTACATCTCAGCTGCAGCTCCATTCTCCACCCAGCCCCAGCTACCGGACACATGCTTGTGGAGGTAATGAATTGCACTGTTAAGTACATCTTTCAGGACTTTAACAGAAACATTTGAGTTTCATTGTTGTTTCTTTGGCAGAAGACATTGATGATAATCTTTAGAATCACGTGTATGTTGTCTCTTGGGTAGCTGCAGAAGACCAAACTAAAAAAACTATAGGTTCTTTTGGTTGGACCTAGAAGAATTGAGGCTTCTCCCTGCCTTTGGTTTTAGAAACAAGCACAGAAACCAGGACAAAATTGTGAGGGCACATGGGATACTTTTGTACATAATTATGCATGTATTTGATTGAAACATAGTCCTGTTTTCCTGAACATCATAAAAAAAGCTGAAATGCGGCTGGAATGTTAACTGTCCCTAATAATATTTGTTGGTGTATAAATGAATTAACAAGTGTGGAACCTAAAAATGTATTTAAAAGTTAAAATAAATTAATGTCTTAATCAAGTGCTGCAGTCAGATATTTCTCTCTTGCAGCTCCTGCAACAGCTCCTGTCATTAAAGACATTCAGAGTTCAAGTCCAAACACTGTTGAAGTTAGTTGGTCTCCACCACTTTTTCCAAACGGATTGATTATTGGATATAACTTGCTCCTGACCAGTGAGAATCATGAATTGCTGAGATCCTCAAGAAGGCACAGCTTTCAGTTCTACTCCACCTTCCCAAACACAACTTACAGGTACGAAAAGAAAAGATAGCAATGTGGTCAAGTATGAGGTCACGCTTCTTTCCCAGATAGCACCAACTATGCCTTAACACCACTTCTGCACAATTTTGTTATTTACTTACATCCTTGCCAAAAGCAAGGGCATCTTCCTTGAGGTAACAGAGTTATCCCAGGTAACTTGGCTGCTTTTGCAGAAGTCAGATGGGGAGGAAGGAAAAGCAACTGGATATAGGGCTGGGAGGCTGCATTATCTTAGCTGCTGTTTTTAATTTTTTTAGGCTTGTGTGGCATGTCTTTATTATAGCCAGAGAAACATAGAGTGGCCTTCTCTACCTCTGTAAGCATCTGGAAAAATTTATTCATTTTTATTAAATGCAGATGTCAGCATTCTGCTTGCACTGATAAATGCAGATCTTCCTTGGAAATGAAGTTGAGTTGTTCTTCTGAGTCTGAAAATATATTTTTAATTGAAATTTAGAAGATTGTGTTGTTGTTTTGTGTTTGAACAATCCAGACTTTTGTTGGTTTTGTTTTTATTCTAAATTTTCCCAGAGCATTATATTTAAATGGGCATTTTCTGAAAGTCGAACGCTTCTGTAGCAGCTTCCCTACTGGGTAAAATATTTCCCAGGCAATCTTTCAAAAGGAACCTGCCAACCAAAACCTGTCTCTTTGGTGTGCCATAGGTTCAGTATTGTGGCTGTTAATGAGGTCGGCGCTGGACCCCCTGCTGAAGCCAACGTCACCACCCCAGCATCCAAAGGTAAAAGAGCAGCAGAGTCCTTACCACTGTTCCTGGGGACAAACTCATCTTCCCTGGCCTGCCACATTCCTGGCAGGAGTATAGCTATTTAGACTGTGAACATGTCAAGGAGGTGTACACTGAGGAGTCAATAACACATCAGAGAGGGTCCTGTTCTTCAGCTGTGGGTGTAATAAGGCACATGAACGGTCACTTAATGTGAAACCCTTTTGTCAAAAATTCTCAATTATCTCAAGCCAAGTATGAGAAATCATACCAATTTTTTTTTTGCTCTTTCACTGAGGTATTTGTTTTACCATATCAACTAATTAATATTGAATGTAATGATGCATTATAGCTATTACTCAAAGAATTGCAGAATTATTAATTGGCAGAGAAAGATACACGTTGAGATAGAACACAAATAAGAGTGAAATCGATGTTATCAAAATGTTCTTTTAGGAAAGAAAATAAAAGACCTTCCCTTCTCCTGAAAAGATTCAGTTGTCAAACACCTGGAAATGCTTCAGCTTTATAAAAACACTTCAAGACTGTCTCTGAATTGCCATTAGTTAGAGAAACTGAACTTGTTTCTCTAGTGCTTTTTAAAATATTGGTTTTTTTTTTTTTTTTTTTTTTTTTTTTTTTTTTTGTCTGTGTGTATTAGCTCAGACACACTAATGTTTCCTTACTTACAACTCCACAGAGGTTTGCTGTAGGGCTGGCTGACCCTGAGTTATAAATATTTGTGTCATTTTTGAAAAGTCTGGACTGCATTCACTATGTCAATCCAATTGCCAAGCAATTAATTTAAAGCAGAAAACAAACAAAAAATAAACAAACAAATAAACCCTATTGCCCCCCCAAACCCCTGCCTTATGGGGGTGGGAAACACAAACAGGAGCAGCCCTTTGTCATGTATCATGTCCAGAAATGGTGCTGCTGCATCAGGCACTGAGCTGTGTAGATCTGAGCCCTGAGAAGGGTAGGGAAAAGAATCTGATTGCTGCTGTAGTTTGAGAGAAACGTTACTTGAAAAGAGATAAAGAGGTAATATTGGCCTCTTGTACTTTGCTCTGAAGGCATCATTATTGAAATTACTCACAGTGCACCATGTGAGAAATTCACAGCAGCTCAACCTATGCAGTTTATCTGGGAATAAATTAAGACAGCATTTGATCACAGTTTTGTGATATCCATATGAGGAAATGATAGCTGATTGCAGACAGCTGCTTAAGCTGAAGAGGAGAAAAAAAAGGCAAGGATTGTTTGCTGATGGAAATTAGCCAAAATCATACTTGAAATAATATACCACCTTTAAAAAGGAAGGTAACAATCAATTTAGCAGGGTTTCCAAGGATCTGAGATTCAGAAGCAAGGCAAGCTATCTTTCCCAGGGTTATGTATAGCCCAGACAGAAGGTACAGATTTACTGAAATGGTTTTGATGTAAACTACTTGGACCTTTATAAGCATGAAATCAGTTTATGTGACCAAAGCTATCCTTGCTGACTTTAAATTCTGTGACTTTATTAGAAAAAAAAATTATAAGTTTATCACCTTTGAAACAGATAATATTATCCCATTGTCATCTTTGTCTGTAATACGTACTTGTTTTTTGAATAAATCACTAATCATTACAATAAAACACCTGAAATAAATAAACTTACCTTGCTTTTCTCCAGCTCTGTGGGACAATATTTTACTTTGACTGGGGTTATCAAAGAAGTCCAGAGGGGTTATATGTCCTATTTCTGCTGGATCTTGAAGTCACATATATGTCTTAGTGCCTTCATTTCCTCGACTCAGTAAGGCTTCATTTGCTCCAGCTTACTTTCCCTCACTAGGGAACTGGTTATTGTTGCAGGAATGATGGTGTGAAATTCACATGGCTTGTTCTCACCCTGTGTGAGGAGCCAGAATCAACTGTAATGGTGAATAACTCCATATACTTTCAGCACTCAAAGAGTTTAAGTTTTGGTCTGTCACTGCTAATGTAAGGATGTATTCATACCTGCAGACATACACTGGGCACACGTTTGGGCACACGTGCACATACATGTCTGTTAATGATGTGTCTGAGTTAGTGACGTGCTGTGGTCATCTAAATTCTGAATTTCTCTGTTTGCTAGTTAAGGAAAAAGCAGCATGGCTCTTCCTTTCCAGAAAAGAGTCTTTAAGGAAGAGATACACAGGACATTTCCTTGAAGCTGCTCAGTGCCTGCCAAATGGTGCTGTACACCACAACATCACAGGTAAAATCGGACTGGGCTCTCTCTTTTTCTGTCAAGTGTCACTAAGACCTCTTTATACCAAGGACAGAATGCACCTCACATAGCTTGAGACAGTGTCTAGTCTCACTTTATAGTCAATCAGAAGAAATAGGAACTTTCAGGACATGATTTGATGTATTTGAAGTGACAGGCATTAGGAAGTGATAAATGGTTCTCCCCAGTGCAACTGTTTCTTTGCTGTATCTAGGCAGCTGGTTCATTTTTTACATTGTAGGTATCTAAATTGAGGTAAAATGAATCCACGTTTCTCTGTGATCAATTTCTACTTTTTCTCAACATGAATACGGGGAAATGAAGCAGGTTCATACTTCTGAATAAAATAATACCAAGAGCTAAAAGATAGTGCTAGTGTGTTAGCATACTAAAGAAATGAGGCATTTAGCAGCCAAAGTCACCAGATAACCATGTTATCTCAAATTACTCACTGCTTCAATGTTTCTTATCTACACTGGTCCTTGGTGACAGTGTGGAAATCTGAATTTATCTACCAAATTTCTCAGAGCCACAAAGGCTCCGGAGAAAGAATGTTGCCCCTGACTAAATAGCCTTTACTAGTGCAGAGGTGGCACAGATTATCTCAAACTTGAATTCTAGAGTGAATTTGCCAGCTGCAACTGTTTGACCTGTAGAGGGGCAATCAGTGTCGGTTTGCATATTACATGTCTTCTCTTTGATTACCTTTCTGAAGGGCAATTCTCTATAATAATGTCACTTACATAGCAAATGGGAATGTTTCCTTATTAACTGAAAGTGTAGAAGTGAGAAGAAAAAAGCAATTAACTTTTCTCTGATGATGATGGGTTGCAGACTGAAAAATACATGTTTTTAAGGCAAGGAGAAAAATTGACTGAAAAATGGAAACTTTTCTTATATTATCTGTGTGCACATATCTTTCTGTTTTTAGGTATTTCTGTGAATATTTATCAGCAAGTTGTCTATTTTTCTGAAGGGAATTCTATCTGGGTGAAAGGAGTTGCAAATATGTCTGATGTATCTGACCTAATGCTCTTTTATGCTGGCTGGGGGAATATTGTGTCCATCTCAGTAGACTGGCTTTATCAGAGGATATACTTTGTCATGAATGAAAAGGTAATGCTTTAGTGCTTAATTAATTTCTTGCTTAATTTGAACCATTGCATGATTAATTTTACATGAGAAAAATATGATTTATGTATAGATATGTATGCAAAAATATAATTATAGAAATATATTTTAATATGACATTAACATTCACATATTTAGTAATTTAGAAAAGAAGAAATGCCTGACTATCAGGTCATATTTAAAGTAAACACCCTATGTGGAACTCTGGCACCTTGCCTTATTTTACTCCTTAGGACATAAGTGTTTTTGTTTTAATTTGTTTTTGAGACTGACTTCACACCCTCCTCAAACCCAGTATTGACACACTGTTTCTCTTGGTTATCCATCTACTCTGTTCATTTCCTACTCTGCCTCAGGAAGGTGGTCAGATAACTAGATAGTGATTTTACTGTCTGTCATAACTGACAAAATATATTAAGTGTTTCATACAATAGCAACAGCTCAGATTATAGCTGCTTCAGTTTGAAGTGAAAATGGAGAATAACCCTGCACTGGATTTCCTACTCATAAAACATCAGTTACACTAATGGTCAGGCTTTGCATGAAGCCATGTAATCCTCTAATGTACAAAGGACTAGAAACCTGCCCATAATGGTTAGTGGGGATTTTTATTTTTTTAATCCTCTTGCCATGTTTACTGCACAGGGAACAGGGAGCAGGAAAAGCAGTAGTGATGAAAATATACAAATGAGCTGTAGATGAACAGACCGATGGCAGAGATGTCTGAATTCCAAGGTATTGCTTCCAGGACTAGAAAGGCACTTCCCTTCCCTGCCAGATCATTTTCAAAGTACAGTTTGACTATGCCCTCCAAATTGAGTACAGGCAGTTGGGTATACAATTTTCCCTCCACCTTAGAGGTATGACTGGCAGCTTCAGGGTAAGCTGTTGTGGCTTTGTGTACAAGGGTTATACTTGGCTGGCTGAACACTCAGGAGCCCAGAAGGACCTGGGACTGTGAGAGAGGTGTTTCACCCTCCCCATCCCCTGAAGGAATCTCAGGTCAGCTTGTCTTCTCCCTATGAATGCATCTCCTGTTTTTCTTCTCATTCCCCAGATACATGTGTGCCACTTAGAGAACTGCACGGTAGCTGAAGACATCACTCCTCTTTACGTGAGGTCCCCTAGGCAGGTTATAGCTGATCCCTATAATGGGTAAGTGAACTCCTGTGAGCACGTGGTGCCAAAGGTGCTATAAAGCTCCTCTCTAATTTCCTCCACTTCATTAGTCATCTAGGTTCCTGTTTCAAGCACTTAAGTTAACAAAACAAAAGTACAACAAATAACAAGCTACAAAAAAATTGGAACAAGAGAGATGCCATGTAATATTGTTTCATGCATTTTCTTCTTTAGGGCATTAGCAGAAGAGATAAAGCTTTTCCAATAAGAAATCTGAGTTTCAGAAATTTCATGCTTTTATGAATTTGAAGCTCTACGAATTTTAAATGTTCATGCTTAGCATTTAAAGTATTATAGAAGAATATTCTCCAATAATGTGCTATACAAATTCCCAGAAGGTAAAAACTGATGTGTCTACTTCCTCAGAATATATATACTAATAGTGCCAAAAGCATTTTTCTATTGTGCATAAAGACAGGTACATGTCAGCTGCTAAAATATTTGTGGCTCTACAGACTTCTTGCACTGTATTTATTTGGGTTTATTTTTCTCTATGGCCAGTTATATCTTCTGTCTCCTGGAGGATGGCATATACAGAGCAAACCTTCCTCTCTTTCCTGGCACTGCCTCCTCAGCTTCACTGGTGGTGGGATCCAGTGCTCTGAGAACCTTCACGATTGACTTCCAATCTAAAAGACTCATTTTCTTCAACAAAACAGAACAGGCCTTTGTGTCAGGTTTTCTTGATGGTTCAGAGTTTCACACACTGAGATCACACGTGCCATTTAATGATATGGAGAGCTTCATTTACAAGGATGACTCATTTACAGTCACAGATGGCTCAGCAGTTTTCCATGAAGAGGTCTCTCCAGTGGGAAGTTCTAGCTTCAATGAGTACATTGTGGACTGCAATTTGCTGTACCCAGAGTATTTTGGCATTGGCAACTTGGTTGTCTATGGGCCATCAACTCAGCCTTTTCCTTTACCAACTGCTCCTCACCTTGTCACGGCTCTATTTGGATTGGACCAAGCTGTGATCAGCTGGAGACCGCCTGAACACGCCATTGGAACCAGTAAGTTCCGCCAATTATCCCTGAAGGTTCACTTATTTTCTTTCTAGAGGAATAACTTTCTGGTTTCCCTTTTCTTGATTTGGACTTTAATGATTTCAATAGCAAATCCTGATGGAAGTTATGGAATTACCTCTGCTTCAAAAATTTAGCCCATATTTGTCAGTAAAAGAGCTAAATTGTCTAAATTAACACAAGTTTGTGTTGGCAACTCATATGCCCCCTGCAAGGATTTTAAAAAAAGCTTTATCTTAAGTATGTTTTGGAGTAGCAGTAATGCTGGGTACTGGTATCACATAGGAAATCATGGCAGAGATGTAATGACTTTTGATCAGTTATTGTGCTATGGTTTCTACCCTCTGTGCATGTGCCTTTGAATACCAGAAAATCACTTGGCCCGGGAAAATTTCTAATTTCTAATTTAATTCTTCCTGGCAGACTGAAGCATGGGGCCAGAGGGCAAAAGTGTAAATTTTTAATGTATCCCTTTCCTAATTCCACTTGGCATTTTTGAAAGGAGTCTCCAACATACAGCTTTCTCAAAGGACGTGTATCACCAGTTACAACCATTTACTCTTTGCTAACACAATTATTTGCTTCACACAGGTTTATCTGCTTGGCAGAACTGGACCTATGATGTGAAAGTGTCACCTCAGCACCCATTTGAGGAGGAATGGGTTGTCTCAAATATTTGTAACACAAGGTTTACAGTGAATGAGCTGGCCAGCTTCACAGCATATGAGGTGTCAGTCAGAGCTGTGTCTCCTGCTGGTGCAGGGCCATGGTCAGAGTCATTTAGAGGTACAACTTTAGAAGAAGGTGAGAATTGCTTTGTCACACAGAAAAAATGAAGAATAAAATGTGTATAAACCTTTCCACTTAGTGAGGCACACACTTTGGGCAAAGACTGCAAAATAAGGGGCACAAAAAGGTTTTTCTTAGAAATATTAAAGAACACAGGATAAATAAATTTGCTTTTATTTAAAGTAGTAAGATTTTCAAACTGGAATAATGATATTACATATTAACATTGGTACTTACCTACATTTTTCTAATGCAAATACTCTGTCAAAAATATTATTTGATATGGTAAAAGAGGTGTTATCCATTTTCTTTGCTCTGTGAAGAACTTTCTATGATGAAGTGGTTTGTGCAATGCCCTGAGGGTAAATGACAATTCATGGAAAAGTGCAGCTCACCAAGTGCTGAAAATCCTTGGTTTGAGCTTAGATAATCAGGGGAAATGAATGTGTGCAGAATGTCTGAGATTTCCATGTCTTTGGAATGTTTTTTGAAACCTCTTTCACCCAAACTAACCTAAGTCTGAGGGGAAAATATCTTCCAGTTTAAGGTGCTGAACTGGCTTAGGGGTGACTTTTACCTGGCGTTGGTAAGAACAGGTCCAAACCCAGAGTGCTTTTTAAGCATCTAATAGGATTCCAAATTGCCTTATTGTTCTGGATCTGAAGCTGCCCTGAATCTCTGAATTTCTCAAATTATGATATTTTCATACATTTCTTCTTTGTCCTTTTTTCCTTAGGACAGGAACAGTTTTAAAGATGCTTTTGTAACTTTCCAGAAACAGGAACTGCTGCTATTGAAATACAAATATTATAGATAAATTGCTTGTTGGTGTGCACAACTGCAGTTTTCTTCCTTTGTAGCTGAAGAAGAACCATATATATTGGCTGTGGGCCCTGAGGGTCTCTGGAAGCAGCAATTGGATAGCTACAGGCAAGGAGAACTCCTCTATCCTCATATAAGAAATGTTTCAGGTACATACTAAACAAATTGCATGCTGCTGCTACAGTCTTTTTGGCATTTGTTAGCTCTCCATAAATTTCACCAACAGCACTGAAAGACAAGAGTTCTCTAGACTTGAATGTTGTGCAGTGCAGTACAGCAGCTTCACTGAGCCAACACTTTGGGTTCATCCCCTTTCTTCTATTTTACGAGTCAAATTAATCCTTAGTGAAACCCTTCGGACATCACCACAGTTACAGCAGTGCTAAAATCAACCCTCTGAACTAAATAGGTCTGTCTCCAGCATCCCAATATATGTCTTACATTTATAATAATCAGGGTTATATATGTACAATACATGTACATTATTTCCTATAACGAAGCATCTACCTTCATATTAGCTGAGCCTAATCGTGCATATGTATTAATTTTTAAAAAGATGAAGTGCCTGAATTCTTTTTATTCTCTAAAAATTTTTTTTGGACTTTATTTACATGTTTGTGTAATGCTTAACATCTTTCTTTCTTCGAGACCTCGACTGGTATAATAACACTCTTTATTGGATTAATTCCATGGGGGAAGTTCAGACCTGGACATTGAACAAAAGAAAGGGTACCAGTGAGAACACTTATGTATCTGACGTCAGAAATGCAAGGATGTTGGCCTTTGATTGGTTGGGTCAATGCTTGTATTGGGCTGGCAAAGCAAATACGGTAGGTATAACTGCATTTCTTAAAAGAAAAAATCCCTTAAGTCAACAATAAGCACTGTAAGGCAGTATTTGGGAAAATAATCCCTACTTCTTGCAACCTGAGATACATTTGGACCTTTGCTATTATAGTGTAGAACAAGGAGGCCTTTCTTTACTTAAGTGGTTTTCCACAGTTATACAAAAGTTTGGAGTAAAATATTCACTAACATTCACTAATGCAGGATACTGAATTCACCAGGTGCAAAACAGGCAAGCTTTGTTGGATTCAACATTGTGAAAATAAATGAAGATCGTGAAAATGGAGGCTGCCCTATTGATCTCAGCCAAGAAGTAGATGGACTTTATTTTAATCAAATTTGGCACTATTTGTTTACACAGAGATTTTCAAGGTTGACCTCTGCTCTGTGATATTTTGCAGATCATTGCAGTTAAAAAATAATTACAATTGCACTTTGTACACTCTCATATCAGGAACACTGACATGTGAATTATTTAAAAGGTATCTGACTTCAAAATTGTAGTGCTAATTTATGCAGTGCTGTCAAATTATGCCTTTCATTTCTTGTAAGTGCAAAGTCAGAAGCTGTTTTAAAAACTGGAGCTAGGAGGCCAGATTTCACACTGCCTTGCACCCTCATTTACACTTGTGAATAGTGAGTATGAAGTGGGTGAGAAGTTCTGTCAGACAGAAGGCTGCCAAAACTGGGAAAGCAAAGGGAAAAAGCTATTTCAGCTTTTTTCTTTTGTTAGTTTCTGGCAAAAATGAACTAATAATTTTGCATTATTCTTCATCCTTTTACTTTGAATGCAAAAGGTTTAGGCTTTGAAAGCTGAAGTCTTGCATAGTCTTTTGATAAATAGCTGTGGAAAAATCACTAATGTACACTCAGCTGATCATAGCTGATGATTTAGATGTGGTGCTAAAGTGAATTCTTTTGTCCCTAGATCTACAGAAAATCGCTGTGGGGAGGCCATATAGATGTTGTAGCTCATGTTGTGTTCCCAGTGAAGGATCTAGTTGTGGATTCAGTAAATGGCTATTTGTACTGGGTCACGATGTATTCAGTGGAGAGCACAAGATTGAATGGAGAGGAGTACCTCATGTTACAAGAGCAGCTACAGTTTTCTGGTAAACAGGTGATTGATTTTTTGCTTTTCTTTCTTTCTGTGAGAGATAGGGTGGAGGGGTGGTGTGTGTTTTAATATTTAGATCTCTTGAATATAGTCTGAGTTCCTTAGCTGTCAAAATTGTGATTGTATTGCTGCTCCTTCCCACATGTGAAAGGTTCTTTTTTTTCCAAATGATCTAAGTCTAATGGTCACTTCTGACTTTCATATCAAAATATGGACCCAGAGCTCCATATCATCCTGCCTCTTTCATGATGATCCCCAGCTTATAGGACCTGACAGGACCAGTTTTGACGTTTAGCACTTGCCAGGGTTGCGTTTAAGGTTGCAGAAGTGCTGTCACAGAAACAGGTTTTACCCGTGGTGTTGAGAGAGGGGGAATGGCATCTGCCCCTGCTGCAGCCTGGCACAGCTTACTGCTGCTGCTCCTGCCACAGTGCTGGCAAAGATGCCACATCTGCCACCAACAGTCTCCATCCTGCCTGATCCTGTCCCTCATGTGGTGGCAGGAGCAGCAAGTTCAACACCCTGAGGATTGTCAAGGCTCTTCGTCCTTCCCCATCCTGTGTTTATCCTTTGCCCAAGTCAGACACAGGCCTGGTGCCAGCTTGGCCACTCTGGCTGTGCCCCAGGCTCACGAGGAACTCCAGAGGGCTGTGAAGAGGCTGGTGCTGAGCAGAGCAGCTCCTCAGAGAGAAGGGAGCTTCTTGCAAGGGTGGGTACAGATACTGGGCAGCACAGGGGAAAGAAAGAGACAGAACATCGTTGTTGTAGCTGTATTAGGGTGGAGAAGGGGTCTCATGCAGAAGAAGAAAGAAGAGGGAAAACAGAGATGCCATTTCCACCAATAGCTCACCAAAGATCCTGTAGTGTATGTGGAAGCTCATTAGCCCCTTTTCTTACCTGGAGACATTTTGTTATTCTCTGAGGCCTGCACAGACAAACTCCATATTTCTGCTGACCTCTCCACTGCCTTTCTTCTACATTCTCTCCTCTCTGATATCCTATCAAGTCTCTTAAAAACTTGGTTCTGTGCTGACTCCTCATAGATCATTGTGATCTTCTCCAAATCCATCATGCCTCTGCCACCACGTGAGATTTGACCTCATTCTTGGTAGGCGGAATTTGGTGTTACCTACACAATGGAAGAACTCTGAGACTGAGTATTCTCCTCATGAAAAGATCTGTATTTTCATACTTCAAGCATATTCCTTCCTCCCTCCCTCCCTACCTCTCTGCCTTCCTTCCTTCCTTTAAAACACAGCCTTTGTTTTTATTCCACCTGTCATACAAATTGTACTCCCATTTAACCTGAAGCCAAGTTGTCCACTAAAGACCCTTTCCAGTTTTAGAGATCTATCTCTCTTAGTGAGCTTTGTATCATTCCCAGAACATTTAATTTTCCTTTCCCGAAAGAAAAGAATCTGGTGTTTCTCCGATTATAAAAAAAGCCAGGCCTAGTTTAGTCCATGAAAGGGAATTAATATTCTGACAGGCCAGCTAATCTCACAGGTGTTTTACTTCCATGAAGGCTTGGGAAGAAGGAAGGTAGGTTCTGGTGTGCCACCTGCTGTACTTGTAATCCTGCATACAGAGGAACTGTAAAACTTTTGTACTTGAGAGAAAGATCTGTGCTGCAAAGGGCCAATCTATCTTCCAGTACTAGCCTCCCTACGTCTCTGTGGAAGCTGGCTGGTGGACTGTCTCCATGGAAAGATATACGTTGTCCAGGCTCAGCAGCACACTTGGACTTAGCACATATCTTCTGGATGATCTATGGCAAAGGACTGACATGTTCCATTTTATTCTAAGTGGCAAACCTCAACTTCCTTGCCCTTTTCTTTTGATTCCCTACTTGCTTCTCTGGATCGCCTTATGCTAACCTCAGATTTCTTGTTCTTGCTTTCAGGAACCTTGGCAGCAGTAGGACTGCTTGTCTGGTCCTGTCATTTTATTTTCTGCACCTTTCTCTATGTCAGTGATACCAGCCTTCAACCATTCACTTATTCACACCTCCTACAAACAAACATCTTCTCTCCTGCTTCTCTGCTGCCCTAATCTATGCACTGACTCCTGAACTCAGCCTCCTGCTGTGATGCACACAGGCAAAAAGCCAAGTACAAATGTCTAGATTGAGAAGTGACCAGTTGTAGCTGACAGGTGTTTCTTTATTAAAATAAAACTGAGAATAAAACTATCAGAAAAAAAAGGGCAGCACAACTTTCTGTAATGGTGGAATTGTTGAGCTGGTTGTTATTGTCTCAATATCCAGAAGTAAATATATGTTTGCACAGGTACTAATATGTATCTTCCTTGCACAATGAAGTCCTTTACCTGAAAAGACCTTGTCTTACCTCAATATTAAAGCACATATGTCATAGGTAATTGCTGTTATCCATCAGTTAAAGTATGTTCTCCACGTAAGTGGTTCCTACTGGTATTCACCATTCGTTTTTCTAATAAAGAATTGCTGTTCAGCTGGATCTTCAGCAGTTTGTAGCTGTACTTCCTTTTAGCTTGAAATCTGAATGCTAGGAATAGTAATAGAAGAACCTACTGTAAAAATTGCAGGTTTCCTAAATAAATACAAAGTCAGAGCTTTGAAAGTCTAATTTCTTTGGCAGGAACTAAATCCGTCTATGGCAATTATTTTATTTTCTGATCAGTTGTTTAGCTCAGCTGGTGTGTATTGGCCGAGCTTGATTGATTTGAGCAGAGCTCCTCTGATTTATTCCAACTTAGGATCTGGCATAGAATTTCCAAAGCTCTTAGTAAGTTGTTTACACTGTACAGTATGACTAGAACAAAAGTATTTTTATAAGGGAGCAGCAAAGTGCATTATGTGGAAGTGGGGCCAGGACCCTTTAGGTGTGGTTTCAATATTTTTAGTCAAAGGGTGTTTCAAATAGCTAAGTTTATCTTGCATCTCATGATGCTCAGTTACAGTGCACCATCACAAATACATGTTGTGCCCAGAAATTAGTACCTCTCATGAGCTGGGAAGTGCTTGCCTGTTTTTGAAGCATCAGAGAAGGGTGGTGTTAAACTGCTGCCTGACTCCTGAAACTAAATAGTACCAATATTTATTTGCCTTTTAATAATGATGATACAGGGGTCAGGATAAAGAAGATGGACACATCTATAAGAAAATGTAATAGCTGCAGAAAAAAAAATGGGGCAATGAAGAAGGACCCAAATGTTCAAAAAAGCAACATAAATTCAGGAAGATGTCATTTAGTGTGGAGCATGGGAGGGAGAATAGGTAAATGGGATAGAATATAGCACGGCTGACTAAATATACACTTGGGCACATACACGCTGTGAGATATTTTTAACAGGACAACCTACAGGAGCAATCATTCAAACCTTGATTTTCTGACATACAATGTCAACAGAAATATGTCAAGAATGTGATTACATAAGGAGCAACAGACAACTAAGTGATATAGCATTTGCTTTCCTGTCATCATCTTCTGCAGTTTATTAATGAAGAGTTAGGGAAAAAAAAGGCTGTTCCACTTACATACATAATGGAAATTTAATCTTATAAGAGAATAGTTATGACTAGTGTTTGCATGAGAAGTTTGAGAGCTGCTGGAAAACATGTTCAGAGAGGCCCCAAACAACTTGTTAGCTGTGTTAATGATATAAAATAGACTAAACTTGATAACATTTAGCAGACTAACTTATGGAAGCAAATTCTTTTTTTATTCACAGAACAGATTATTAAATATCTGATTTTTATTACTGTTGCATATGGTATTGAGTCTGTTGTTTACTGCAGAAACAAGAAAAGTCTATTTTGAATATTAAAACCTATTAAAAAGAAACAGCAAATCTTTCACCTCTCTTTAAGGAAGATGAAACATTGAAGTAATGAACAGGAAGATAGTTTAATTTCCTCCCCCACTTTATTTAATAACAAATTATTTACAAAAATTTAAATATTCAAATTTCCTGCTTAATCAAATAAATGAATTAAAATTTTGCATCTATTTTCCATAACTAATGCAATATTTTAACTGTTTATTTATAAAATCAAAGCTGGAAAACAAAGACAAAAGACCTGAAATGTTTTTTTCAAAAGGTGATTCTGACTTTCAGACTGGATATCACCGACATGTTTCAGACAAAGAATGTTGAAATACCAGAGGTATTTTGGAGATTTTGATAGGTAGTTCCACCAAGCAGTTGATATGCTATTGCCATCATATCTGAGGTACTCAGATACTCCAGGGATGAACACTGTGACAGGTGTTAAAAAATGTTATCTAGAAAATTGTCAGCTGCTATAAATAGGTGTCCACCAAGGACCTGATTATTTTCTAGTCCTATCTCTTTTTGTGTTAGAATAAAAATTCATGGTAGTAATTCTATTTTTGCCAATAAAAAGGTACTCTTGTTGTCTAGACAACTGTTATGCCTAAGGGCTCTTATCTCAGAAGTGAAGATGTGTTCAAATTGCTATTTGGACTGTTTTTTCTTAGGTGGTTGGTGTAACTTTGGATCTCACCTATGGTGTTCTTTACTGGCTTGTGCGAGACAGTCTATATCTAAACCTATACAGAGCTCCTCTCTGCAAAGAAGGGTAAGTAAACATATAGCAGAGATAAGAAAGTCTGTATTCTCTAGTTTTTGTCATACTCTTTAAGAAAAGAATGTTGTCCAGTGCTGGGCACACTATTTACTAATTTAACAATAAACAAAAAGAAGAGCTAATAATCACAGCTCGGTGATGGCAAACTACATATTGCGGTGGTTGGTAACACAGTTTTACAGGGAGAGAAACAAGGTATTGAACCTTGGTGACCTGAACTGAGGTCATGCTCATCAATTTTTAGACATACCTTTAGGAAATAATTGCTGCTTATTGTCTGTTTTATCTTGGCATTTACAACACTTGACAGTTTCCAAGTGCCTGCAGCTCTGTAAATGGTTCATCTTTCATGAATCTCAGGACTTGAGCTGACACCACTTTCTCACCTGAGCAAACAGTACTCAGCAGGCTTTCCTCTTGATCATCCTGAATGTGAAATGGCTGCATAACTCCAGACAGGTTTTTTCTCTAAGTGCAAAGTGTATAATGCATAGTAGTTTGTGAAACTATGCTTTTGCTCTCTTCCATGTGGAGAATGTGATTATATTAATTTTTTTTCAAGCATCAGATTAAACTGCTTAAACTTAATTGAGCAGCATCTGTATTTACATGTGCCCATAATGTAGCAGGCTAGCTTTGTGTGGAATTAGATGAATTTTCTAGACTGGCTTAAGACTTGCTATGATTAATAGTAAACAATTAAAGAACAAAAATATGTTGATTAGTTTTAGCTGGAGCTCCATTATGAATCAATCGGCAGCCATAAATCATTGTCCCTGGCATGCCAGAATACAGAGATTAGAAATGATCCATCCTAATGGACCTGATGGTGTGTCAGATCTTTTCCAAATTTGTTTTGGATGGCATGTGTCTAAGCTCAAAGACATTTCTGAAATGGCAAAATGACACCTCTTACAACATATTTAATCTCTTACCAAGATTAATTTGGACCTAAAAAGGCCTGTAAGTTTTGGCATACAATATACAAGACAGATTAAATCACCAGTGATCCCAGGGAGGAAAAATGTTAATGGATCTTAGTACATAATGGAAGGAAACTAGCAGAGTCAAATAAATCTAGGTTCCTGATGTAGTGAAGTGGAATGAAACTCATACACTGAAGTAGACTTCACTGTTTCATTGGAATGGCTGAGAGAAGGTGGGCTGATTTTTCAAAATACTTATTTTTCTGCATCCATGCACCAGAATTTTAAATCATTTTATAATTGCTTTCCAATGAAATAAAGGGAATGAAGGCCTTTTTCTTCTTTCTGCAATGTCTCATATTCATTTCTGCTTTAAAGAGCTTAAAGAAAAAAATTTATTTGATTTCCTGCCTCCTACATTTTAGAATTTGAATTATAAGTATTAAGTACTTGAATAATAAGAAACTTAACAATATATCAAACCTTGCATAAACCTGTTCCCTCTACATGTGGGCTATCACTTTGCTAATTTCATACATTTCCACAGTTGTAGTAATGCCATCATCACGGAATTTGCAGCATGGAGTACTTCAGAAATATTTCAAGGTGCACTGGAATACTACAGTGGTCGCCTGTTCTGGATTAATCGGCTTCAGTTCATTACAGTCCAGGAAATCAATCAGAGCCTTAGCATTCCCTTCTCACAACCAGCACAGTTTACAGCCTTTACCCTTGTTCAGGCATCACTTAAACCTTTGCCAGGTACATTATTTTCTTTTTCTAAACTCCTCAATCAAGATATTTGTTGTCAGCCTGCAGTTCTTCATTCTTGAAATTCTTTAGCCATTTGATAAGAGATAAGGATAAGAGCAACTTATTAATAAATATATTAATAACTTATTAATAAATATATCAGGATACACCCGATAAATGCATATATGTATCACTTAATAAATGTAACAGGATAATGTGCAATTATAAAAGCTGATGGTATATGTATGGATAAAAAGAATATGTGTTGTTGTTATTTATTGTTTCTATTTAATGTTGACTTACTTTCATGTTCTAGGTGGTGTTTGAATAGTCTACCTATTCCTCACATTCCTTAGATTATTATTATTTCTTGTGTTTATGGACAGGAAATTTTACTTCTACACCAAAAGTGATTCCGGATTCAGTGCCAGAGTCTTCTTTCAGAGTTAAAGGAAATTCTACAAGTTTCCACATCACTTGGAGTCCCTCCACAACAGTGGAATGGGGAACTGTCTTTTACTGCGTGGGATCAAAAGCTCTACAAGTGAGGATATTGATGCAATCCCTCTGTATCATCTACATATATCTACTTGCTGATACATCTATTTTTAAAAAGAAATTGAGTTTTTTTCTTCTCTGGCATTTACAAATTGGTCAAGAACTAAACTAAATTGCAAACACAATGCAAGTTGTCCAGTTTTTCCACCAGTGCAGCCAGCAGTGGCTCTGAGCTAGTGGCTGGGATGTGAATAGGCAGGCAAGGAGATCACAGTGATCAAAAATTAATGAGAAAGCCTCCCACAGTAAATCAGAGAAAGAAGTGCCCTGTGAGATGACAGTGGGACAGGCTTTACCTGAATGTGAAGTCTAGCCTTCATCCCCCCTTTAGTGCATTTGGCAAGCTTTATTTTAAGTTCAAAGGGCAGATTTCTGGCACATCACTACAGTGCCACAAGAGCTGGTGAAACAATGACCACTCACAGGAAGAGAAGCTGTCTTTTGATTTAGGTGACCAGTTTGGTGAGGGAATTTTGGAAAACTGAAGGCCTTTTGAGCAGGAAAAAAAGTCTTGCTTTTTGTTCTGTTTAATTTCATTTGCAGCCTCTGGAGAGTGAAGGATGCCTTCACCCCCATAATCTGACAGTGCCATCCTACCAAGTGGATTGGCTGGAACCATTTGCACTCTTCGATTTTACTGTCACTCCATACACATACTGGGGCAAGGCACCAATGACATCTGTATCCCTTCGGGCCCCTGAAGGAGGTACTAAAATTTTACATCCTGTTCCTCGTGTGTAATGGGTACTGGGAGCAACTCAATGTCACCAAGTGAAACCCTGGTGAAGGATGAGCAGCTTTCAGAGCTAGTTAGCTGCAGGCAGTGTTGCAAGGACATGTTTCTGAGTATCTTTGGCAATCATCTACTGCATACATAAATGCAGACAATTGAAGTAATTGAATTCAAAACAGAAAATGCAGGACAATATATCCAGCATGTGCCTGTGACTACGAGCAAGAGAAAGAAACTGAATTCATTACAATGAACATGAAAGGTTTCATGCAATTTCTTAACCACTTAGTAGGTTTTAAAAAAATGTTATGCACATTTTGCACTTGCTTCAGTGTTTATTTTTGCTCTTATGCATGTCAAAATTAAGATAGCTAAAATTTAGTCTGAGTGGCTGAGACTGAAGTACTGAGAAAGCTTATGAGATGCAGTAGATTTTGAAGTGAATAGGAGAGGGAATAGAATATGCTCTCTGTTGTGAAAATTTTTACAGCCTCATAGTTACATACAGGACTTGGCTAAATAAATCTCAGTGCAGGAGTGCATTTTTTTTTCTATTTATACAGCTCTTTCTTTTGGCTAGGCAAGTTAAAATCAGATAGCTTCACATCAATGAAAAGCAGAAAGGAATAACTATTAAGTTTTAGATAATCTGTAGAGTTAGTTATGAGGTAGGGTTTGTGTTTTAACAGGAGTATTTTGTTCTGCGTATTTTATCTTTGTTTTTTTTTTATACAGTTCCTTCAGCACCTAGGAACCCTAGAATATATGTGTTACAAAATAACCTACATGGAAGTGATGGGAAAGTCCTTGTGGAGTTCAGGTGGGACAGACCTGAAAGGGATAATGGAATATTATTGCAGTTCAGGGTTTACTATCAGTTAGTGAATCGGAGCAGCACTACTGGCACTTTCATGGAGTGGATTGAAAGCAATGTTAAACCCACCCAGATGCAGTTTTTTCTCAAGGATGTGCTTCCCAGCCTCACAGTAAGGTTTCAGGTATGAAAAATTACTAAGCTTGTCTCGTGCTAGATGGTAGATGTTATCTGTGCAGTCTGATGTGTTTGCCTGGGAGATGTTTTTTTGGCTTGGGGCAAGAGCTTGTGGTTTCTGCTTGTAGAAGTGCTGATTTGCTGACTCACCCATGGATACCTGGCTTCACCTCTCTTTGTATCATGTTGTTCACTAAATGGTGAAGCCCAAAAGTAACTTTTCTAGAGCCATTGCTAGGAACTGCAAGTTGAACACAGCTTCAACTGATCTGGTGAACAGTGAGAGGCCTGTTGAACAGGGCCACAGTTTGAGAAATTCAGGGACTCATGTGACTTCCATGGAAAGAGACTTCCAGTTCAAAACTTGTCAAGAAGTCATATGTTCATTGGGACAGGAGTTTTGGAAGAGACAGAATGTGTGCTTGAAAGATGAGTTAAAGGCAAGAGAGCATATAATAGACCAGATACTAATAAGAGAGAACAACCATGTTGGTTGCAAGGTCAGCAAATAGCACGAATTGTTCCAGTCTGAGGAAGGAAACAAAAAGACTGTCTGGAGTCCTTTGAACTCTAGCTGTTAGATGCAGCATGGATTGTCAATCTCTGGGCCACTGGTTAAAGATCTCTTCATAGCCACAGTCCCAACCTGAATGTAGCCTTTGAACTGACCAGCACAGCCTTGTGCCAAACAGAGCACACACTTATGTTCTTAGATGAGCAGACAGGGGTTTTGTCTCTATTGACTCTACAGGCTCTCAAATGCAGTCATTTATGCTGTTAGTTAACACAAGTATCAATCTCCTGCCCCACAGGTGCAGGCCTTCACCTCTGTAGGTCCAGGACCTTTGTCTGATATGGCAGAGAGGAATTCATCAGGTATGGATGATTTGGTTGCAATCTCACTGTGTGTAATAGCTGGTGAAATGACAGTACAAGAATTTGGCAATCTGATAGATAGCCTCCAACATTTTATGTGACATACAGCAGACACAACGGGGGAAATGGTTACATCCTCTGATACAAAAGATTAACACATTCCTTATAATTTGACTAATTTTGGGAATTTCAAGACTTTCCTCAAAACTATGCTAAATTAGCTTTTTTGTGCAACTCCAGGTTAGCATGGAACAGTAGGTTTTCACCTGTAACCTGTTTACTGCTAGAGATCATAATATATTTCATTATATCAATTCATTATATATATTCATGATATTAATTATATACATTCATTATATATATTCGTTATATTCATTCATTATAGTTTGGCTGTTAAAGGTAATTAAATGAGCAAATCTGTGCTTAAATTTGTTAGGTTAGCATGCACAATGCCATTGAAAATATCTTAGTAGTTTGACTGTGATGACAAGAGGGCATCTCATCACTTTATTTATTTACTGTTGCAAATACAATAAGTTCAGACCTATCATTTATTTGTATCTTGTACTTGTTCTCCTTATGAACGACTGCGTTTATCTAGGATGGGTTTTTTTTTGTTAATTGAGTTGTGCCCTTTTCCTTCCAGATCTTTTCCCTATCCCAACTCTAATAACCATTTCTGCCAGCAAGTTGTTTCTTACTGACATAGACAGTGGTCATACCACATGGGAACTGTCAGCCAAGACTAATGTAAAGGACATCTGTTATACTGCTAGTGATGACAAAGCATACCATATCACTGAAGATTCTCTTTTTATTCTCAATATACAGAATGCTTCAATGTTTCAGGTACTTCTTTGGTCACTCCCTTACTTGAGAGAATCTAGGAAAATGATCATTATGTGACCATTATTTCCATTATTTTATAGCCAACCGTGTTTTTGAAAAAGTAAAAATGACCAGAGTATGCCATTGTTAAAGTTGTCCTATTAACCATAAATAGTTTACTGACATCTGCTTTGCTGATATTTTTATCAGATGTTCAATTTAAAATTCATACTAATAAATACAATAAATGTGTATTTGTATCACATTTAATTTAATTTTATTTTATTTACATCATTCTAATTTAAAGAATATGGAAGCAACAGCTGATATTTGTGAAACAATTGTTTTGATTTGTCTAAAAATATTTCCAATCCATGACACATCTTTGTATTTTGACTTCTGCTTCTGAAGCAGACATTTTTATTTCAGAAACAAATTGGTTTTCATAATGTCTTAACATCAGGTTGGAAAATTCTCTCCTTTAAATATTTTTTCTTAAGTTTTTCAAAGATGCGTGTCTTCACAATGTCACAGCCATCACAGTTGACTGGATTGCAAGGCATCTCTTTGTTGCCCTGAAAACACCACAGAATGAAACTCAAATATTTTTTATTGATCTTGAGCTCAAGAAAAAATCTCTAAAAGCCTTGAACAAGCAGCTCAGCAAAAGTAATTCAACTGTATCATCTCTGTTGTCATATCCTTTCTTAAGGTAAGGCACATACTACTAATACCCCTTTTTAAAGCAAATTTTAGATATGATTTTCATTAAAACTTGAACTGCTAAGGACCAAAAATGACTTTTTATGGTGGATGGGTTTTGACATTATGTAACTCAGAAATTTTTGGATGTAGTGACACTTTGGTACTGCTAGTAGAGCTTGGATGTATCTAATTTCAAAGAGACGTCTGTGTTTGAGTAAAACTTTCAAATTTTGCTTAAATACTGATAAGTTCTTCTAGATGAGTAATGCAAATGAAAGTCAGCACCAGACAAAAAATTTTTTTACAGTAACCTGTCGCCTTGATTTTGTAAGACTTTGTTAAGCCTTCTGATGTTTACATTCTTTCAACAAACTTTCTCACACACAGTTATGTAAATAACTTATGTTTTGCATATTTTCATGGAGGTGGAGAGAATTGATGGACCCTTGGTCTGTCCAGTGGCATTGGAGAGGTGGCACTGTCACCCTCCAATCCACTGTCACCTTTGGAAAACTATAAATGTTGGAGTCAGAAAATAAAGGTGCTTCTTTTTGTTCCTCTCGAGAGCAGCAGTGTCTGTGTCATCATTTTGTGCCTTATCACAACAGTAACCATCTTATCCAGAATAGCTGTTATTGTGTCAGACTAGGATTGCATTTAGATTGGTCAGGTTGAAGTTTTCCTACTGAAAGCAGTGCATTTTCTTTGCTAGCCGCTTGTACTGGCTGGAAGAATTTGAAAATGGCAGTCACGTGTTTTATTATGATATTCTGAACAACACCGTGCACCACATCTTGGGACATGGATTAATAGAAAAACAGATGAGGAACTACTGCACCTGTAACATCACAGAAGCAGAGCTGGGAAGACCTATGAGTATAGATCTGTCTGACTCCAAGAATCCCCAGCTGCTTTTCATCAGAAGAAGAGATGAAATATGGGCCTCAGATGTGGATGGTTGCCACTGCTGGAGAACCCTCAGAATACCAAGTATTGAAGGTCTGAGTGTCTTTTATTTTTCTAGGTAGTTCTTGTTTTCTAGGTGATTCTTGTTGTCTCTTACTTCAAACAACATTGATTTTAGAAAATAGCAGTCATGAAGCACTTTGTTTATAGAACTGATTCATCTATAGCCCATATGGACAAAATGTTTCTGCTCTGTGTTGTATATCCTCTTCATACAGACAAGAAGAGCAGTGTGAAGATGTTTACTGATGCAAGTGTGTACTCTAGTAAGATTTAAAAGAAATGCTATGGCCTCAGGTGCTACTTGTTAATAGATTTCACTTAGAATATTATCACATTATTTTGCTAGGGTTTTGTATTAGCTACACCCATTGCAGTTTATCTCAATGAAAAGATATAACAACAACTTACTCCTGAAAATGGCATTGCAGACTTCATCATGTGGGGAAGGTACTTAATGCAGGTAGCGTCTTGTATGACAAATTATCCATGTTTCACTTGTGATAACAACACTTACTCTTGGTTGCTCAGTTCTCAGCTCAGTTCTGGAGGTGTGCTGGTAAAGCTGCTCTGTTACCAGATGAGCTGTCTTAGTTGTTCCTGAGAGATGGCAGATCATGGTGATTTTCATCTTGGAAAAAAGAGCAAAATTTCTTTAGACAGCTCTTGCATTCATGTTTTATTTCTTGTGTTTATTAATTGAATAGCAGTTTTCATAATTATGGGTAATTAAACACCTTCAAATCTACACCTGTAAACTGGAATAGCAGTGTCTCAGCTTCATGAGACCTGCTGGAAAATATCAGAAATCTCTTCTCAAGGGGAGGTCATTGAGGACATGGTATGGCCAAGATGGCTATATTGAATCACTGTGAATACAAGCAGCCTTCTGCTCTTTTAAAATCATCTGCTCAGGGTTGACTATAAAACTTATTTATGCAATGTTTTCCTACAGGTAATAAAATTGGCAGCTTGACTGCCGATAAGAAATTTATATACTGGACCGCTGAAACAAAGGAATACACTGAAATTTGGCTAACAGATAAAGAAAGCAGAAGACACTTTCTTTACAAGAGAGCAAACCACTTGCTGAAAATCTTAGCTTACAGCTCAGCAGCACAATCTTATCCAGGTAGAGGGAATTTGGGTTGTTTTGTGAATGTAACCAGTTCCTCTCAGAGCATGTATTTAAGTTGCAGATGTGTATTTATGTAAAGTATGCTTCATGGGTTCAGGTACCTTCTACAGAGAAATAATTTGCAAATTTAAAAAATAATGAATATAAGGACTGGCCTTGTGTTGAATACAATGGAAGGTCACAATGATGAGTATTTCCCTGTTTGTTAATGCCAAACTATGCCTATTTTCAAAGTTGTGTCAGACAGGGAGATTTAGAAAAGGTGGTGCATGTTGCAGCACAGAAAAAGAGCAAATATGTTTCACAGTGTTGTAGAAAGAGTTTGATAGCGAGTAATCCCTGTTGTGACACAGATTTCTGAGTTTGTTCACAAGTGTATAAAACTAAAACAAAGGTCTCTCCTTCCTAAGATAAAGACATAAGAACTCTGCTTATTAAAGTGATTTATAATGAAGTACCCAAGAGACAGCTACAAGTTACATTATGGTAGACCCAGGCATCACTTAAAACTCCTAATATTTTAAACAAACCATTGTAGAATGATAATGAAATAAATAAAACATAAGGTTTAATTGAAAATTAGGATTCATGGTATCTATAGGGATTATCTTTGTAAATGCAGAGGTTTAGAACAGCTACTAACATGATGAATATATTCAAAATCGTTATTGAACTCCAATTTTGCACAAAAAACCTGGCAAATGTACAAATGAATATTTTGACAAGATGAACTTCTTTGGAATAAAAAAAATTAATTCTTTTGAGTAGCTGGTACAGTCATGCCTGCCTGTGGCTGCTCTGACCAATGCTCAGGCTACTCTTGCCAACACTCTGGGCATGTTTGTTCTCATGAGATCTGTGTGGGCTTGGCTTTGATGTAGGAGCCTGGTTTGGCCCTGGTACAGAATGTGCCAATCCCTATCCCCAGGGACAGGTTTCCTGCAAGAGCCCCAGACTTGGCTGGTGCAGAAAGGGAAGAACCAAATTTCAGTCCAAATGGATTGTTTCTATCCAGAGATCCCCACGAAGATTTTCTAATTTACATTGACAGCTGCAAATACATTCGGAGGAATATGCATGAACCTGACTTTGGTAGCAATGGCAGGGTTGCTCACTTTGGGAGAAAAGATCTTAACTATGAGGTCAGTTGTTGTGGCCTAAAGGCAAGAATTGGTCCTTATCCCTTCTTCCCTGTGCACATGCTTAAATTTCTTCCTTCTTAGCAGGAAGTCTGCTGTGCTGCTGTCTGAGTTTCTCTACTCCCTCGGGCAGGGAGGAGGTCGCACCCTTCCCTGTGCACATGCTTGAATTTCTTCCTTCTTAGCAGGAAGTCCATCTAATATATTTTTATTTTGTTTTGGAAAGTACACCAAGTGATGAGGAGTACATCTAATATATTTTTATTTTGTTTTGGAAAGTACACCAAGTGATGAGGAATTTTCTTTTGTTACTTTTCAGTAACTGTCAGTGTAGTTTTCTATTGTTTTCTCCCTCCAACTCTTTTTCTACCTCCCAGATTTCTCTCCCATTATCTGTTGTTGCATTACACATAGAAAGCTGTTTGGAAGAAAAAGCAGATAACATTTAATTGCTAGAGAAAGGCAAGGTCTATGCAGCATATCTGTATTTCCTGTGACAGGCAAGTTTGGGCTCATCAGTATGTGCTGCCCTGAAACACAGCAATTACACATCTTCTACAAAGATGCAGCAAATCTAGAAACTACATCTTCTACTTCAAGAAAAACCTAAATTATTTATTAAAGTCATATTTCTCTTGTCAAAGAGAAATAAGAGTTTCTCTGAGGACCACTATTTTTGTGTCCATAAAAGTAATCAAATAAAGTAGTGTCAGGTGGAATTTTCTTTTGTTTCTCTTTGTGAGAGCAGAAAGAATACTTTGTAGCTATGCTTTCTAATATGAATAGTGGCAGAATCTCATGCAAGTTTTGGTTGGTCCAGCCATAATTTTAATTTTTAATCTTTTAATGTCTTTCCTAGATAAAAGATGCCTGATTCTCTTGCCAGACACTGAGAAACCTACTATCCTTGCTATGACCAACACCAGTTTTACATTAAGCTTGCCATCTGTCACACCACAGCAGCTCTGCCCTGGCATATCCCAGCCTACGCCGACGTACCTGGTGTTTTCCAGACAAATGACAAACATATGCAGGAACACAAGACAATGTTTGTCTGCTCCACAGCAAACAATATTGGTATGGCTACTTCACACAGAAATGCATGTGATATCATCTATAAACAGGGAATGTGATGTCACTTTTAGTGATTTTATGAAACATTCTCTAGCTTTCTGTCAGTGAGTTTTTCCATTTCTACATCCCAGCAGTAACTGTCATTTCTCTATGGTATTTGGTAAGCGGTAGATTCCTTAGTTTTCCTTTGTGCAAGAACCGCCCCCCCCCCCAGTTTTTTGTCTTGTTTTTTGGTATGTGCTTTCTTTTCTTTAGGGACCTATTACCAAAACTGTGATTCTAACATTTTTTTTAAACACTAAAATGTATTACAATGTAAAAACACTACCGTATTACTTTTTAACCACACACTTCACTGACAGATGATTGGGTTGACATATGACTCTCTTTTCTAAGAGTGTATGTATATTATCTGATTTTCACTTACAGGAATATCAGGGTCCTATTGCTGTCTTAGAGAACCTACAGCCATTTTCGAGTTATGCCATACAAGTTGCAGTGAAAAACTACTATTCAGATGAGGAAGTGCTGCCTGTGGGAGAAGGAACAGTTGGCACAACTCTGTATGGAGGTCTGTTTCATATTTTACTCTGAATTTGAACAGAGTTCTCATCCCAGTTAGAGGAAGATATATGGAAGTTTGGGTTGTAAATCAGAAAGTGGACAAATAGTCTGCTTAAAATATAACCTGGGTAGATCTTCACAAGGTTTTGGCAAGAAGACGTGATGAATTTGAAAGTTTCATTCAATGTATTTGTATATATTCTTTAATGCGGTGGCTTATTTTCTTCCTGAGGAAAGATAAATTATGATTAAAAATGGTTAAACAGTTGCAGTTTCTGGTTTGGACCACATCTTTAAGTAAGTTGTACTTGAATGAATGTGTGGTTATGTATGTTTAAATAGCTGTGTTATGTATTCATCCAGCATTAAGATTTTTTCCCTTGGCTTGATGGCACTCTCATGATTGCTGTTTCTAAGGGTAATGCAGATTTGTTTTGTTGTGAACCACGCTGAAAAAGCAACATTTCATTTTTACTTTTGGCCTGAATGAAAACAGCTCATTTTCAGTTGATTTCAAGAATTTTGATGTGCCCTGTCAGTCCTTGTTCTTTGAGAATACTACAGTCTGAGCTGGATGCCTTCCGTGCTTGTAAATACCTCAGTTAGGGCATGAAGATGCTTCTACTCATTCCCTGCTTCACTCTACCTCTTTGCAGCTGTGGGGCAGCTACTGTCCCGGTTTCCTTGAAGCTCTTGATGTCTTCCAGAAAGAGAAGGATAATGCAAAAGGTGCATGTTATGCTTTTGCATATGTTGCAGCCCAGCCCAATAGAACCACCTTACTCAGCACATTTCTTGTTTTGCATGTGCAATTTTGTACCTGAACACTTGTCATTATGAGGAGCTGCCTTTGTGCTCCTCTTCAGATCACTTTCTCTGTGCTTCTGCTGAACTCCCTAATGAACACTTGTCTTTACAGGAGCTGCCTTTGTACGTGAACACTTGTCATTATGAGGAGCTGCCTTTGTGCTCCTCTTCAGATCACTTTCTCTGTGCTTCTGCTGAACTCCCTTGCTGAAAACATGGAAAGCCATTAGGAGGGGTAGCTATTCCCCATAGCACACACAGTGCTTGCTCTTCTGTTGTGTCAGTTTTGCTCTGTCGTGCCTGGTGTCACCAGCTGGTGTCAGCGTGATCCACTCTCGATAAACTCTTGCAAAGCCATCAGTCACCTCTCTTAATTCCTAAGTCAGAGAGTCAGAATTATAGCCAAGGCTACATGACAGCATATCTGTGTTTTGCTGAAAGACTGCAGAGGTGATACCTAGGGATACTTAGTGTTGAAATCACTGGGATGTGGGAATGCTGTGGCCCTCATCTTCATTAGTTTTCTTGCTCGGGTCTTGTCTGGCAGAGTTGCAGCAGTTCTTTTTTTGAGAGAGAGTAAGGGAGAGAAACTGAGAGGCACAGCAGCCTCTGGCCCTTGGGCACTGGCTCCCTTCGCCTGGCTGCATCAGGGCTGGCTGTGGCTGGCACAGAGCCATGCAGCCTGCACAGCTGTGCATGTGGATATTGCTCTGACATGCAGTGAGTGAGCCACAGCAGGACTCCTAAGGTTTTCCTTTCCCTCTTTTTACCTCTCCTTGGATTTTGGCTACTTCAGAAGTTGATGGAATAACTGGAATTAAAGTATGAACAGCCACCACTGAGTTTTTCTTACTTTCCTCAATGTATCTTTCCCCTAGTGATCAACTTTGCCCAAGAAAACATTTTATCCAGAATACCTGGCAACAAGTACACGCCAGGAGTCCTGATTTCCCTTTTTCTTTCCTTAGGGATGCACTCTTTAGAGGTTTATTTAAGGGTTCATTTATAGAATAATCAACCTCTCTTTTTGCCACCATTGTCCAGAGGAGAGCACCACCTGTGAGCTACTAGTGGTTTCTCTTATGCAGAGATCATTCCCTGTTTTTTATCCTGGGAACAGTCACATTTTTCCCCTTAAAACTCCTCTGTTTTAGGTGAGCTTCTTTTCATGTTTCAAATGGAAGTGAAACAAGAGGTGCAGGCATATTACTACCCTTCTCATGGAATCCAGACATCCTATACTTTGAGAGTTCTCTAGTTCAACTATGCTGGGTGTTTTTCTCTTAACAGTCAGATCCCTTAGCATCTGCACCATCAAGCAAATAGGCTCCCATCCTATGTGGATCCCTGAATATTGTGAGCTGGTCTCTTCTACCATGCCTGCAGTGAAAGGACTGGAGGCAATGCCCTTTATCTGAGATGGGAGATTCAGATTAGATATCAGAAAAAAATGTTTACACTGTTCAGGCGTTCACTGGAATAGGTTTCCCAGGGAGGTGGTGGAGTCACCATCCCTGGAGGTGTTTAAGAGGCACCTGGTGTTGTGTGATATGGTTTAGAGGTTTAGGGGTTACAGTGGTAGTTCTGGTTGACAGCTGGACTCAATGATCTGAAAGGTCTCTTCCAACCTTGATGATTCAACTTTCCTATGTAGTAAAACAAACAAGCAAACAGACAAAAACTCCCAAACACCCAACAATTCTAGCCTTCTATCAGCAGATTTCAATTCTTTGCATGGGATTCCACATCTGTAATATAAAATTTGTGTGATACAATGATTTAATAACATTAAATGCTATTGGGATGTGGAAAGAATTGACACAATTACTTTTTTATATGGTAAGCTGTGCCATCCTGCAGCAATGTGCATCCTTTCAGTGATGAAACATAAAGGTAGAGTTATGAAATAGGAGACTGGATTGCTCCACTCAAACAGAATTTTTTAGTCCCATGTTAAAATGAAACATGAAACTCAGAACAGACTTCTCCAGTTGGGACAAAACAAGAAATCTCGATGAAAATCAAGTCTTAGACAAAAAGCAGAGCAAACCAACAAAAACCCCTCACTCCACCCAGCCTACAAACCCCGAGTATTTTGAATAGACATTTGTATCAGCATTCAGAGCTTTTCAAATTTGTTGAAAAACTTCCAGCCAGCTGTAAATAGAAGGTATATGTGTCCTGACACTTATGTTCTCAATTTCATGAATGTAACTGCCAGTTTAAATTGTAATCAGATGCTGCTAGAGCCTCTTGAAGTGTGTAAACTATTTAACACCTCTGAAGCTGTGTGAATTCCCTCAATGCCTTTTTCTCAATTCTCTAATGAAGTGAAAGAAGCTTGGAATAATTTGTGCTTTCCATCAAACAGCAAGATAGAGGGAAGGAAAAAAAGAGGAAGACAATGCATTGCTCTTGCCACAGAGTGTCACTCTTACTCCATGTATGTTTTAGCTAGACAAATAAGAAATTTGTCCTTTCCTAGTCTAGTTTCTGTATATTTCATTAAATAATCTGTAGTCTTGCTACTAGGATATGAATTAAAACATATGGACTTGTCATTTTGATATGTTGGGAACATAAATAGTGTAATGACTTTTTAACTTCTTACCTCTCTGGACAGCCCAATAGGAAATAAAGAATTTTTTATACAGAGTAGGGACATGCCATTTATGAAAGTCTGTGATCTTAAAGCTGCAAAGGAAGGGTTGATTTTTCCAGAACAATTAGTGAGTAACCAGCTGGTATGGACATCTAACCAGCAACCCGATTTCTTCCTTATACAGCTCAGCCAGACTCTATTTCTGAGAAAAAATTTAAATTATAGGAAATAATGCTTAGTTTTAGATTTTCTTCTCTCATAAGTTTCTGTTCAAGAAAAGACTTTCCAATTGGAATAGTGCACAGTTTTTAAATTTCTTTTTAAAATATTCATATTAAAAAAAAGCATATTCAAGTAAGCACCATATTAAATTCACATCTGAGACCCCAATTAGGAAAGTAAGAGGGAGCAGGAATTCAGTGATATGACTATAAATGTAGAGGTATAGGACACTGTTTTTCTCTTGTCATTCAGTTTTTTGGGTTTTTTGTCTGCTTGTGTATTAGGATAGCCAAGAAGATACTAAAAGTCCCTCAAAATATTTTGAATTTGTCTGCAGCTGACTGACTATCCAGAATATGAGTTTTACATGTGTAGAGTTTCAGTCCTGTGAATGAATCATATTAATACACTTACATCCTTCTTTTCTTTCTTTGGTGACATTTCTTGACTAGTCTAAAAGGAAGATTAATTTTTCTTTCTGTTTCAGTACCAGAGGTAGTTAACACTATTAAAACATTAGTTTTGTCTGACACCACCATCAACATATCCTGGACTGAACCTCTGAAGCCAAATGGACCTCTTGAATCCATCCGTTATCAAATCTCTGTCAATTTATTGCCTCCTATCCCGGCGACACCTTTGCGAAAAAGTGAATTTTCAAATGGGATGCTTGCCTGGTCTGTCAGTGGGCTCCAGCCTGGAACAAATAATTCATTCAAGGTATAATTGCAAGTAGTTTTACTAGTTCGCTCAACCTGCAAATCTTTAGATTTCTCTTCTGCAAAATAGACAAATAAAAGTATGCAACGTGGATTCATAAGGACAAAATGTACTGTTTCTCCCTTTATGGATGAAGGCTTAAAAAATAATACATGATGTGTCTGGACAGCAGGTCTATGATCAGAGTGACATTTTTAAAAGTGACAAAGTAAACGTGTTGTCTGCAGAATGTGCACTGGGTATCACAAATAGAGTGATTTACACAAGTTGGGAGAACATTCAGATGATGGCAGGAGGGGATCTGAAGGTCCTAATTTGATTTTGGGCTTCTGTTAATGATTTGGATAATATAATGGGTAATATATATACACACACATACCTAAATACCTATATGTAATTATGCAAGTATGCATACCTAACAGGTCATATTTGCCAGTGGCTTAGTGAAAAGCAATGTGCTAAGGCACTTCTTGACTTTGTGTTTCTGTGGTTCTAAAACACTGCCTAATATGTGATGTGACATCTGCATGTCTGTGTCAGAGCATGTGGCATTTAAAAAAGATCTAGAAAGAGAAGGGACTCGGTAGAAATCTGAGATAAGAAACTAAGAAGGGTCTCTGAGGAAGGGTGCTCCTGGACATGAACTTTCAGCCTGAAGGTGCAGCTATGAGGGGCAAAAATATTTCTATACCTTAATCTCTATTGCCTGAAATACTGTCTTGTTTGAAATGTTGGTCTTCCAAACACTTGGTGCTGCTAAAGCAAAGCTGCCTTTCCAACTGCACCGGTATCGTACAGTTCATCCATTGCCTTACTAGGTTCTTGCTTTTCATCCTGATGAGAACTGGTTTTCTGAAAGTGTCCCTGTCATTGCAAAAACTTTTGAGACTCCAGCTGCACCTATCAACATAGTCCCCAGAAACACCAGTTTCCAGCTAGAATGGAGAGCTCCTCTGCACATCAGTGAAAGCAGCTTCTGGTTTGAGCTGCACAAGGTAAAAATACCTCTACGTTTTGGGGTGGGTTTTTTTCAGATCAGAGAAAATTTCACCTACTCTGGCTGGGTGGTAAGTAGGACAGGGTGGGTGGCAGGATGTACATGAAGAGTCTCAGTGGATAATTTGGGCATGGTGATGTCAGTCTTAGCTGCTCAGCAGGGGCAGGATGGAGTCAGCATTTGCCAGGAACAAGGAGGAGTGCAGCTGTAGCATTTAGTACTCCATAGCGCCAAAGGACATCCTGGATGACCTCACCAGAATTCCTTCTGAGTCTCCTGTTTCAGCAGTCCTATCCCTGTTTCCTCGCTGCCCTGCCCCAACTGGGTTTGCAGTTGCAAATCCTATGTCTGCCCTGCACAAGAAAAAGAAGAAAAGGGTTTCAGCAGTAAATATTAGCTACAACCTAGTATCTGGATTTATTTTCCTGTGATAGAGGTTAGGAGAAAATGCCAGAGAGAAGACCAGGTCCAAGGAGTAAGAAGTAAGGGCTGCAGTGAGAGCAGCGTACATGGAAACTTCAGACTTCAACACCTGAACCACTGGATGCAGAAAAAGTCATGTCCTAAACTGGATCATGCAGATTCTTTACTACAGAATCAGATTCGACAGACCTACACCAAACATTTCCCTGCCCTAAAATAAATGTCACATCAAAATTCCACTAACCCACCTCCCTTCAATTGCATCATGGCAAGCTGAACTCCTGGGCACGATGATCCAGAAATATAAGGGGAAGGCTCCTTTTGGCTGTGTAAAGCAGGCACTTAATCTGTTGTTCTTTGTTACTGCCAAGACTTGCAGGTCTCCTGAAAACAAAGAAGAAAATTAGGGTTTGTGTCCTTGCTCTCTGAGAGGACAAAGTCCATGGTTGAAAGAGCACCTGCGTCATATTTCCACTATGATATTAGGAGGTGGCAAAGTAGTTAATCTAGCCAGGAATAGAACTGTGACACACTTTCAGCAGGGCAAGAAAGTTGACCATAATGATATTTTATTTCTCTAGTGGCCAACAGAAAGTGACTGGTTTTCTCCTGCAAACACTACATGCATAGGAAATCTTGTTTACAAATGCAACCTCACAGGAACTCTTCCTTGGACCAACTACTTTGTAAGAGTAACAGTAGTTTACATTACAGGAGTGAAAAGCACTTCCTCTTCGACAAGTTTTAAAACTACAGGTAAGCACTTAACACAGCATAACAAGATTTTTAAGACTTTGCAGGATGTGAACATTAGACATTATATTTTCAAAAATTTAGCAGGGAATTTGCTTATACTAAGACCCAATAGTTCTGTTTGTTTGAAAAATGAATAGCACAATACCATACCTTCAGAAGTAATAGGGGGAAAGAAATGAGCTTAATTTCCAAGTGGAGCAGAGGAAAGAGTGAGGGGAACTAAAATGAAATGCCTATAACACAAGTGAACTCATTACTGGTGAAAGGCTGCATGTGAGTACAAATTTTGGAATTTATCCATCACAAAGAGAAAGCCAAGGATTTATTCTCTATGAGTATTATTAATATAGATACTCCTTTCTTTTGCATGTCTAAATATCCATACGTGCATCAGATTTTTCTCTGTGCCTGTTGGCCCTTTGTCATGCTATAACACATTTTAAGGGTTCTGTTTCTTTCTCTGTTTGGCTTAAGCTGGTGTTCCCAGTAAGCCAGGAGTTCCTAAAAGAGCCGAAGACTCCAAAAACTCTTTACAGTGGGAAAAGGCTGATGACAACGGAAGCAAACTGTCCTACTACATCTTAGAGAGCAGGTAAGCAATGCTTGAGGCACTCTTCCTGCAGGTAGCAGCGCAGAACAAATCTGGGTGTGCAGAACTTTTCAGGTTGGCTCTGATGGAAAGAATGAAATATATATGATATATTCATTGGGATCTCTTTCTTTGATAAACCAAGTACCTATAATTTCCAGAAATTCTGGAAAACACAGAAGAAAACACTAACAACACTTTCAGAGCAATCTTGAAATACAATTATATATTTGGATCTATGTCAGTGAACTAGATGATTTGGAGAGAATTTCAAATCACAAATCTCAACTTACCTGTAGTATGTATTTTTGGCTAAAATATATACATAAATATATTAGTGTTCAGAGGACTCAAAGAAGGTGTTGTAATATTGCCAGAAATAGTGTTCCTACCCACATGGGATGACTGTATAATTTTTAATGTGCTCTGTCATCAAATACCGATTGTCTGAGCTATCGATGTCACACTAGAGTGCCAGCTCACTCTTATTCCTGCACTGGCACTGATAGGGCTGATTGGGCAGGTTAGAGTATATTGCTGTGGGCAGTGACTTTGAACTTCTAATTTTTTGACCATGACTCTGGAGAGATTCCTTTAAAGCAGTCAGTGCAAAGTTTAATTAATGCATTATTTTAAAATTAGGAGAGTCCATCATATTTTCCTGGTGCTGTAAGCTTCCTACAGTTCTGTGAGCATGCAGGAGTGCTGACCTGCATGCTCTGAGAAAACAATGATTTTGATATGCCAGGAGACAATCTGTACCTGACTTGCTGCAGATGGGTAAGGAAAGGTCAATCCCTTGGTCTGTGCCAGGGCTGTGCATTAGCTGCTGTGCTCTCCAGACTCCAGCTTCTTATTCATCTCTGGAATCATAATGCATCACTGAGGTGGTCTTTTAATGCAGTCAGCTTTTCTCTTGCAGTTTGAATGTACACAGGCTGGTGGTTTTGACTGAATTTCGCACCAGGTAGAAAAATGCTAGGTCAGTTGCACAGCATTCTAGAAAATGTTTGCCTAGACCTATTAAGCAACCTCTGTTTTTCATACAGCTCTAGTGGCAGCATGTACACACCAAGGGCATGAGTTTTCCCATGTCTCTCTGGTTTAGAAGTGTTTGGCCTTTTTTCTTCTTTAAAGAGTGTTGGGAGAATGAGTGACTTGCTCATGAAGGTCATTTCACATGATGTATTACGGTGTTGTGTGACATGAATTGATATTTCAGATATGGCCTTTCAAGTTTAAGTACGTGGTCTTCTTTTGGTTGGTGAATAATCAGCTCTGAATTTATTGTGAGCAATCAATCTCAGTCCAATGGGGAAAGGAAGAAATACACCCAGCAGCCAGCAGATACTATGGGAAAGTGGCTAGCTAAAGAATGGTATCTTCACTGCCAATGACTTGCTTCCTATTTAGCTTGTGAAACCTGATGCACAGAGATACTGAATTACTCTTGGTCTGGAAGGGCAAAAAGCTCTAGCACAGTACAATTTTTTTTTTGTTTGTTTTTTTTTCTTTGCCAGAAAGGTAAATAAGAACATGTTGAAATCTTGGCTGTGATGCATATACTGAAACAGGTGAATCAGGCATATATTGAACAGCTTTTCATGTTTAAATGGTCTAGTATTTAATTTCCAATGCCAAGATAAAGATGTTTGGTTCCTAGCACAGCTGAAATGGCTTGGCACAATTTTCTTCTCTGTAGCCAGAATCCCATGACCAGATTGAGCTTTTATGCCTGCAGAGAAATGCTGTGAAAACCATGAAACTGAGGCAAAGAATGGGCTGGGGGTGAAGCAGTAAACTGCCCTTGTGGCATTAATGTCTTTCTTGTGTCGTGATGTGCATACTGCAGGAAACATTCTGGCAACAGTAGTGATGTGAAGTCCACGTGGGAGGTAGTTTACAATGGCTCCTGTGGCAGTATTTGCACATGGAAGGCCAAGAACTTGGAAGGAACTTTCCAGTTCAGAGCAGCAGCTGCAAATGTGCTGGGACTTGGTGAATACAGTGACATTAGCATGGATATAATTTTGAGTGAAGGTATGTCTTGTACTTCTGTATTCTATTAATCCTTTTTTTGTTATTCTAAATAGTCATACCAATTTAGAAACAGAGACTGGCTATTTTAATAACAATATTCCTGCAAAGGTGAAGTAATGCCGCTAATAGGTAACAAATAGTGATGTTTATATGGTGATCCCTGCTGCTAGTGCTCATCCAGGCTCTTTTGTTCATAACAGTGGGCCTGAAAAGTGCTTCTCCTCATTTATAACATTTTGTCTGTGTGGCTCTGCCCCTCTGCTTTATGATGTGATTCTTGAAAAAAGGCAAGCTCACACACTGGGTGAAGATGTCAGAATTACTTCTTGCCTTCAGCCAGAATGTTAGACTTACACTTTGTGAGTGCTTTTGGAAATCCCATTTTGAGTAGTCAAACAGTTCAGCATTTTCTATTTCTGCATGCACATTAGGTCACAGGAATGGCCCAAGTCTGGGGGAGAAGGATTAGTCTGACCAAATACACATCCACATAGAGCCTACAAGACAACTTTGTGCAGTAGAAGACTTTTACATAGCAGGGAGCTGAAGGGTTCTCTCAGGTGTTCTCCACTCCATGGGATTGACATCGCATGCATACACAGTAATTAAACAAATTTCCTTTTCTCTTTAACAGAAAAAATGATGCCCATGGGCACCATCATTGCCATTGCTTCTGTGGCTGGAGTTGTTGTGCTGTGTTTGGGTGTGGTCACACTCTTCAGTTTTGGTACGTGATTGAGTTTTTTGTTTACCCTTGGTTTGCCAAGCCTCAGCGAGAGGCAGTTCAGATGGTGGGAAATGATTGGCCTCCAGATTTAGGGAAATGCTCCCTCCCTGGGATGGGAGCTGGGAGAAATTTGTATATTCTCATTCTTTGAGACCCTAGAGATGGCTTATTATATTTTTGGTATGAAGGACAGGATAGAAATTCACTCCATCCTCAGGCATTTCTTGCTGTCGATTACCTGCAGGGAGAGCACAGGAGTGCTTAAAGAACTCTAATACTTGCTTGTATCCTTATAAAAACTTGACCTTACTTTCAGAGTGAAACACTTAATGGTCTCCTTTTCTATTCCAGTATGGAAACAAAGACTGAAATCCAGAAAACCGGCCTTGCCTGGACAGATAGTGTTTATCAAGGAAGACAAAGAACTAGCTCAACTCAGGGGGATGGCTGAGACAGTGGGACTAGCCAATGCCTGTTATGCCATACGGTATGTCCTCAGAGCAAATGTATTTTCAGGACAAAAACATCAAAGAGGTGTTCCCTGGACCAGTTTACATCAGGGTGCTCGTCCCTGAAACCCCAAGGTAGAGTTAAGAGCTGCATGTTTGCTGCAGGGCAGGTATGCTCCAAAGGATGCCCTACCATGCTGCCATTCTGGCTCACAGCCCAGCCTGGAACTCCCCAGCCCATCCTTCATGTCCCTCTGGCAAGAAATACAAATGCACAGGGAAGGAAGAAGACCTGGTGTTTTCCAGTAACTCCCAAAACATCCAGGCCTCACCTGAGCTCCCCCTAAATATACCTGATGAGACAAATAGTACCAGCTTTGTTTGAATTTTGATAGAATTTCAGACATCCTTAGGCATGAACAAGTGACTAGTATTGCTGTTTTGTAGCACTCTTCCTTCTCAAGCAGAGATTGAATCACTGCCATTTTTCCCTCGGGACAAACTCAATTTACACAAATTGTTGGGAAGTGGAGCATTTGGAGAGGTGTATGAAGGGACTGCAGTAGATATCCTGGCAGATGGAAGTGGAGAATCCAAAGTAGCAGTCAAGGTAATCACAACAATCTGTTCTCTTGCAACAGAATGGGATGGGCAGAGAGATCTGTGTCAGAGGTTTTATCTGAAAAATAGGTTTTGGGCTGATCTGGGTATTTCCTTGTAGTGTTTCTTACAAATCTCTTAAAGTTCAGCCCTGTAATGATTTCTGGAAAATAATGTTTCTTTAAGGCCACATCTATGTCTGATTGTTTTACTTAAGCACGATGTGGTAACAGTGATGATGACCAAATGTTTCTACACTTCTGCTTTCTCTTGAGCAGACTTTGAAGAAGGGTGCGACAGACCATGAGAAGAGCGAATTCTTGAAGGAGGCACACTTAATGAGGTAAGGGACAGCTTTGTCCCTGGGCACACTTCAAAGCTGGTGTCATCTGAGGGCGGTGGCTTTCTAGGGGAATGAAAGTACCACTTTCCTCTAAACAGAAAATTGTGGCATTTTTTGGGTGTTCTCATGTTTCTGTCAAACAAGTAAATCATTACTGATGAATATCATGTAACTAAAGCTATAAATCCGATAAGCAACATTTAAGTTCATGCAAGTTCAATATGCTCATATCATGGATTTATTTGGGATTGTACTGGTGTATTTCAGTATCTTTGCTCCCCTAAACCAAGTTAGTTTTTAAAGGCAATGGTCAGAATTCAACTTATCCCATTTTACTGAAGGAAACAAATCAGAATAAACTGATACATTGAAGCTGTAATTTACAATGGAAAATATTTTTTAAAAATGTGCCACTAGGGGCTGCCACATACCCCTTCTATTGAGGTAGTGTTAAATTATGCATCTGTCACCACTGCAAGAATTTCACATAACAAGGTTTGTGTTTCAGCTGAAAATCTTGTTTTCCAAATTGTCCCCAGAAACCAGAAGTTCAACTGAAGTTTTCAACTGGTACTATAAGACTGAGAGTGTAGTTTAGTTTTCAGATGCACTTTTGTACTCCTTTGCCTTTTGTTTCATCTGTGCAGAAGTAAAAGCAAATTTTAAAAATGAAGGATTTATTTTTGTGCAGAAAATATGGTGTTATGAAACTGGAAAGTGATTTTTACAGCATTCCAATTTTTTTTGTGGTTACATGCTTAAAAAATATAGCTTGCATTTTTTGCCTTTTATGACACACTGTAACTGAATGAGGTAAAAGGCTTGTTAAAACCAAATTTGACTAAGTCATTAAAGTGCAAATTAATGATAAAGAGTAAGAGTTGTGTGTAAACTCCTCATAATCAATCTTCACTCTACCTAGCAGTAATAAACACAGTTAAGGTGGTTTTTTTTCTGTGTAGTACGGAAATTATATTAACCCATATATATATTAAAGTTTCTGAGTCTCTCTCAATTCTTGTTGCAGATAATAACCCAAATCCAGAAATCCTGGAAGAGTATATAGTTGAAAATTTTTTGCATTTAAATGTAAACATTGACATGGGCCCATATGTACACCAATACAATGAATCAGAAATGAAGAGAATAGAAAAGTTTAAGTATTATGTAATCCCCATAGTCATTAAAAACACCACCAGCAGCAGCAGCAACAAAACCAACAACAATAATAATGTTTATTTTATATTATTTGAATATTTCATTTTTAATATTAAAAAAAATTATTTCATTCCTTCATGGAGGGTTTAATGATTTCACTTGATATTCATCTGTGAGGTCTCATAAACGAAACCAAGGGTGGAAAAGAAAAACAAGTGCATCTGAGTGCTTACAAACAAATAAGGTATATGAGATACAAGTTGCAAGATATGTAACAGCAACTTTTATTTTGCTTGCCTTTTTGGATGTTCATTAAAATTTGGCTTGTAATGTTGTTCGTGTTGGCTCAGTTAAGCCAGGACTATGTGTTCCTTTTTATTGCTCTGCAGCAAAGGGAAAATTGAGTGGCTTCTATTTCAAAAAGTCATTTGATGTTGGTTATTGGTGAGTAATTTGTGTGCAAACACATGTAGGAAATTCTTGTGTCTGTCCCATCCTTCGGGAAGTAAGGCATGACAGCTCAGTGGAGAAAGGTCTCCACTGAAGGAAAATGCCAGGTGTTCCTTCCCCTCTTTTTGTTCCTGAAAGTGCCAAAGTTTGTCTGATTGAGAGGTATGTGCTAGGGGCCAGGGGGAACTGTCAAATTCTAAATCGCACTTTTTTGCAAGAGTCTTTGCCCACACCTGAGATTAGGTGAATTGAAAGAGATTAGAAGGAAAATGTCCCTCTCTTGTTTGTTTACACTGCTGCATTTGACAGCGTTTTGGACACCATCAATTCTCTCAATAGAGTCAAATTTCTCTGACTGCTTGTGCAAGTGCTTTCACGCAGCATGAGAGGGGAGAACCATTTTATAACACAAGTGAAGTGATTTGAAAAACACAGGCACTGTCAGAGGCAATAAATATTCTTCTCTTAATTCTTTGAAGAATACTTGCAGTACTGAGAGTACTGATTGCTCTGTGGTAATTCCTGTCTTAGACACACACACAAATGATTGCTGGTATACTTAGAAGTATTACTCATATGTATTTTTTTCCTCTTGCAAATGTACTGTGAAAAACTCCCCTGCTGAACTGTGAAAATAATATATTGCACCTTGTGCTTATACTTTTGTGTATTTTTCTGAATCAGCAGTTCTACTGTGAATATAGTAGTAAAAATATTCTATTAAAATAATGTAGATGCCTTTAATGTACCGGTGATAAATCATATTCCTAGAAGAAATTGCCATTTGGCTACTTTTCTTTGCTTCCTGGAAATATGATGAAGTGTGCTTTTTAATATGTGTGCATGCATTAGAGTGCCTGTCAAAGAGAGCGTAAGCCTGTGTTTTGGAAGGATGTCTCTGAACTCTCCTCATGACTGAGCAAATCCAGGCACCGAGAGCTACTGAATCATGTTCATAGAAGCAGGATTGTAAAGGCCAAACTGCTCATTCACTGTTTGCAACTATAAGCACTCTGCTAGCTATCAACCAGCTGAATTTCTCATACGTCATCTTACACATGTTTCCTTCTGTTTAGCAAATTTGATCATCCTCACATTCTGAAGTTACTCGGTGTGTGTCTGTTAAATGAACCTCAGTATCTTATACTGGAGCTGATGGAAGGAGGGGATCTACTTAGCTATTTACGAGGAGCCAGAAAGAAAAAGGTGAAGACCATAAGAATCATATTTTTAACCTGTAGCTGCCCACAGCTTCTCAGTTTTTCCCTTTCTAAAAGTCCTTGCTGATGCTCAGCTGTTTCTATACAAAGCAAGGTCTGACCTGGCTTTTCCTTAACACCCTGGGACCTGAGTGTTCAGTGCTGACCTTGCAATCAGTGATGTTGTGAAGAGATTGAATGTCATTAGATCACTGACCAAAATTGTGGTTTCAGTCATGAGATGTCTGCTGATTTCTCACTATGAAAATCATAAACTGTCCTTTTGAAAGTGGTAATAAATAATGGTGGTCATGTATGTGGTTTATTAGGAATCATAGACTTTTTTTTTTTTTTGTCTTTGAATAACAACAGTGTCCTTAATGTGAGAGGCATAGTCCAAACATATAAGAATATGCTGTCCCTGTGCCTATGTCCTCAAATTCTTTAGAAGGAAAGAAAAGAATAAACGACCTAACGACTTCAAGTTAATTTTTCTCCAGTTAGTGTGTGGATTTGCAATATGCATGGTATTATGTGAGGACAAAATGAAATTTTATAGCATTATAGCAATTGCATAGGTCATTTACATAATCAGATCAAATCTGCAGTCAGTGTTGAATTCTAATGAAACGCATATACACGTGTTCTACTAGAAAAATTCATTACACTGATTAATACAGCTATACATTTCAAATGGGGAAATACATTGCAAATGGGGAAATACATTTCAAATGGGGAAATACATTTCAGTGAGGAAATCTTCCATGGGGAGTTTGTCATTCTGAGTTGGTAAAGCTGGAAGAAATAGCTAACTTCTGCCTTTTTTCTTGTAGCTCCAGAGCCCTTTACTGAGAGTCACTGACCTCTTGGATATATGTTTGGATGTTTGCAAAGGCTGCGTCTATTTAGAGAAAATGCATTTTATACACAGGTACAGAACGTACTTCCTTAGTCTTCCCAGGTTTACCCACAGTATTGAGACTCATTACCTTACCCAGGAAAAAAGGTCTAGAAAAATGTCACTACATGACAGGAGAGAGCACTGGAGTAAAATCTAAGGCTCTGCTTTTCTGCTAAATGTTACTCACAGTTCTTTCCCAAAGTAGTGGGCTACTCTAAGGTCTGAACCAAGGACTTACTGCACCCTAGGCAAGAATCATATCGTGTGCAACAGAGAGAAGGACAAGTGGAAGATCCATGCACTGTATTTGCCTAATGGGTATCTTTAGAGGATGCAGAGCAGACTTTTCTCAGAGAGGTACAGGGAAAACATGAGAAGCAACAGGCACAAATTACAGCGAAGGAAATTAGATAATATTGTTCACAACACTCCAGAGCAATCACTGAAACAGGTTGTCCAGAAGGGCTGTGTCATCTCCAGATGAAGACATGCCAAATGTAACTGGGTGAGGCCCTAAATCACTTGAACCAGCCTTGGAGCTGGCACTGCTCTGAAGAGAATGTTGAGCCAGATGACTTACAGACCTGAGTTTTTCTGCAATGCTAAATCCATCCTCTTTTCTTTGCCTCACAAATCAGGGACTTGGCTGCTCGCAACTGTCTTGTGTCTGAGAAGGAATACAGGCGTTCATCCCGGATAGTAAAGATTGGTGATTTTGGACTCGCCAGAGACATCTATAAAAATGATTATTACAGAAAAAGAGGAGAAGGTCTACTCCCTGTCAGATGGATGGCTCCTGAAAGCCTTATTGATGGTGTCTTTACGAGTCGCTCTGATGTCTGGTGAGTTACAGCAGCCACAAAGCTGTGGTGATAACCATACTGAATTCTGCAGCAAGAAAATATTGGTTTAGAGGAGGAATTGCAGGGTTGTATATTGTCATCTCTAATAATTTTTTGGCTCTGGCAGAGTTCCTCCTAAGTGGAATTTTAAGGCTCTAATGAAATATTTGACACCATGACAGTACGTTTCATGGATATATTTCTTTATGTTTTAAGATCATTGGATTTTGGCTGGAAGGAACTAGTGTCACTCAAATAATTTTACAGTTGCACCAGGCCCACAATGTGGTTTTTGGTTGATTGGGCAATGAATTTACTGCCTGCATGCTGTTCCATTTTGTTTTCCATTAGGTTTATTGACATTTCCTTCCAACAGCCCTTACAACTTTGCCCTTACAGTTTCACCCTCTTGTAGTAACTTCTTTATTTTGCAGACCAGACTTTGCAGCATAGTCAGGAGAAGGTCACAGTACTTTTTTTGTGGAGATTAGCTAAAAGTGTGCTTTTCGTGGCTTTGAGTTTATTGTGAAGAAGCAGAGACCCACTGACAGGAGACATGGAAAAAAACCCACAGACTAAACCAGATCCATGAAACCTGATATTCACACAAGTTTAGATTTCGGTGGCCACGTGTACTCAGCCTGTGGGTCTTGTTCAAGTCCCCAGAGTCTTTACCTATCTATTTGACTGCTACTCTTGCACTTATTTAAGAAAGTAGTTTAGTACTCTGTGCCAAACCAAAGGAGATGCTGATTGCTCCATGAGTAGTGCTTAGAAGAACTTGTCTTTCTCCATTTTTAACCACACCTCTAGAGATTTCAGAACACTTGTTTATATGAGAACATGCTCAACCTGAGTGTTTCCCGGGGAAGATATGGGCAGTCAGTGTCTTCTGAGCTGCATCTCAGTGAGTCTGGGAAAGAAGCTCAGTTCTACACATTTATTTTAGCTATTCAAAGGTTGGCTTAGGGACAAAACCAAATTATGTCTTCTTACTCCTATTTTTTCTGAGTCTTATTCTTAGGTTAGACACAATCTGACTGTTAATAGGGTGATTTCGTGATTGCCATGGTTATGAATTTTTCTCTCTTTTTTTTTTTTTAATGGTTTTTCTCAGGGCTTTTGGAGTACTAGTGTGGGAAACATTAACTTTGGGTCAACAGCCATATCCAGGTTTGTCCAACACAGAAGTTTTACACCATGTACGATCAGGAGGAAGGCTGGAATCTCCAAACAATTGTCCTGATGACCTGTAAGTTACTTTTGTTTAAATGTTGTTGATAATATTTGTAAGAAGCAAGAGGCTTTTTGCCAGTTGGTTATCATTTTGAAGGTTGGTCATGTCCATGAAGAGCCCAACATCCTCCACTTTCATTTCCAATAAAACTGGCCAACCTGCTACTAATTCATCCAGCAGACCAGGCTGTGAATAAGAATTTAACGCATGGATCTGGTAGTAGTGTGAGAAAAGGCTGAGAGTACCTAAAGGTATTAGTTAGAAGTTAAGATGGCTCCAAGAAAAACTTTACCTCTATACATCATGTGTCTGTGACTGTGGATAAAACTCTCTTTCTTGATGGTAGGTGCAGGAATAGGCTAATATTAGAACAAAAGTGAAAAATAAACTCTGCTTTTTGTAGAGAGAACTCAAAAAAGCCAATAAGAAAAGCTGAAACAGTACAGGAAAAGGGAAGTCTGCACCTCTGGTTAGTCTTTATCTGGACTGGATAAGTAAATCCTTAATTTCTTTTTGTGTCTTGAGCACAAAACTCGGATTTAATTGCAAAATTCTTGCAATTAAGAGAATAAAATAAATACATCCTGTGGATCAAACCCACACTGTCCAGAGGTATATGAAAGATATACCTTCATATACCTCTGTTCTGAGGAAGCAGAACATGAGCTTAACAATCACTCAGTATTGTCTAATTTTGTGTCTCAATTTCTTTATCACCCACTCAGCAAAAGCAGTCACAGCAATGCACTTGACAGATGGTCCTACAAATAGGAGAGGCTACTGGAAGAGAGCAATTCTTACTCTCAGGGCTGAGGAAAAGACTTGAGAATAATTCTGTATTTGGCAAGCCAATACCTCCATGATAGATCTTATACCAGTAACCATGTTCTGAGCTTAAAAGAAGGTGATTATTTATGTAGATATAGCTGAAATACCAAGTTAGAAATAAAATGCACAGAAAAACCCCAAACTAAGCTTTAACACTTGGAGGAACTGAAGAACAGAAGAGATTAGAATTTTGCTTTATTAGCAGAGGGAGAACTGGAAGTCACGGAACAAATGAAAGCCCAAAGAAATTTTAATTACAATATTTTCTGCTGAGAAAGGTTTCCTCAAAAAATTTCTGACATCTGTCCTGTGAATAAAAAAGCACAGGAGGCAGCTATATCCGTGGACTAGTTTGACATTCAGACTTAAGCAAAGGCTCAAAAATTGCGCTAAAACAAGGGACTAGATCTTCAGAAAAATCAAGAAAACTTTGCTAGAAATAATGTTTAAGGTCCCAGATCTTGAATTTAGCAGAGGAGATAGGTCCTACATACTGGTCTGCCTGTTGTAACTTGTAAGATCAGTGCCTAATAGTAGTTTCTGAAAGCCAAAGAGCTGATGAGCTTAGACTCTTGTACCATCTTTTATCTCATTTGGTGAACACTCAACACCTGCATGCAGCTTCTGTCAGTAGCATAAACAGCTTTTTGCTGCTTTGCTAGGTCATTAATGGCATGCCGGGATTCTTGACATTCCTGCTTCCCTCCTTGTGGTTTTGAACCTGCATCAGGACATCAGCAGTCAGTAATTGTCTCCTCAGCACTTTGGCTTGCTCATTGTCATTTGACAAAACAAACCATCACTGATAGGAAGAGAGTTCAAAGGCCAAAGTACTTCAGCTGAGAAGTGTTTAGGAAACTGTGATAGGTTTACACTGCAAGTGCAAGTAGGGCTGGCACAGAAATCTTAGGGTGTAAAAGCATGAAGGAAGTGGGTTGTTTGTTTGGTTTTTTATTTGGAAGGTGGGAAAAATTCTTCCCCTTGCCTCCATAAATTGCTACTCCAGGAACTACTTTTCCCCAGAGAACTGTGGCTAGGTAAACCTTGGTAAAGAATTGAAAAAGGGTCTTGGAGATGTATAAATGAGACACATATATTGAAACATGAATTAGATCTATGAATGTAAATACATTTGCAGTCAGAAATCCACATCTGGCACAGCCACGTGGGTATGAGGCTTGCATGCAAGAGAATGCCGAGGTTTGGACTGAACTGAGCTAATTTAACAAATCCTCAAAGGCCGTGGATTACAGTCTACAGAACTTGCATAAGCACCAAGACGCTTGCTGACTTGAAATCGCAGTTTCAGGAATGTTGAGTGTTTTTCAAACTTACACAAGCAACTTTGATAAGAAATTTTAATTTGGTAACTAACAGCTTTTTATTATTTGTTTCTGGCAATGATCCCCTGGAAGGATTAAGAGAGTGAGAGAGAAGAAGGCCTTGAACAGAATGCATTAGGTGAAATCAAGGGCTTTTTATAATGACAAATTTTCTCATTTTCTAAGATAATCACACATAAATTTTATTTCCCATTTCAGGAGAGAAAAGTATTGGATATGCTTGTAGCTTCTGTGCACTATAGTGAATTTCAGGAATGTTCACATTCTGCCTCCAATATCCAGCACTGAATATTAGTTCTTTACTTTTCCAGGCTCTCAAATTCTAACCAGCCCCACATAAGCAGCTCTATTGGACATTTGATTGTTGCCCCCAGATAAAACACTGGTGTGAAGTGTGAGTTTGTAGGTGTACATCTAGTGTAAATGTTAGCTCTTGAACCCAGCATAAACCTTTAGCCAATGTTGTGTTTGGAACTGTAATGTTCCATGTCTTCCTGACAGGCTTTCCCCATGAATAGGGGAATCCTCTGGGTCTCTTTCTCATGCTGAAGTGATGCACTATTTGCTAGCCCATGTTTGGCTCCCCAAAAATATAAGAATATGTTCAATCTGTCACTTACATGTATCTTGGCAAGTTAAGCTCTCTTTCTCCCTCTTGACTGGTCTCATACTCATGCATTTCTGAGCTAATGAAAGTTTGTGCCATATGACTTAAAACTTTGGATGTCACAGCATGCCTCAAAAGCTAAATGTCATGCCACAAATAGCTGTACACGTAAAATTTGCAGATATATTCTGAGAGAGCATGAAAGTTTTTGCCATTAGAAACCTAAAGCCTATCTGAATTAACCACTTAGTGAAAAATACCAGTACTGATACTTTAAGCTAATCACTAAATAATTTGATTTAGGAAATAAAAACATAGAATATAATTAAAATGAGAATATTACAGTACTGAATTACAGTTTTGGCAGAAGTTAATATCCTTACTCCATAGCAAAACTGAATGGCTTTATAAAGCAGATTGTCCAGTAAAAATAGTTATTTAGAAAGGCAGAGATTGGTCATAGGAAACAAAACAAAAAAATTCATATTCCACACTCGCGATGTTCTTGTTACATAAATGAAAAGAGGGTAAATTTAGATTGTGTATAAGAAAGAATTATTTTACAATGAGGGTGGTGAATCACTGAAAATATTGCCCAGAGAAGCTGTGGATACCCCATCCCCGGAGCTGTTCAAGGCCAGGTTGGGTGGGGCTTTGAGGCTTTGATGTAGTGGAAGATGTCCCTGCACATGGCTGGTGGGTTGGTCTAGATGATCCTTGAAGGTCCCTTCTGACCCAAAACATTCTACGAGTCTATGATTTCTGTATCATTTTCTGTTTCTTTCCTGGTCAGTGGCTGGCTGTTTCTTCCACAAGGCTCTGCTCATGAGAGCCCAAGTGCAAATCTGATGAAACACAGCACCTGAACTCATGGTTTTTTTGCCTGGATATCCTACCAACAAGCACTACCAGAAAGAAGATTATTTGGCTTCCAGAATCCAAGGCTGGAATTCAGTGTGACAGACACTTTGCAGGCAGCAGAAGGAAAACCAGTTATTTAACCTTATTTTGAGACCTATTCAGTTCTTTTCCTTCTATATTTCCAGCATCATCAATAACAAGTACACCTGAAAGTAAGCAGATGAAGTGATTCAGAGTGTTAGGAAGCCAATACCACTTTTTAAATTCTTAAAATGGATTTTCAAAATTTCATGGAATCCTTTTGAAAAAAATCATAGTTACTCTGTTCAACTTGAAAACCACAAGAATACAGGTTGATGAAAAGTGGCTTTGAAAAAATTTATACATTAACATTTTAATGAAAAATACCATTGAAAAATCAGAAGACAAGTGACTCCTCCCAGCTGTCACTAAGGGCTTTTTAAGATGCCCAGTTGTGGTGAAGGACAGAAGGACAGCAGTCATCTTTTTAAGACAGATAAGCGAGGATCTAAGCAAGGCAATTCATTTCACATAACAGATTAACGCCTGGTATCACATAGCAGCAGGTCTGGGAAGATGTTTGTCAGGGGAGGGTTTGAACTTAAGGCTTAGAGGTAAATGCTCCACATTCCAGATGCAGCTTCCTGAACCAGCCTTTCACTGGCTGCTCTCTGGTTTTGAGACTCTGAGACCTCTTTCCACTCCCAACAATTAGCAAGTCCAGGTGTTGGCTGTGTTTTGGTTTTCAGCCTGTCTCTCCCCAGCTTTTGTAGGATTTGGTTTTGTGCAGCATAAACTCACCTTGAGCAAGGAATAAAAACCAGCCCTATCATTTAGATAAACAACAGGTAAATTTTCCACTAAGTGGTAGTGATAGTATTGTACAAGGTGGGCTAGAATCCCTGTACACAGAGGTAATTCTTACCATGTTTGCCTTTGGAAGACTTATTCCTATTTGTTTTGATCTGGAGGTAAAAGTTGGAATTAACTCTCCCTGTGCTGGAGGGTTTGCCTTGAACTTCTCCTGAATGTGAGGTAGCCTGAGATGAAGAAGGATTAAATAAGTTGAAAACTTCACATTAATTTCTGATTTTACACTTCCCCTTTTTTTTTTTTTAATTTTTTTAATTTTTTTTTTTTTTTTTTTTTCTGTGAGGGAATTTCTTCCTTGTCTGCTTTCTTAGAAAGTATTCCTAACTTCTTCAGGGAGAGTAGATATTCATGGCAAATGTGTATTTTTTAAAAATGTTATATCTGCTTCCAATCTCAAAAATATTCATCTCAAAAAAATTAAAATGTTTAAAAGTAATTATTCTCAACTTTGATTTGATCTTTAATTTGTTTTTCATTGCCTCAGCAGCTGATGATGATCTTTGTACCACACAGAAAGTTTTCAGACCAAACATTGCTCACAGATGTTTAATGGTAATTGTTGAGATGAATGACTCTATCATCATTTTTGTATGCATTTACATTTTTTTTCAGATGTGATTTAATGAAAAGATGCTGGTCCCAAGAACCTCACAACAGACCTACTTTCTCTTGTATTCATGACAAACTGCAAGAGATAAGACACTCTCCACTGTCCTTCATCTGCTGCCCTGAAAACAGAGAGGCATCAGCTGGAGTCATCAATGAAGCTTTTGAAGGTGAGTCTGGGCCAGCACCTGCTATTCTTGTGGCCTCTGCCCTATAAGCAAAGTGCTTCTCCTTGCATCTGTCACTGCCTCAAATCCTCTGGCTGTTACATGGAAACAGCAAAGATTTATTTCTATCATACTGAACTTGTAAAGGTTCATTCTGTGCCTGGGAGCTACAACGAATTAGATGAAGGATGTATAAGATTAGCTAGCAAAAGGCCCAGATGAGGCTGTAAATTAAGCCTGACTCACAGAGACATCCAACTGTCACCTGAATTCTTAGTAGTTCACAACCCTGTTCCTCTAAAATAGATGCCTAAGTTCCTTGCAGAGCAAGGAGAGTCTTAGAAATCTTCCATGTGGAAATCTGTCAAAATTTCAAAGACATCAGTGTCCTCTCCATGAGCTAAACATGGCCATTAGGCACCTCCTCCAGGAGTACTGGCTCAGCAGCTACCTGCAAGTGAGGCATCATTTAGGCACCCCAGTAAGGCAGCCTCTATCCAAGCCCAAGCCCCGATCGATTCAGGTCTTGCCAATGCTCTGCGCACTGTGAACAAATAAACTAAGTGATGTTAGGGAAGACGTGCAAAAGATATGGGACACAACACAGCTCAGTTGTATAAGAACACTATTAAGGTTGTGAAGGCAGGGATTAAGAAAAAAGGTAATGCTAAATTTGGAGTTGTCTGTGCAGCTGGGATGTAAATAATCTAAATATGAAAATTGACATCCTGGCTGGGCCTGAATAGTGATCTAGTCACATCCTGCAGTAATTCTTGACTAATGAAATATTGAGAAAAATGAACAATATTAGTAAAAATGTGATCTGGATAAAAAAAGAAAGTTTTTATCAGTTGAAATATTTCACTTTTATTTCACAGATTATTTTTTTCATTTATTCTGTTTGCATGCTATGGTTTTATAATGAAAATATTGAATGGTAAAAGAACTAATTTTTTCAGGTTTAGAAACCTGACTGTTTCTAAAATATCTAAAGATTTTGTGTTTTAGAGGTGATTTTTGTGGTTTTTTTTTTCCTTCACAAATTGTTACTGAACTAGGAACTGACCCTGATTCACAAACAGTTTTGATACTTCAGTACTTCATGTTTTCCTGAAAACTTCCTGATCTATCCCAGGAGTTACACAACCACATAGACATTTTTCTTCAGGATACTATCTATATTCAATTCACTGGCATTGTTCAATTGTCACTTAATTTGATATTTTGCTAATCTCTATCATTTGGAGAAGCTTTACAAATGTCAGTTTATTTCCATTGTGATTTCTCTTTATGTCAAATCCAGTCTGTTCATGGCATGTTTACATTGCAAGACTAAAAATTGTATAAAGACATGAAGAGTCTAGCACAGATAATCTATCATTTCATGCTTTTTTAGCAGCTAATTTTGCACCCTTATGCAATAATGAAAAACAGTTTGCATATAGTATAATTCTTCAGTTTCTTTAAGGGTATCTTAGCTCTCAATAATGACATTCAGGAAAGAGATACTCAGTCTGGCACAAATGTAAGCCTGGCATTAGCTCAGGAAAGGACTACAGCCAATTAATTAGGCACTATGCCCAAGCTAATAGGCATTACATTTTGGATGGACTTTATCTCACCTAAATGCAGCTGTCTACAGGCTAGAAGCCTCATCTAGGATACTCTTCTAGATAGCTCTGCAGTCAGAAGCAGAAAGTGACAGCTCCTGTTTTTTGGGCATGTATCACAGCAGGAAAGGTGTCACCTTTTGCCTTACTCTTCACTGATGATGGCTGGCATCCAGGTGACTTGCCATATTTAATTTGGTTCACAAAGAATCACAGGGTGGGTAAGACTGGAAGGGACCACTGGAAGTGACATCCCTGCTCCAACATCCCTGCTCAAGCAGGGTCCCCCCAAACACATTACCCAGGATACTGTCCGAAATACAACATTTCAGCTATAGTATCTCAGACCAGATGTTTCATTTTCAGATGGCTAGAGGAGCACAGCATCCACTGGACAGAGGGCTGTACTGATTCCATTGCTTGCACCCACTCCTGAGCTACTTTGGTTTCCTCACTTAGACATCTCTTCTCTGCGCTCCCTAACTCCACAGGCAACAGAGACATGAAAACTAACAGAGTTAAGAAGTTCTTGTGGCATTGCATCAATATCTGTCAAAATCTTTAGCAGGGCTGAAATTTCTGGAGAAACCTACCTTTCTGCTGCTTGGAACTGGGGAAAGGGGCTGGAAGATTGGTTACTGTGTTTGTGGTGGAATAGACCTGGCACAGATGTAACATGAATGAGTTTCAGTTTCAGAGCAAGTCTCTGCTTAGCATGTGTCAGATAAGCCTGATCTTTCTCCAGCCGTTAACTTGCTCAAACTAAGATAATAATTACTTTCACTGGGATGACAAATACACATTCTTAATGTAAGAAACATTATTTTGCCAAAATTTCAGGTTCTGCCACACAGCAGAGGTCCTAGAAAAAAGGCCATTGTTTTGTTTATTTGCCAGGAGCAAAAGATGCATTCTTAGAAATTACTAAGTTGCAAAGGAAAACATGGATTGAGGCTTCCATAAAAGTGTCAGTTTGAAGGATAAAAATTAGAAAAAAATCAGTTTAGTGCAGAAAATATGGTAGTATAGTGGACTTTAAGGGTGGTTTTAATAATAGCTCTGTACTCCATAATGTAATTTCAGTCAGATAATCTGTTGACAGCAGTCACTTTTAAAATCAGACTCCATTAAACCTGTTTATAACACCTTGGTTGGTAAAATCTGGCCCACTGTGGTAAGGAGGGCAATTCAGAGTAGGCAGAGCTTTGGCTGTCAGAACTTCTACTTGGCACACTCTCTTCCTGAGCCTTGGACCTTTCCCCACCAGCTGTCATGTTCCCTCTTCTGGCTTCCTCTCATCCTTCCCTTTCCATAGGTTCTGCCCAGCTGCAGCTGGTCAGTTGCCACAGACCCATTGCTGGATCTGCATTGGGGGGAGAAGACAGAGCAACTGTTTTCATGCTCCCATTCAATGTTTTCATGCTTCAGTTCTCAAAAGTCCTTCTTAACTTCTCCTCGGGTTCATTTGGTGATTCTCATACAGGAAATACCCTTCAGGAAACAGGGTAGCTTGGATTTTATTCATCTGAATACCATCCTTCCATTTAAATGTATTTTAAAAGACTAAACAATTGACAAGCCCTTTACATGTATAATGTCATACTTATTTTCCTGTATATTTATAATTCACCTGTAGGTTTTCTCCCTCTTTCTCCAAGCACAGTCTTAATAAGCCCATTAAAATGTTATGCTGTTTACTTGATTGAAGCTCTACATTCCTCGTGATGTCTTATTGTTGCTGGATTTTCTGATCAAGGACACATGCATGTCAATTTTCTATAGCTCTCCAGCCTTGAATTAATTTTCTGCCTTTTTCTGCCTGCCATGTAAATCTCATGCGGTGGAATTCAGTAAGACGTGGGCTCCAGAAGTGAGACTGATTTAAGCAAAAAAAGGCCATTCAGGTTCTACTTGAGTTTCCAGACTAAAATGTGTGCTCCACTATGACCCTGTCAAAAACAGTTTGAGGCATGGAATATGTCTCAGACTGTAATTTGTAACACGTATAATAAGTCAGTGATTTTTAAAATTTGTATTCATTTCTAGCTGGGACTAAGTAAAGTATTTCTTGTGTTCATAGTAGTAGTAGATAGATGACAACCAAAACAAATAATCCAAAAGCCTGTTCCATGATGGATTGTCCTCGACAATATTTTCCAAAAATGCTACACGGTCATTGGCCTTTGTGTGTAATGAAACTCCAGCCACGAGCCTCCAGCCAAGAAATGCTTGCTCTCACCAGGTGACCTAGTTTCAAAAGAAAGAGACAAATGTCAAGCAAAGTGAAATTACATGCCTCAAAATAGCTAGGATACTTAGCCTTACAGGGAATCATACATCTTCCAAATTCTGTTGAGTCTTACCTACCCATGGTTAGCCACACTTCTAGCAGGTCCCTGCATGCTGTTGGTGATTTTCATATGTGGGAGAGCTGAAAAACATTAGATTTTCCCAATAACCTTAATGCCAGTGCGGTATGACACAGAGATGGCAAGTGTGGGTAAACCAATACAGACAGGCTGCTAGTGGACAGCATGCTAGCAGGATAGCATCGGGATGGCAAAAGCAGCACATGCTGTGTTATTGCAAGAGTTACCCTTCTAAAGCAGGCATCAAGTGTCAATAAACACGCCTGAGCAATACCAGCACCTCCTGGCACTGCTGCATTGGGAGTGAGGGAAGTAAACTCGGGACCAGGACCTGCCAGTTTAGTGTTTTTCCTTCTTGCTCTCACAGGCTTTCCCAAGACATTGATTTTGGGTTTACAGTAGCAGTAACAATATTTATTTGAGTGAGGGCAGCACAATCAAGCCAGAGGACTGAGACACCAGTGGGTTTTGAATTCAATGGGAATTTCCTGAGCCCAGGCCCTGTCACCAGAGTTCCTGCTCATTGCTGAAAGTTAGTCCGTTCTTCCCCCAGTTCTAAGAAGGGCAGCATGCTAGAAGGATGGCCCTGCATTGCTATAAAAATAACTGGACCATCTATTTTCAGACATCAGTTTTTACATTTGCACATATAAGACAGCACTATAGTTTTTCAGGTCCCATGAATGCCCCCTTACAGATGGAAACACCTGTTTGATTTGGCAAACGACTTTCCTGACATCAGACAACTGGGCATTAAGCAGCTGGAGAGACTTCTTGCCTTTATGACCTAGAAGGACTATTCTTATCAGGGCTACTCCTCACAGTGCCTTTTGGACCTATATGGAAAAGATGCCCAATTGCTCAGAAAAAGAAGCTCCTCTGGCAAGAGGTGATACCAGGCAGTTGGAGAAAATCCAGGGTAAAAGGCAAAAAACTGAAAGGAAACATATTTGGCTTCAAAACCTTAGTTTTAAAATTCTAAACTGGAGATATTGCTTGAAAAATGTGGCAAGACACAAGAGTTAGAATATAATAATGTTTCTTTTTTTCATTTTTCTTTCCAATGTCAGTGTATTTATTTCTTCAGCAGTTCAGGTATTTGCTAAAATTGTCATTTGTATATTTTTTAAATTTCTGTACAATATTTTACACTGAGAGGACTTGATATTAAAGCTAGAATCAGCGATTTCATAATTAATTATATATGTGCACTCTGTGCTGGCCGAGTACCTGTTTTCTGTTTCCCATGCAAGAGTCATCAGTTTATTTTCCTAAACTCAAACAACTACTTTTAAAAACTACTCCACACAGCTCTTGAATGTAAATAAATCACTTGGGCAAATGGAAGCTTCTCTAAAGCAGATGTGTTGATAAGCAACATTTTTAGAACCTTGTATCTAGTCTCCTTTGTATTTTTCTGAAATTCAGTAATCCTCTTCCCCACTTAGCTTAGTGAGTGGCTGACCCAAAACCTGCAGAGGTCAGATAAAAGGCTGCTTCCAAAAAAGAGTGTGTGGCTATGACAATGCAAGAAAAGGGGAACTTGGTGGTGCAATAATTTCTTATTTGTGCTCCAGACAAATGGTGTTTGATTCCAGAGGGTGCACATGAGCCTTATGAGGCTGCAAGTGAAGTTATGCCAATACTTTACCATAGACCAAAGGAAAAATCAGATGGTGTAAGACTGTAAGAGCTGACATTTGTGTAGGCAGATGTGGACACATATAGGCAACTAAAACATAAAAACTGCATTTGCACTGGGTGTCTAGGCTGTTTGACAGTCACCAGAGACTTGTAGGCATGTTCAGGGGATGTTAATGTGTAAAGGCAAGGATGTGGATTAAGCATCTCCACAAAGTGATTCATTCCTCCTTTCTCTGTTGACTGTAAAGACAGCTTAGGCAAGGAGCTTAAATTGGGCATGTAAGACCTGAGTGGTTAAAACTTGGTAAAATGAATCGTGTTTCATAACCTGGAGAAAGGGAGTGCTTTCCTATTTGTATAGTCTTACTGCATTGCAGCAAATGTGAAACTAGGGGTTTTTTTCATGCATTTCTATTATAAATTTTAATAAACTAGGTAAGGAGCAGGTTTATATCTGTAATTACTAGGACACAGATTTCAGTACAGAGTTCTCTAAAAAATACATTAAAATAAAAAGAAAGTCACTGCTTCAAGCAGATTAGTGCAGGGGAAATTCAGGTTGAACAAAATTCTCGCTTTTAACACCTTTAGTGTCTGACAGAATAGCAAAGCTCAGTGAGTCACCCTCAAACCATGCAAGATCATATGCTTCATTAGGCAGGAAACACAGATATATCTCCACTGATACATAATACAGAGTGGAGTATTAAAACGGATATATATTTGTTCTATTTATATTCTTACTGGCTATGTGCAGAAACTGAAACACAGCTCCTCCAGCTCCAGGTGGCCATCAGGTATCAGAAAAATACTCTCTACACAGGAGTTGTCTCCTTGAGCTAACCAACATGGCTGAGGTGAAGAAGTCAAGGTTCAATAGCCACCGTTTTCACCCTTAACAAAGATATGTCATCAGGTGTTTCTCTTGAATGTGTTTCCTGGCGGGTATATCTTTCATCCATGCCAGTAAGTCAGCCAGTCTCTTGTTTACTGCCACATACATTGTGTAGCAGTGACAAAGGACAGAGTATGTACCAGAAAAAGAGGAGGGTATTACTGAGAAACAGGAAATGCGGCTGGACTTCTAAATACCTTACCATACTGAAGGTGCTAAGCATCATATGGGATTATGTCACCCGGAATTAGTAACGTCTCAGGCTGGCTACTTAGCTGGTGTAAATTGGTGACACCCCACTGGTTTCAATGGAACTTCATTAATTTATTCTAGCTGAGGGTCTGGCCCTGAAATAGCTGTAATATAAGATCAGCATCTCTAGATCAGTTTATTCAGTCTCAACCAATCAGCTTTTCTACTGACATTCTTTCTCTTCTTAAATGTTGTCACATTCTGGAATTTAAACACCAAAACCCCCTCGTCTACTTATCAAGATATCACAAAAATTTGCACCCTTCCAGGCAGGACTTCAAAACATGTTGTGAGTCCCCAGAGTTTACCAAGCAGGCAAGGACAGGCACTCTGTGATCGTGAGGCAGGACCCACGGCCCGGCTCGGCACGGCGGCTGCCCTGCGACAGAAAGCAGCCAGCCGAGGTTCTGGGATGGGGAAGGGGAAAGCACAGATTTTATCAGGTCAGGGCTGGTCTTCTCAGAGGAGGCTAAGCAAGCAAACTCTATTCCTCTATAGTATGAGTCAGGCGATTGTTGTTTCGTGTGTCAATTAATGTGGGGCTCTCCAGAGTAATCTTCTGCCTATCCCCGGAGAGAGGTTGTTGTAATTAGTTTACCTGCAGTTTGGCTCACATGTGCTTTATGCACAAGTTCTAAGCACAGGTTTTAAGCTTTAAGCCCGGCTCTACTAGGAAAAGTGTCCAGCAAGGTCAAAGCCACATGCATTTAGGACCTGAGACGTGTCTGTGCAAGTACAATGCTGAGCTTTGAACTTGCCATTTTAGCTGTAGGAAGCAGCCTGGGATAGCACAGAGCTCAGTGGGATCCTGCTTCTCAGTGGGGTACTCCTCAGCCTGTACAAAGCTCAGGACTGACAGAGCAAGACTGCCTCGTGCCCTGAGGTTGATTTGTTTAAAGCAAATCTGGGTAACTCTACACTATGCAGCAGTTTGCAGTGTAGACAATCCCTCAGAATTCAAGTCTGTAGAGCTGACTCTCCAGCTTGACTTCAGATTTCATGAAGGTGCTCCTTGGACGTCTCCTCTTGGTGTGTTTTGTTGACTCAGCCCAGCTTTGCTTGTGAAATCTGAGGGGATCACATCACATGGTTTATCCTGCATTTACTCACGTATAACCCAGCATGACTGTACATCAATCAACTAATTTTAGCGATGTTAAAACTGAAAAGAAAATAGTGATATCTTATAAATATACTGACCTGCCTCTCCACTCCAGTTTCTCTCTATCTGCCTTCAATTTCTTAACATTTTTTGGGAGGGCCTTCCAAAGATTATTCACAATTCTCTGAACAGACTTACAGCTTCCCAGGGTGCTGGTGGTGCTTCTAGTCCTCACATTTCTGGGGGAATTTCACAACATATCATGAATTTTTTCTTCAATCACTCATTTTTAGTATTTTGCGTCTCCATCCATTCTTCTGCTCCAACTAAATGAGCAAAAATAATTTACTTGCTTTGTTGACTTACATAACAGTCAAGCATTGTACTACATAACTTGAGATCTTTGTGTAGCTTTGCCTTGTACAGCAGAATGGTGCTAAACTTTCATCAGCTCTGAACACTGCACTGAGATGACTCAACAGTGAAGGAAAGGGCACTTACAGTCAAAAATGTCACAGTCAAAGTGGAAATGTATCTTACACATGTCATGTCATAAGAGAAAGGTCATCAATATTATATTCTTCCTCCATCATTGGATATGATAAGAATATTCTGCAAAAATAGTATTTCTTCCTTATTGCATTCCCATAGCTCAAAAAGTAAAATCAAGGCAAGGTGTCTGATTTTTTACATCTTTTTTTTCTGTAATGAGAAACACAGTGGTGTATAAGCTGAAAAAGGATTATAAAATTTTATATATTCTCTAGTTCTTCAGACCTGTTGGGGAAAGAATTAGTAATGTATCTATATATCTGGTAAAAATATCTCAGTGACCTCATACTCACATTTGTGTAAACATCACCTCATCAGTTCCAGATACTTATACAGGAAACAAATCTGAATGCTCCTCTAGTGTTCTATACTTAGGCAGGTCAGCCGGCATATGTCTGGTCTGTAAATACCCAGTTTTACTTGGGTCCTTATTTTAAGGTTTCCATCTTAAGAGTTTGCTGCAAATGTTCCCTCAGCATTTGCCTGTGTGTCTTTTCCAAAGCAACTTGTCCCTGAAGGTTATCATTAAATTAAACAAAAAAAACAATTACAAAGAAGCGCTGAACTGGTTAGTAAAGGCTTAGTTGGAACTGAATTACTAAATATGGCCATAATAGCCCTGAACTGACAAAGTGAGTATCAAATGATTTCTCATTGCTGTCAGTCTCTGTGGTATGTGACCACAGTTTGCTCTGTGTCCCAAACCCCACCTTGCTAACAAGTTTCTAAAATCAAAATTCTCTTTCAGGCTTTTCCTGATAATATTTCCTATGCTAATGGGCTCTAGCATGTGGAACAAATTTCTGACTTTATAGCTTGGGGAGATGTGTGATTATAGTGACATAATAAATTATAGTGACATAATAAATTTTGTGTTGCCTGGTGGAATGGCACAATGCTTGTGATTCCTTTGAACAGATAACCCTGAATGTCACATGCTTAATTTTTCAGTTATGAAGTAAAATAAGGAGGGAGTGTAATAAAAGAAGGTACGCATTACAAAAATAAATGCAAAAAATAGTAGCAGTTACAGCTTAAGGTCTTAGTTAACAATTTTTTTATTTTTAAAAATTTATATTACCTGCAATAAATTTCAAGCAACAATGTATAGATAAACTTCATCAAATTAAGGAAAAATGGAAAGATTTTAAAACGTGAAAAACACAGTGGATTGCCAAGTTTAAGCTTCTGGAAGAGCAGAATACTAGAGAGACAGAAGTCTAGACTAGTCCTCTAGAGAGAGAGTGTATAACGATTTTGTAGATAGAAAACTGCCAATGTTACAGAACTGTTTAGCAGTGTTATTAGCAGGGTTACTACAAAGGTTCAGATTAAAATCACTTTTGCTTTATGCTTCTTTACAAGAGAAAGAAGCAAGTCATGCATTCATGACAGTATTGCTGCCTCTGGAGGTATGAACACTGATAAGCAGCCTTTCCCAACTGATTTACCTAAAGTTCTGGTCCACACAGATAATAGGAGAAAATAAAATTGAATAATCACTCTTATGAGGTCACTAGATCAACTTTCTCCAGCAGCTATCTGGTTTTGTTTGCTTTCTAATACTACATGTATATTACTGGGTTGTTGTATTTTCTTTTTTTTTTTTTCTTTTTTTTTTTTTTTTCTTTTAATGCAGATAATGATATCCCACGTGCAGATTCAGACAGCATTCTTTCAGCCACACTAATGGAAACAAGGAATCAAGAGGGCTTAAATTATTTGGTACTAGTTAAAGAAGGCAACCCAGATGAAGAAAGCATCAATTCTGCTAAAATTAGTTAAGTCTGGTTACCACTGTTTAAGAGACTGAAGGAAGAGAAAAAACTCTTCAAAGAAGACATAAGCCAAGGAAAATATTCTGTATGTCATCATACTTACAGAGGTGTCTGAAAAAAAAAACCAAACTCCAAACAATTCTTTAATAAAACTACCAGAAAACATAAAAAGGCTCTGAATGGTGTGTATCAGGATAAGACAGCGATTACATAGCCTTTGATTCTCTACTTGTCATGGTTTGGGTGCTTCACAGGAGATAGTTTAAAGCACAAAAACTTGTATCAGACAGTAAGGGATTTTACTGTGGTAAGTTTATGCACTCACATATGCCTCAGCCACAAGGCAGTCCTTCCAAAAAGGGAGTACTGGTATGCTGCTTTAAAGAACAGACCACTTGTTTGTGAATAAAACCAAACAGTTGAAGTCTAGCTTCACTGTGCACAAACAGGATTTTGCAAACTGAAAAAAACAACACAAATACCAAACTCCAAATCAGAAAGCAGCTGAAGAAGGGTGACCAGGTTGTCCACTGCTGCAGGTGGTCTGTTTCCCTAATTAATTTAAACAAATGTTTGCAATCATCTTGCAGTTGCATAGCAATTGATCTGACAGTCTGGACAGTCCTGTTTTCTTACATTTTCTCTCCTTTCATTTTTCAATGTTCATCATCCTTGTTTATTTTTTATCATACTGGGTAAAAAGAGGTAATCTTCCTTGGAGTGTTTGGAGATCAACTCAAAGTATATAATAAAATTTCATACAAGTAGTCATTGAATAAAAGTCAGCAATAAGCTTTTTCTAACCTTTCATCATGAGCAGTAGTTTGCAAATTATACAGAGCTATTCACTGACATATTTCAGGAAGCTAAAAACATGCTATAATTTTATGCAAATATTTTATAATGGGGCACACAGGAGAGTAGTAAAGGTTCCATCTGATGTCAGAATGTATATATTTGTAAGAAGCAACTTCACTGCAATCAAACTTCAAAAGTTTCTTAAACGGAGATTCAACACAAATGAAAAAAAATTTGGAGTCTCAACATTTTACTGAAATGAAATAGAAATTTCTAATTTTGAATTAGGATTCTTCAAAGTTCCTGAAAAAGCTCTTTCAAGAATTATATAAATATTTTTCTTCATCTACAAATTAGTGCAAAAGACAGATTTGCTAATAAATACAACTGCAGCACTTCGCTATGCTCACCAGACCATGAGCAATGGATAAACAAATACTGTATTATGTTTCCTTCCTCTTTGAGTGCTGCTTGATTGGTTGTACAGTGATTCCTTCCATTTCAGTAATTTAAAAATTACTAATGTTTGCTAACCTATGGCATGTGCTGGCCAGAAACCAGGAGGATCTCTTTTCTGTAGCCACCACACTTGAATGTGTTCTGTGTGCATAGTTTGACTTAAGTCAAGAAGACTGCTCTGTCAGCAAGCCACAGACAAAGGTTTTGAACAACAGGACTCCATACAATAGCTTTTTCTTTAGCAGGAGAAATCTTCAATCCTCCCAAAATTTTGTAAAGACAATACCTTTGACAGGCCTCATGAGCACCTGTGATGTGATATCCCAAGTCAATTCGGTTTTGTGTAGGTCTGCATTAAAAAATCATCATGGAAGAGCCTAACCAACATGTGTAAACTGGGTTAGTGGGAAAGATGAGCATCAGGGACAGAGAGCAGTCAGGGGTAACGCCCTCCAGGTCTTGAAGCAGTCACAAATACACAAAGCAGTACAGAAGGAAAAAGGGGAAGGTAATTCTTGTTGTGTTCACATTTTGCAAGTGTTGCAAGGCAAACCTAGTTTTAATGAAAAAATTAGCACAACAGGGTGGGAAAGAAGTGTCAAGTTTAATATGCTGCCAATAAACGAAATCTTAGAATATTGACCAGCTATCTATGCATTTTGTATCTGATAGTATGAAAAATGTTTTCGACAGGACAAAAAATTAACTTATTGATCCAAATTTCAGGTGAATTCACTTGTTGAATTCAGTGGAAGACACAATACCTACCCTTCCCAGTAGTTGCAGTCATCTGAATCATGCTCAGTGATACAGTGTGAGCTCTGAGCATGGCCCTACCCATACACTGGCCAAAACTCCATTGTCCCTCACTCATTTTCCTGCCTTAGAGAAGTAAGTATGCAAATGCAACTATTCCATTGAGTTATGGTAAAGCTGAATTTGATGCAGGCAAACTTAGCCTCCCGCCATGCATCCACCAATGATTCTACTTGAAGAGAGTTTCTTAAGCCCTCATACTTCTGTTTCACCCTTCTCCTAACACATCTTCATGATTTTACCTTCTCTGTATTATTGAGGTGTTGCTTCCTCTCCTCATTCAAACTCTTCTTGATTATTCATGTCTTTCTCAGCAACACTTAGTCACTATCAGGAGGTCACTGCTTGCATTCCAGCAGACAGGTCTGATGGCAGTTTTCATGCTGCTTTTTTGCCAGAGTAGGAATGAAAGACCGCTTAAACACATTCTCTCTTGGGCAGGGAAATGGGTACTATCTGGCCTGTGTTAGCCTCTAGTTTTTACCTCCTCCTATCACAGATCAAGGGAAAGAGTAAAAAAACCTTTGAGTTCAAATGTCTTGACTTGCTTGGCTACGGATTTTAAATAAGTATAGATGGATCTAAAGATGCTAACATCATTTAAAGGAAAGGATGGTATAAGGCATGTGGACCCAGTTTTCAGCTGCTGTAAATGAGGTTAGATATGTTAAGCTAAGCTGATTTTATACAGCAGTATAAAATCTGTCTCCAAATGTTTAGCTTAAATTTGTCCTGAGACATGTAGGCCCATGCCCAGCCAGTTCCTAAAAAAAGGAGGACTAATCTCTTTAAGTCTCCTCCATTTTATTGCTGAGCATGACATTTCATGGCATGGAATACCTCTGGTTAATTTGAGTCATCTGCCTGGTTGTGTCCCCTCCCAATGTCAGTCTATTCACTGGGGAGGGGGCACAGAGTGAGAAGCAGAGAAGGCTTTGATTTTGTGCAAGAACTTTTCAGCAATATCTAAAATATTATTGTGTTATCAGTAGTGTTTTGGTTGCAAATCTAAACTACAACACAAAATGAGCTGCTGTGAATAAACTCCAACCCGGTACAATCTCTAAGCTGCTGGGCAGAAAAGATATGTACTCCCAGGCACGGACCAGGAGATGCCCCAGGTGAGTCTCTGGGCCGTAGCCAATTCCTGTCTCAGGCTCTTCAGTGTTCCTTGATGCCAGCACAAAGTCTGAGCAGCAGTGGTGAGCACGCTGCATGCAAATGATGCCACACACACAACCCATGAGTGCTGGGCTCCCAAACGGCCATGGCTGAACTCTGAGCTGTGCTTGGATAGACATGGGTATATCATGTCTCTTTAGCTGGTTTGTCTACAGACTTGACATGCATATGAATAGGTGAAAAATATTCTACTTCTGGCTGTAATCAGAATTTCCTACAACCCAACACAAATGGTGTGGTTATTAATTAATGTTTGCAAATTATTTTGTAAATGTGAAGGGCCATGGCAGATGTTACTGATTTACTAAGTCAGAATTTTCAGTCTTCTGAATTTTAAGTCTTCTCTCTTCAAGTCTACAGCAAGTGGTAGTACCCAGCCATCAGTGCATTTCTGTTTTTCAGGGTTGATTGCAAGAGCTTTTGAGCTGGCACATACTGATGACCAGAGCTATCCAAAACCCATGTACCTCATGCTTTTTATTTGGCATCCATGATCAGGATACTATGAAAGAAAAAGAATTTTTTATGACAAGAATATTGAGTTCTTATTAGGTCAAAGATAAAATTATGGAAATGTCCATGTAACTGAGAGATATGCCAGGCTCTAGCAGGATCATTCTCTGATTCCCATGTGCCACAGAGGGAGTGCCCAGTGACATAAGCTATGGGAATGTGGCTGTCAAGAGGTCTGAAGGGAAAATTTATACAGCTTGAAAGGATGATTTGTTGAGATATGAAAGGCAAAATACATCCTTTGTTTTGTCACTTTGGACAAAAAAACTTTGGGTGTCAAGATGATTTCTTTGCCTTTTATATATTTAACATTCAGATCTCATCTTCTCCGGGAAACTTTACTGTCATTCATTCAATGGCATCATCACAGGATTTGGGAAACAAAAATGACCACCAGAAAAGCAGCAGGTTGTATAGCTACACTGCTAACACAAGTTTTTTTATGTTAGTCTTTGTTAGTTGCAGAAACTCAAAAGTGGTGAGGACAAGAAAGTCAAGGACTAAATTCACCTCAGCTTAGCTTGTCTGAGAACTACAAGCCAGGGTCCAGCACTGAGACTAAAGTTGTTGTTCCTCGGCTTTCCTGGTACCCTAGATAACAGAGCCCAGTAACACCCTCTGGATCACCACGTCCCTCAAAATTTGCTTCTCTTGTCCCTTGTACAGAAGGGCACAAATATACCAACAGCAGAGTCACTGTACCCTTGCATGATGGTTTTCAGCAAAGTTTAACTATCTATTTGAATTGACTAATGTCTCCAGGTTATTTCCTCTTTTAAAAAAAATTTCTTTGCCATCTGTGGCATGCTGTCTGTGATGAGTTGAGTCCTCAGGTGTGGCTTTACTGAGCATAACCAGGTGAAATTTATCTTCTTTAATGTGGGTTTAGGACTATGTATTTTAATGGTGAAGGCAAGCTTTAGATTCAAATTTACCTCTTTCTACACAGAGTTGATATTAATTCAGCTACGCCTGAAAAAGGATGTTGCAGAAAAGTATGTCTGTAAAATAGCCCTGGCAGGTCTGTTAATGGTTAAAAAATTCTAACTCACTTTCATTTAATTAGTTCTTGAAAACCTTTGTTACACACACAATTCTAGTTGCAGAAGATTGCAAATCAAAATTGGATTTTTCAAACAATCATGGCTCTATTCATAATGACACTGAGCAACTCTAACTGTTATTATGCTTTAACTCTAAAAAATAGCCAGAAACCCAGGGTATCAAAGCCAAGTAAAGATGCCAAAATATTGTTGTTATTGCTACTGACATAACTGATACTACTGTATAAATAACCTTTTTATGATGTGTTAACTTCTTTGTGTGGCATCTTCAGTTTGGAGGATGTTTATCGCTGCCTTCTATCTTTCACTGTATGAACAGATTGTAAAATAACCACTCCCTGTCTGGATATTAATTCCTTTTGTAATTCTGTTGACATAGCTGGATTTTCTTTCTGGAATAGAATAGAATCATTTAGGTTGGAAAAGACTTCTAAGATCATAGAGTTCAGCCTCAACCCAGCACTCCCAAATGCACCAGTAGACCATGTCCCTAAACACCACATCTACAAGTCTTTTAAATACATCCAGGGTTGGTGAATCCATCATTTCCCTGGGCAGCCTGTTCCAATGCTTGACAGCCTTTTTTGAGAAGAGATGTGCCATAAAACCCAACCTAAACCTCCCCTAGTGCAACTTGAGGCTGTTTGCTCTCATTCTGTCACTTGTTACTTAGGAGAAGAGACAGATCTCCACCTTCTTATAACCTCCTTTCAGGTAGTCATAGAGAATGATAAAGTTACTCTTGAGCCTCCTTTCCTCCAGGCTAAACAACCCCAGTTCCCTCAGCTGCTCCACATAAGATTTGTGCTCAAGACCCTTCACCAGCTCTGATGCCCTTCACAGATTCACAGAATCAAGGCTGGAAATTATCTCCAAGATCATGGAGTCCAACTTTTGACCAATCACCACTTTGTCAACTAAACCATAGCACTAAGTACCATGTCCAGTCATTTCTTGGACACTTCCAGGGACAGTGACTCTGCCACCACATCAATCCATTGCTTGACAACCCTTTCCATGAAGAAATTCTTCCTAATAACCAACCTGAACCTCCCTTTGCACAGCTTGAAGATATGTCCCCTTGTCCTGCCACTTGTTGCCTGGCACTTCACTACAACTTCCTTTCAGGCAGTTGTAGAGAGTGATAAAGTCTCCTCTGTCTCCTTTTCTCCAGTCTAAGCAATCCCAGCTCCCTCAGCTGCTCCTTATAAGACTTGTGCTCCAGACCCTTCACCAGCTCTGCTGCCCTTCTCTGGTCATGCTCCAGCACTTCAACGTCCTTCTTGTCCTGAGGGGCCCAGAACTGGATGTATGACTCTAGGTGTGGCCTCACCAGTGCTGGATACAGAGGGATAATCCCTTCCCTGGTTCTGCTGGCCACACAATTTCTGACACAAACCAGGATGCCATTGGCCTCCTTGGCCACCTGGGCACAGCTGGATCATGTTCAGTTGGACACCAACCAGCACTCCCAGGTCCTTTTCCTCTGGTCAGTTTTCCAGCCACTCTTCCCCCAGCCTGCAACGCTGCCTGGGGTTGTTGTGACCCAAGGGCAGGGCATGACATCTGGCCATATTGAACCTCATCCTACTGCCCTTGGCCCATGGATCCAGCCTGTCCAGGTCCCTCTGCAAAGCCTTCCTGCCCTCCAGCAGATTAACATTCCTGCCCAGCTTGGTATTGCCTGCAAAGTGACTGAGGCAACACTCAATTCCCTCCTCCATATCACTGATAAAGATATTAAACAGGACTGGACCCTTGGGGGTCACCACTTGTGTCTGCTGACCTCTGAATGTAACCCCACTGACCACTGCTCTCTGGGCCCGGTCATTCAGCAGCTTTTTACCCAGAGAGCTGGGTAAAACCCCAGCCAAGCCATGAGCACCAGATTCTTCAGGAGAATGCTGTGGGGAACAGTGTGAAAGACTTTACTGAAGCCCAGATAAACAACATCCACAGCCTTTTCCTCATCCACTAAGTGGGACATCTTGCCATAGAAGGAGATCAGTCGAGCAAGACCTGCCTTTTGTAAGTCTGAGCCTGACCCCCGACTGTCCTGTATGCCCTGCGTGATGGATCTCAAGGTGATCTGATCCATTCAGATCTTTTCTTCAGGGAATGCTTTCTGGAATGCCTACCTATCTACAAACAGAAATAAATTTATGGGTAAAGGTTTTACTAAAAATCTCTTTAGAATTCTTTGATTCAACTTTATGTTATGAGTAAAATACTCAATCTTGATGGAAGCAGTATAAGAATAAGTAGTGACAAAGTGACTATAGCTGCAAACACCCTACAGTTACCATGTTTGCACAGTTGTGTTTTGGCTCAGATCACAGAGTCCTGCAGGTCCTAAGTGGAATATGTGTTACTGGGGCATGGAAAGCAATAAAAGATATATGAGTTATAGGATGGCCTTTGAAAAACAAGCCTATGTGCAAGGAGGGTGGACTGTGAATTGTCTTGTGACTGTTACTCTAAGGATTAAACAAATACAAAAATTGCAAACTCTTACCTGATCTACTTTTTTTTTTTTTTAATGGCAGAAGGGTCAAGTTAAGTGGCAAAGGAAGATAATAGCATTCTCTTGGAAATACATTCCCAAAGAGTGTAAACAAAATCAAATAAAAGTGCTGTCTTAAATACAGGATTTGTATTTTCTTAGCAGAATAAACTCTCTGCCTTGACTCTCTGTGCACTCACTGAAGTGGAGGTCATGGCTAGTGACAACTGGGAGCTGTTCCTGGAGGCTTTCTTGCCTTTTTAGGTTATGAGGGTCTCTGTGTGTTTAGGATAATATGATTGACGGCTCCACTCCGGCCCCAATTAGCACCCTATAATTTATTAGCTTCTGCTTTCAGATTATGCGCTAACTTCACAAATATTTCAACCACGGAAACAGCAGCTATCAAGTGTCTCTTTCCTGATCCAGCTCACTTGGACTGCAGTTAAATACAAGGACGGAGCTGTGTAGGTCTGTCAAGAGAGAATAATCATTTGTGTCTGTGTGTAACTGGGGCTGTCACAGTTCTTTAGGACCCAGCTTCTGGAAAAAAAGAGTTGTTCCACTGGATCAGAATCAGGGGTTAGGACTTGGTTCCTGCCTCAGAGGTTTGGTGCAGCATTGAGACCAATGCACTGGTTCTTCCTGAAAAGGCCTGTGTTTGTTTAATTCTGTTTATCATGTAAATACTAACTCCATGCAAACAACATTGGCAGGTAAGTTTGTGTCCCTCCTAACACTGTTTCTTTTCTCCTTGCTGCTGTGGTGTGGAGCCAGAGTACTAAGTGCAGGAGGGAAGAGCCTGGGTGAGGCAGGAGAACAGAGAGGAACTGGAGTGCAGGATCCAGGCTGAGGACAGAAGTCAAGGAGAGGAGAAGTGGAGAAGTGAATATGATGAGGGAGAAGGGGCAACTTGCAGCTGTACCCAGGCCAGGTAGGGCAGAAAGAAGTGTGCCATGCCACAGGGAGGTGGAGTACCCTCAGTAATATGCAATGTGTTATTACATCTCCTGATGGGACAGCACTCTTGTCAGGTGTTTATCCTGCCTTTACCATGAATGAATAAGCAACTGCTACATACCTAACGAAATACTCCTGTCCTTGGCCAGCCTGTGCTATTGTGGGCTGCAGCCTAGCATGGCAAGTGGAAGTGCCAATGCATGGGACTGGGGCCCAGGTGAGTGCACACCTGCATCCTGCAGCCCAGTGCTCCTCTACCTCTGCACCCCTGCACTTCTGCACCCTGCACACCTGCACATCTGCATTTGCACTCTCTGCATCCCTGCACTCCTACACTCCTGCACTCCTGAACGGGTTCTTCCAGCACCTTCCCTATGCGGGACCTGATGCAGAGAGGGCAGGGGCAGGAGGATGTGATATAGCACCCCAGGGCCTCTGCTACAATTTGCATTTACAGCTTTGATGCACATTATTCCTGGGTTATACCTGGCTAAGGAGGCAATAGAAGGTGCACTGCCAAAGTAACTCCTCCTTTAAGACTAGAAATGGACATGAAGAACCCAGGCTAAGTCGCTTGTCATTACATTCAGATTAGATAATATTGTTACCTTGCTGGCAGATAAATTAAAAGCATGGTTCCCTAGGCTGTAGTCCCAAAGCTTGGGAAGTGACTGAAGGAAAACTTTTTCTACTCCTTTTTTTTTTTTTTGAATGATTTTCTGCTTGCATTTCCCTATGCAAAATTGCCTAGCATACAAAATCAATGTCTCACTCCTGAAAATAACTATAGGACTCTCTCCTTTCCCTGCTGCAACTGCTCCTCTGGGTGGCAGGCCTGGGAAGACAGCCAGGACACTACAATCCTCCACAGGAGCTGGCTCATCCTTCTGTAATCAAAAGGGCACGGTAATTACAACACTTGCCCAGAAAAAGATGCCCAGCAACTGTCAGTTAGAGAACGCTGCTGCATCCAAAGACACCAGCAGCATTTTCCTCCCTTCCAAGAAGGGCCCAACATTTAAGCCCTAGCTAGAGCTTGTCTTGTGAGCCTAAATATGACTTCAAAGGGAAGGTGAGAAGGGTCGGCAGCTCCTGACCCAAGGAGGAGACAGGGCAGATACATTTCCCCAGAGGCAGCAGCACACGCTCTAGGGGACGCAAAAGGGATTATTCAATCTTTCTTCCACCCTCTGTCCTCTCCCTTCCTCTTCCCTCCTCCTCTGCTGGAGCCTCCTATGGCAAACACACTGGAAAAGTAGGTAAGAAATAAGCAACACTACCCTAAAGCTCTCCAACATTAAACTCTTAAGTGTAAAGGCATATATATGTATTTAAGCATTTTATGCTTCATTCTTGCGACTGCAGCCATACTAAAGCAAAGACATCTCATTAAAATAAAGTGGAGACTGCACGCAAAAATACCATGCTCTATCCCCACCTCCATCCTTCCCTTGACAGATCACTTTTAACTTCAGAGATCATCAAAACAGTATACTCCTTCATGCTTTGCTAATTTTCAGCTATTTTCAGAAAGAGAAATAAATACCTGTGGTGAATACATCCAGAGCTCATTTTGGAAACTCCTTGTGGAGAGGACAGTCTTGCTATTGGGCAGCAGCAAATACCCTTGCTATGTCCAGCACTGCCATGCTCTGCAGCAGATGCTGTCCCTCTGCCTCCTTCGCTGGACTCTGCACGAATGGGTCTGAAGCTGTTTGTGTCTGTTTGTCCGTCCCAGCTGGGCTGGTCTGTTTGTCAGGTGGGTAGCTAGAGAGCACGGTGTGGTGCATGACATTCAGAAAGGGACAGCAGGAGGAACTGCTGTCCAGGCTGCAGAGATGGGGACTCACATCCCCTTCAGTGCGTGACAAGCATGTGACAGGTAATATTTACGTAACATCTAAGAAGGGCTTCTTTTGTAATTCCAGATTTTCTACAAGCATTCATGACTAAGGGAGTAATGACCTATGATGCAAAGAGGAATAAAACAGACTTGAGAAATGGCACGGAGGTCACATGCACTGTTACTGCATTAGGAGCTGTGGCCCCAGTCCTGCAAAGACTAATGCCCAGGCCTTAAAGTTTGGTGATCCTTCAGGAGTCAGAATAACACAGAGTGAGCAAAACTGCAAGGATTAGCCAAAACAGGGCATGTGTGCTTTCAGGTTGCAGTCCACCCAGAGAAGGACCATTTAAAAAAAGTTGTTTGTACTTTTAGCACCTTGAGCCACTGTCTTGGCTTTTGTGTTTAGATGTTTTCATGATAAAGCAGTAAAAAATGTACCCGCAGAACAAATGCCAAAACCAATATTCATGGATTCATTGCACTAATTCTCGTGCTTGAATATATTCACAGTCAAAATTAATTGTAAATGGCAATGTAGCAAATGACTCATTAATGTTTACATTAATATTTCCAAATGTATTTGGGCTGTGTCACTCAGCCCTAGTTGTTAAGAATTACAGAGAAGAGGGGAGAAAAAAAGAAAGAAAAAAGAAATAATTGTGGTGAAGCACAGCCAAACTTAGACCCAGATTTTTCTTTAAAAAAAAAAAATCTTAAAAAACAGCCTGGAAAAGCCCTCAGGAAAATGCTCACAAAATGACCCTGCTAACTTTAAGCTTCTGCAGTCAAACTGTTTTTAATTACTTTTCTGCTGCAAAAAGCTGGTGCCTTCTTCTTTGATAAACACCTTGGAATGCTTTTGGTTTAACAAATAATGTAAATTCTGGGGTCACTCGCTTGCTCTTCACAGCTTGCCTGGGCTCTGTCTATTTGGAGGCTGTGAGAAAAATGCCCATGAGTTTGTCTGGCTGTGGAAATCACTGCAAGTCCCCCCTGCTAAGCTCTGGCTGGAGGTGCTCCTGGTCAGCTTCTCACAGTGTGCACTCGCTCTGCTTTATCAAAGTCTTTCTGTTAGGATTCCTATTCTTTCCCAGATACTGAGTTATCACCAAACCTAGGAGAAGCAAGCTTGGGTTATTCATAATTCCACTCCTGACAAACAGTGAGCATTATGCCAAATTTTGTGAGAGGTTGGAAGGTAAAATCTCTGGTCACAGCACAAAAGTTCATTTTCTACTGCTTCTCTCAGTGTCAGGGGGTAATGTTAGGAATTTCCTACTATACATTTTAAAATTTGCCAGCTTCAAAGACATTACAAAAAGGAAAAAAAAAAAAACCAAAGAGAAAAAAACCAAAAGCGCAATAGTATTAAGATCAGATGATTTGTCTGTAAAAAAGTCAGCTTTTAAGTATAGAGTAAGTGCCATTTCTACCCTGTTTCATTCATTATTCATCACCTGGTAGTAACATTTTAATTTACCACCTCAATAGCAGCTCTATATGCTATTGAGTCCCCTCTTTTAGCCAAAGAAATATGAAGCAGCTCCCCTACTTTAACCAATCTTACAGCCACATCATACTCTAAAATGGTCTCATATCTCATATTTTCTTTTCTTTTGTATTTATCACTGTGTATTTTAGTCACCAAGAAAATATTTTCAGCTGTTTTCAGCTGGATTTCTATTTATCTTTCATGCAAAATAATAAAATAACTCACTTCATCCACATGAGATATACGTTCTCTGCTTCATCTTGAAGTTTCCAGTTTGCCTCATTTCTCTTATTTATCTTTAATTCTTCATCAAAGTACACAGGGTGAAAGAAGGAGATACCTTTAATACAGCTTTGCTACTGTTAAATATCTATTTCCCCCTTTCAAAAAACCCCAAACAAAAGAGCTACTAAAGTGGCAAAATGACAGAAACAAGTAGACAAAGGGAAGTGTTAGAGGCAACTCAGAACTAATGTCCATCACGTGCTTTTTGTTCGGGTGTTCCCTTTAAAGGCTGTTGGGTTGGAGGTGAGCCATTCTTCATCAGATTCCTTTCTCCCCCTGCTTTAAGAGGATTTAACTGTCACCAGAAAAAGTTTATTGTAAAAAGAAAAAAAAAGAAAAAAGGAAAAAAAAACCCAAACACCAAAAAACCAACCAAAACCAAACAAACAACCCCACCCCCAACCAAACAACTGTTATACAGCCAATGCAATGTGCCAAACTCTGAGAAGTGCCACCTTGATTTTCGTCTTTCTGGGATTTAAGCAGTTGTGAGGGGAACAGCTGCATATCTGTAAGTCCAGGGCAGGTGGCCCCAGTCAGACACTTGCCACTCACAACCACAAAGCTGAAAAATCTGACCAGTTCCTTGATAGTCTGAAAATGTTAATGAGTTCCAGTTTCTTCTCCTTTTACTTTTCTATATTGCAAAATAAAAATCCAGTTCAAAACTGCTGAGTAGCTTCCACATGGTTGCACTCAAGAAAACTTTCACTGCCATAAAAAAATATTCACACCACTAAAAAAACCCCACAATTTCCTCTGTTGCCTGTATGAAGGCCAGTGGTTTTGCATCGCCATCCATGATGTGATTTGACTCTTTCAGAGTAGTCTGGCTTCAGGTCTGGGTGTGGGGTCTGCTTAAATAGAAGTTCAATATCTTTGGCTCTCCTCTTGCAACAGAACGACTTTCCTCTCCAAAATAGTCTAAAGTACCACCCTTGCAGTGCCAGGTCCTTTTAAATCCCGTTGTCTTCCCCCGAGCAGCAGGGCCACGGTGGGCTTGGAAAAGGGCAAGGGGGGATCTGAGAGTCTTTGAGTCAGCACATCAGCTCAGAAGGGATCCACCACAGAAGGAGTAACGGCGAGCTGCAAACCAAGATCAGAAGCTGTTACAAACTGACCCGATTTCAGCTCTGAATGCCACCATGTCTAACGGGTAGAGAGCTACAGGGGAGAGCCAGGGGAAGAAGAGTGAAGGACAGCTCTAAAACCAGTACAGATCCTTGCTTTTATCCTGAGGTTGCAAACCTGAGAATGGAGAGAAGAAAAAAAAAAAAAAAAAAAGGAAGAAGAAAAATAGGTACAGGCATTTAAGAATAGAGGAAAACAAATTTCATTTCTTGCCAGCTGAGATCAGTCTAATGCATGGGATCTCCAGAGTCCCAGAAGGCTGTGAAACAAGGAGAAGACCTCAAGCCAGATTGGAGAAAGTCCCTCCTGTTTAAAGTGAGGACACCATAAGGAGCCATTAGTGGCTGCAATAACGAAACCAGCATGGAGGAGACTTTCCTCCCCTTCACAATCACTGACTCAGGATCTGTCACTGCTGACTGTGCCTGTGCACCCATTTTTGTCAGCACTACAGCCACAACCTTGGTTCCAGACACCCCAACAGACATCACCAGGGGAAGACCACTGCCTTTTTTGCTCAGCAAATGCAATTGTGCTTTCATCTGAAAAACTGGAAGGAAAAGCTAATTAAGGAGAGGAGCTAGTTCATGGACCTGCACAGTGTCTAGAAATGACCCTCAGGGCAGTACATGGATGGGGCCAAGCAGTCACCTCTGGGGCTGCTCCATTCTGCTCCTAGCTCTCACTGCTCAATGCAGGATCAAGACCAGGGCCAGGACAAAAGTACCTTAAAGCAACCTGTAGCCTCAAGGAATGTTTGAGGGCATCAGAAATTCAAATAATGATGTGGAGATGTGGTGTGTTGGCCTGTCCGATCCTTGCTCTCCATTCTTCACTTGCCTGGCCTGAGAGCCCCATCAAGATCACCCAGGACAGAGCTCAGGTGTCACACATGGGGCTTCCACCCTCACTTCATTCCCCCACAGCCGAACCTCAGCCACCCCCTCTGAGTCCTTCCCTACTGCTATGGACTGTGGAATCAGGGAGCAGGGGTGCAGCTGAGCCAGGGGACCTGGAGGGACCGAGGGCAGCTCGTTACCTGTGTCCACATTGAGGCCAATGCTCTGTGCCATGTCTCCTGTTGGACTGGGGAAGGGGCCCGGTGTCGTCCAGGCCGCAGCAGCACCCGCTTCACTCTTGCCCAGTTCACAGGGGGGGCTGACTGGTGTGGATACGGAGGCGGGGGTGAGCCGGTGGGGGCGGACGGAGGCGGTGGGCACCAGGAGCGAGCCGTAGCGGGGGTCAAAGTGGGGCCCGTAGACCTCGTGCATGGCGGTGGGGCGGGGGTAGGCAGTGCCCTGTGTCCCAATGTAGGGGTGGTGGTGGTGGTGGTGGTGGTGGTGGTGCGCGTGGTGCCAGGGCTCGGGGCCGCCCTGGTGCAGGTGGCTGTGCAGAGAGGCGGGTGCGTAGGGGTCGGTGGCAGCAGCGAAGGGCAGCTCGCTGTGGGCGGCAGCTGCCAGGGGACTGCTCAGGCTGGCCGGGACCGAGGGGGGCTGGTATGTGCTGTTCCAGAAGGACGGCGGGAAGATACGCTGGCTCATTGGGAAAGATCCATCTGGGTGAAGGAAGTGGGAAAGAAAGACATCAATGAGCACACCCCACAAGACTTGATCTCCTTTCTCTAGGGCTCTGTCCCTCCCTGATCCACCCAAACCAGTCCTTTCCTTCCCTTTATTCCACGAAAAACTGGCAAGCATAAGAACTTGTTCCAAACAAATACAGATTCCTCTCCGGCTAAACATCCAACACACCTATCCTATGGCTTATCCATGAAGTTGCAACTATGCTCTCCAGCTTCTTCATACTATGTAGTTGGGAAAAGGTTGTTACTTAAGGCAAAAGAAACATCTCTTCCCTTCAGTAGTGGAAACTGAGAGCTACTATATACCACTTAAATTTTCAGGTTTGGGTTTTTCTTGTTTGTTTTTGTAATAATCTCCTTTATGTCTAAGATTTATGTCCAATGTTTCCTGGAAAGCGGCTGCTGCCTCAGTGCAGTAGCAAAGAAGGCAGGAACAGTGAGAGATGTGACTAAAGGCAAGTTTGAATTACTCAAATATCTGGGTGCAATTCTCCATCTGTTACAGCCGTCTGTTTCTTAGGTATATTGTCAGCCTGTTTGGGAAGCCCTCAGCAGAACTTTGGAGATTGGCAGGGCAAAGACAAAGACCCTACATTTCTTAGCCCAGCTAGCAACATGCAAGATGGACTGGTGATTATTAATAAAACAAATAGATGTTACACATGATTAATTGGGAATGCACACTGTTCTTGAAAGAAATAAAACTATGTTCCTTTGCCAGGGAAGCATGTCAGCTCTGAGGCTTGGCATTGCCTGGGAGAAGGGGAAGCACCTTGTGATGAGAAAAAACCTCCTCTACTGTCACCAATTCCAGCACTGAATATCTCTCACCCGTGAAATATTCTTAGACACTACAGACAGCAATCCGTGCAAGGTCTGGGAAACCAGCCCTGGCCGAGGAGGTGGCCCTGTGAGGGAGGGTTACTAAGACTGCCCACAAGGAAGTGCCAGCCCTAACTCTCTGGCAGACGGAGTGCGGAGAAGATTATTCCTCTCTGCCCTGACTACCCTCATGGGCCTGTCCGGTGTGAATCAAGGCATGGATACGGAGAGCTGTGCATAAGCCATGGCCTTGGCCTTGACAGCACATGGCCATGGGCAGATCCGCATGCCCTTGTTTTCAGAAACTTAAGAGTCCTTGTCAGCGCTCCAGCAACAATCAGGGTGGTGATACACGCAGGACAAGATACAGGGACACACACAATCGTTTCTTTTAGAGGTGTGAAGCTGATCAGATTGTTCCCACATTTGCTTTTTGCTTTGCTCCCATCACTATCACCACTCTAAACTGAAAACTAGGGTCAACAGGGAATATACTGGTCACAGTCCACTTTCGGAGTCACTCCATGGCTAGTTGGCTGGTAGCCCTCTCAAGTAAAGCACCTGCAGCGAAAAGACAATTTGTTTCCCCCAACCGCCTCTCAGGCTACTTTCCCCCTGGGTCATGCCCCTCTGCATAATCTGAAGGGATTTATTCTTTCCTTTTCACCCTAAAAGGGCCAAGCAGCTGGCAGCTCCTAGCCTCGGATCCCAGGGGATGCCCGCTGGGCACCAGCCGCTGGTGGGAGGGAGGAGGGAGCCGGGATGCGGAGCCGAGGCGGGGACGAGGTGCCGGCCCAGAGGGTCCCCAGGCAGCCCCCCGCGCCCCCCGCATCCCCCGCGCCGCGCCAGGCGCTCACCCCGCCAGGAGCCCGCGTTCCGCGCCGCCTTCGCGCTGCCGAGGGAGAAGCTGCTGGGCTGGCTGAGCGCCCGGCTGAAGTGCTCATCCACCACGGCGCTGATGTCCCCCTGGAAGTAGGTGAAGAGGACACAGCGGGAGCTGATGTACTCGGCCTCGGGGGGTCGCTCCTTCTCGGGGCTGCAGTCCTCCTCCTTGATGCTGGCTGCGGCGTGGCTGGAGAAGGAGCTGCCGGCGCTGGCGCTGCTGCCGCTCTCCGGGGCTTCCTGCATTTTGGAGTAAAGGGCGAGTTTCTGCAGGGAAGGAAAGAAAACGGAGCAGGTCACGCAGCACACCAAGGCGCGCTGGCCCGCCCTGTGCCATCGGCGTGCAGCGCCGAGCCCTCTCCCGTGGTCCTTCCGAGAGGATGCCAAAGTCTGGTCCTCGGCTGCCCGCCGTTCCCTCAGCATACACCACAATCCCTACACCCCCGTATCGCCCTCTGTAGTCCGGGAGCAACGAAGGGACTGCAAATAGGGCTGGGGGACCGAAACCCACAGGTGCCGAACGGGATGGAGCAAGAAGGCAGCCGGGTGGGGAAGGCACGGCCGGGCGGGGGTCACACCGCCGAGTCCCCCGCACCAAGCCCCGCAAAAAAAAAGCTCTTTGCAGCTGGCTTCGGAGCGGACGGCGGCTGCCAAGGGGCTGCAATGCGGGGGCACGGGCGGGCGACGGCCGAGCACCCACGGAGCAGCGCCGGCAGCTGGGAGAAGGCGAAAACCCCTCGAAAATCTATTTGGTGCAAAGAGTGTCCTGTAACCCACAGGGGCGAGGTAGAAGCAAAGAGGGGGGAGAAAAGACTGACAGTCTCAAACACAATTCGGGGCAAAACTCAGCATTTCCCTGGACATCAAGAAGCTCCAGGTATTTACTACAAGATTCATCTCCTTTTACTGTATTCCGCCGAGTGGGAAAACAGCGGGCGTTGTGAAGTTTGCCGGATGTTTCCCGTCTTCATGCGCGTTAGCCTGTCTGCAGCTGCTGAGAGTTTCTTAGCAATAGCGCTGGGACGCGGAGCTCGGGCTTGGCCGCCGCCAGCAGAGCCTTGGGGCGGCCGGCGGGGGAAGAACCGAGAGGACGGGGCAGAGTCTTGGGCCAAGACACGCGGTATATTTGATAATGTCACTCGTCGCGACGACCGCCTTTCCTCTTGGCTCCCTGTTCGGCCATTGAGGTAATGATCATCCCCCTTAATAATGTCATAAACTGAGGGTTGAGAGGGTGGTGGGAGGGAAGGCAAGGTGGGGAAAGACTGTTTGTGACGGGTTCTGGGCCCCGCTGCCGGGTGCTGGAGGGGACACAGGAACCGCCACGCCGCTGGCCCCGGCCCGCGGCACGGCGGGGGCTGCGCCCGCCTCGGGCCCGGAGCGTCGTTCTCTGTATCCATCCCTTTTTTAGTTATGCTGAGGGATGAAGGAATTAATTTCTGGAAGGGGTAAGGGCGAGGAAAAAAATGGACACGCAGCGGGGTTAAAAGGAAAGCGGTGTGCAGCAGGTGCAGCCGGGGGAGCCGAGCCTGACCCACGCGGGACCGTGCGCGCCCAGGCGCCAGCAGATCCCCGCGCACCACGGGCCCCAAAACATCCCCGCGCCCGAGCGATCCTCTTCTTAAAACCTCGGGATTAGCTGATACCCGCGACCGCCCGGGCGGAGCTGCACGCAGGAGGCGGCGGGACGCGGCTGCCGCTCGCGAAGCACCCGCGGGTCCCGCAGGCGACCGCCGCAGCCGGGGGACCGGGGGAAGTACCGGGGGCCCGCCGCCGCCGAGAGCGCCCCTGGAGAAGGGAGCATCCTGTAGCCCCTTGCTCCCCTTCGCCGCCGAGGTTTCCTCCGCCATCGCCAAGCCGGGCAAACCCCGCAACATCCCGTCTCTCTCGTCTCCCCCACTTCCAGAGAGCAACTCCGGAGCACCCCTCCGAGGCGGCTGTAAAAGTCTCTGCACCAAGAGGCTTCCGTGGCTGCGGCCGGGATGCCGGCGCGCCGGGGTGAGCGATGCCCCGAGAAGCCCGGCCCCGCAGCTCCCGACGGTCCCTACACACATCGCTGCCCCGACCAGCCGCGCTCGGAAGCAGCCCGTCCCGGTAAAGAAAACAAACAAGCAAACATTTTAAAACAAACAAACAAGCAAACAAACCCCCTAAAAATCCTTCTGAGGGTTAAAATCGTCCCGTCTCTGCAAAGGCATCCCGTAGCCCGTCGTTTGCCGCCGGCGTACGTACCCTGCCGAGCCCCGCGCCAAGGTGGGATGCGGTTCTGCTCCGCTCACCATCGCAGGCTCCCAGATCTGCCCCCCTCCCGCCCCCCCTTTCCCCTCCCCTTCTCCTTTTCCCTTTTTCTCTTTGGTGAGGCCCCAGATGGCCATCCTCCAGACGATACCCCTCCCACCTTCTGCCTCTTCACCGCTGTCCCCTAGGCGTACCTGGTGGTAGGGGCTGTAGGCTGCTGCGAAGTAGGGCTGGGAAGGACCGTAGACTTGGTACATAACATCCAAACAGCTCATGGCTGGCCGCTGCCGAGAAGTATTTTTTTTTTCATCAACTCGTGTTCTGCAAAGTGGAGTAATGCTTCGGGGGAGGGAGGTTCCCGGAGGTTAAGAGGCACCACGCACTAGTGGGAGGAGTGAGGGGGGATGAGGCCGCGCTGGGCTGTGCTGACACCCCCTCCCTGCCTTCTTTCCCTGCCTTCCGCCCTTCCTATAGCGTGGCTCCCTCCCGCAAACACGCCGGGGCTGGAGGGGCTCCCCGGCCGCCGGGGGAATTCAGCCCCGGCTCCGGCTGGTGGCAGAGGCGGAGGGAGCAGGGAGACCCCGGTTCCGCAGCCGGGACTGCCCGGGAACAGCGGGGCTCGAGGCGCAGGGCGAGCTCCGGCCAAGCAGGAGGCTGGCGGGATGCGGGGGGAACCGGGGGTCGGCGAAAGATGGGGGCTTACCCAGCGAGTCAACCCATCTTCCGCTGCTTTTGATTTTATTTCATTTCTTTCATTATACTCCACGTGTCTCCTGTGCCGGGTGCTGCCCCGCTGCTCCCGGGGAGGATGTCGCCCACCCCGTCGGCCCCCGCTCCTGGCCCTGGCGAAGTGGAACTCCGGGAAAGGCAGGGATCTGGGTGACCCCATCCAAATTCCACCAAGTCCGGCGTCCGCCGGAAAATGCCACCTCCAAAGCCACAGGAGCTGAGAGGTCTGATATATCGGAGGAGGAAAAACCAGTTGCTCCCGAGGAGGAATCTCCCCAGAAACTTTTAAATCATTACAAATCCCGGGAACGGCGATGCTTTTGCATTTAATAGAAACTAAAACAACGCCGAGGGCAAAGTCACGTCAAAACAACAAATTATCGTGAAGGTAAACTGGATTTACTCCCTGCCTTTCTGCTGAGTATGACACGCGAAGTTGTAAATAGGTGAATGTATCACCACTGTTCATTTTAAAGGAGTTGCATAGGAGGCAGATTTTTTATTTTTTTTTTAACAGAGATGTAAGTTCTCATTTCAATATCAACTCTTTGAAATGTTCAGCTTCATGGTACAGGTCACAACTACTGTGAGAAGAGACCCATCTTGTTTTATTTTAAGCACCTGTAATAAAGCAGAAAAAATATAGGAAATGCAAGGGAAATAATATTACTCATTTTTCAAATGCTGATTGGTTACAAAAGTATTGGGGGAAATCTGAAAAGAATGAAGACTTTGAATTTTGAAGACCCGCAAATATTTAAACTAATTTTAGCAGAAACACATCATATTTAAAACAAAACGTTGACTCTATTTTGTTTTCTTCAAAATGCAATTTTTATATTTCAAGTGCTAGAAATTGTTTTGAATGCCTGTCATTCACCAAAATCATATTTCAGGGCCTGATGATCATGTTTCAATGTTTTCTGCACCAGGTGCAAGATTTAAAATTCATATTTAAACAAATTTCTTTCTCCGTATTCTTGGGAGTATGGAAAATTCATTTCTTTTGTACTGCAGTGCAGCCTGAAGCATTGTGGCTGTGGGTTCTTCCTCAGTGTTGTTCCTTCCCCCATCAGAGCCAATTTTGTGTTAGCGGTCAAGAAAATGTGGGGTTGGTCAAGAAAATGAGGCTTTAAAATAAGAAATGTAACTTATAGTCTATATTTTTATTTATCCTGAGCAATAAGCAAATAATCACAGTAGAGGGAAGGACTCACTCTGTGGTTGATGCCCAAATTAAAGCAGTCAGCTAAAGAACAGCCCTTCCCTCCTCACGGTGAGAGACCGAGGGATCTCACTTGGGACAACGGGATCTCATTTCTCCTCTGTGTCCCTGTGTGTGAAAGGTAGGGAGCTTTCCCAGCACACACAGACCTGTGCCTGTTTCAAAGGTAATATTGTGCTGGGCAAGGTACCAAGAAAAGCCCATTTCTCAGAGGGTAAGTCCAATGAACACCTGCTCCAAAGACACAGCATGCCCTCCTGCTCTTCCGTCCCTTCAGTGGGACTCTGTGCCACATTAGAGGTAGGACCTGACAGTGGCCAAAGCTGAGCATTCACTTGCGTGGAAAAACCCAAAGTGTAACAGCAACCTGTGTGACTGGGTGCTGTGATGTGGCAGATCTCCTCCTGGAGAATCTCTCCTTGGGAGCTGAATTCAGGGGTTTTACTTCAAGCTCAAGTACATGCTAGGGGAATTGGGTCTGATGTGGCTTGGTATGAATTAGTTCTCTTTTACAGACAGTTATTTGGCTGTAAAACTGTGCAGTGTAAGACACAAGTAAACTTCAGTGTCTTAATGCAGAGCAATAAAAACATTCATGCAAAAATGCTGGCAGTATTTTGCCTCTTTGGTGAGTCTGTGAAATTAGTCCTGGTATAGGAAATTACCCTGGGAACCCAGGGTCAGAAACTATATTCACTAATGATCTCACTGTGCATTTACAATTATATAAAAACAATCTTCCTTGGTCTTAACTAAAGAATTTTAGGTGGGTTGAGTCACATAAGGAATTACAAAAACTTGGAAAGAAACAGCTGAGTTGCCTCAGAGAGAAAATTATGACAGCAGTAAAGGAAAGCACAGTTTTAGAAAGGACATGGGTTAAGAACTGGCTGTGTCCCATCACAGCACTGGCATGGGCCTACTCCTAAGCCATACACTGGTAAATATTTCATGGCAGTAGTATGAAAAGAAAATCTTGTTTGGAATAAAGAATGATACATTCTGATAAACAGCGAGATGCAGAAAGTTACAACTTGCCTCAGAAAACATTCCTATAAAGCAAGTCAGTGTTATCTTCCAGCTAGGCTGGAACTTTCTACAACGCAAGGATCGGGTGCTACAATGAATTGTTCACCAAACAAGCAAACAGATCATGAAACAAAACATCAACATTCAGAAAGACTGGGACAAAAACATGGTAGCACTGACTGCATTAGTTGCTCACCTTCCCTGGAAATCCTACATCCAGTGCTAGCCTGCCAGCCCCTGGTGTATGAAGGTTTGAGCACTGAGTATCACATTCAATTAAGGGATTAAGTGTTTATCATCCAGAAGGGACATTTCTGGTTTTTGAGTCACACCACATGTATCATTCTTGCTGTTCATAATATACTTCTTTAGAAGCTCAGGGAGACTGTCACTGTTTCCAGTAAGACATGCTTTTACAAATAGAAGATACCTTGAGGTGGGTGGAGAATCCAGCCCTCGCTGCAGCATTTTGCAGCTCTGCTTAGCAGCCTTCAGTATTTTTCTCTTCCAGCTTGGGTTGGCTTGGCTTCAGCCTGCAGCTGTTGGTTCATGTAGTGACTTAGTTCACTTATCTAAACAGTCCTTTTGTAGGTAATATTTTCTCTTATGAAATTGATTTTATTTCATATAATATTTTTTCCTGCCAAAATAGATGGAGCTCCTTAACTTTCTACTGCAATTCCTCTAATAGTTTTTGTACCATTTATTTACAACCTATGTAATTTTTCAACATTGTTCTAAAAATATTGAGGCAAGAATTTGTTATCTTTCTAATGTTTTTCTTGCTGAGAAGTGTCTTTGCAACTGATGCTTATAACTATTGGGTTTTTTTGCCATGACACAATTTTAAAGACATGACACTGATGTGCTCTCCCACTGTGATGACCACTGTATTTTCAGTTTTGATACTACAAGTACATAAAAGACATAGACTGCTTGGTGTTGAGAAGATGATGGCATTGGGAACCTCCCAGAATTTCTTCTAAACTCTTACATATCTGACTGAGATTGCAAGTAACTAGGCTGAAAACTCCAACGATCCCATGTCAGCCTATGACATCTGCTTGTGATGCCTTGGTACAGTCATCCTTTCTAAGACATTTTCCATCACTTTTCTTCCCTGTCTGTAGATGTGCAACTCTTCAAACAGCTCCCTTCACGTGCTGTTTGCTCTTGGGAGTGCCAAGAGGCTCAGCAATGGGCTCAGGTATTGCCAAATGTACCAATTTTCACTCTGTTCACCAGCCTTCTTGTTACTCTTTTACCTACTAAATTTATTGGTGTGATTTCATATCAACTTTCAATTTACTGATGATCTTCTTGCACAGTCCACAAATGAACTAATACGAATATTCCTATACAGTGTTCATATACTGTACTCCTATGTGGCAGCAGTCTTATTTCTAAATACTGAAGATTGTGTGTTGACTTTTTTCTTGCATTTTTTGTCTATTTGCTGTGTGTATCACTTATATTGAGCAGTGCCTCCTTCATGAGACGATAAGTTCAGTTTCACTAGTCTTCCTATTCCTGCTCTCTACTTTACTCTCTAATGCCTCAGTCTGCCTGTAGGACTCAGCACATACTTTACTTATAGCTGAATGCACTTCTTGTGAGTTTACACAGGTCAAGTTTGAAATGAATTCAGACAGATAATGCTGTTCCTCTTTCTTGTCTTGTCAGTCTTTGTGCTCCACATCCCTAAAAGCTTTTTGTTTTTTAGGACTTGGCAACTGTTACCATGGTGTTCTCAGGGATGTTTCTGAGGTCCAGCCTCTGGGTCTGTGTTAATGCAGAAGACTTTAGGCTCAAGAGCTTCTGGCTTGGTAGTTTTGTGGATACTGAATTAACTGACATTAAAGATAAAAATCAGTATTATAAATAAAGTAAAAATCAGGGGACACATATCACTGACTTCATTGTCTCTTTCACTGTCCTGAAAAAACCTGTGTTTCAGTCTCAGAGAGCTTGTATAGTTAATTTTGATCTTCCTTTGAAGGAATGATTTTTTTCCCCTTTTCCTTTTTTCCCCCTACTCCTCTAAGAACTAACTGTTAGCTGCTAATTAACCCCAGGCTGGGATACGATTTGGTGTGTGTCTGTACATGTGACAGCACGTCTGCTCCAGTGACACGCTGTGCAGCAGCTGGAACGTACGCCGTGATTTTTGCTCCATGATGTATTTCCAGGGGAGCTGCAGCCCAGCTTAGGGTGCAGCATCTGGCACATGTCACTCACCCGTCCTGACAGGCCAGAGGCATCACCTGTCTCTCCTCTACTGATGGCGGCAGATGAAGAGATCATTATGCAGGGCTGGAAGGGAAATCCAGAGCTGTCATGAGGGAATACATCCACACGCGTGAGAACACACTGAATGCATTGAATTTAGGGCTTGATTTTGTGACAGGAAAGTTCATGGAAGTTTTTTTCCCAAACTTTTTTGCCAAAGGAACAGACCCCAGTTTGCCCTCAGAGGCAGAGGCAGCAGCTTTTCTGATGCAGGTGCTTTGCCACATTCAGATCTGAGCTGAATCAGCGTGAACCTCTTTCCCCCTCTCAGCACTGCCCCACCAGAAAACAAATCTGGCTTGTTCTGAGATTCATTCATCAAGATATATATTTTTTGTATTTGTATATAATATCTACAACATTTTTTTTTTCTCAACTCAGAGCAGGAAGGTAAGTTCAGTGAAAATTTTCCTTAAAAATCACTTCCATGCACAAAATAGGGGAGACTTATGTTTTATTTTACTTTTTAAAAAATTATTTTCATGTGAAAGAAGAAAAAGGTTGTGCCTGCACTCTTTTGAGGTTTCTTAAGCACCAGCCCTATTAATACAGGCACTAAACTCCTGATGTAATTGTGATATATAGATCCCCTGCAATGTCCAGTCTCAGTGATTTTGATTGCACAGTCATATCTTTGCACATTTTGTTTTGAAAAAGAAAGTGGTTTTCTACAAAGGCTTTAATTCCTGTAAATGCTTTCGTTTTAGAAGCATCTTTCTTTCTACTCTTTTAGACAATATTTCAGACAGAGGGAGGTAGGTGGCAGAGGAAGACTGCAGCTTGAGAGAGTAAGTGGCTCGATGCAAGGAGCAACAAGAAAATCAGGTTTTCAGCAGAGCACAAACAGGTAAGGTATCTGTCTTTTAATGTATGTACAGACTTTAGCATACTGCCAGCAATATGAAACAGGGAGAGGAAAAGAAAAGCTCTCATTTACTTCTGTGATTAAGTCTTCCTCAAGTGGAAACTTCAATTGCTCAGGGTGGGCAATGTTATATCATAAAGAAGGGGCTCACTGCTTCGCTTCTGTTTTATTCAGTGTGTATTTGGCTAAGCTTTGAGAGAATGCCACTAGAAAATGGTAACAGACTATATTTTAAGCAACAACATTGGAAAATAAAATAAAAAGAAAATTCATAGCAAAATACTGGAGGTGGAGCCATGCTACAGGGAATTGTGTCCTCATTGCCTGGAATTGCCCCAAATAATGTAGCTCCTGGATTAAGTGTAAATAGGGGTGATTTTAGGGCCTGGAAAATATCCTGACTTTTTGAAACTGCACAGAGCCTACATTTAATTTTATTTTAATGGTTATATTTAATGGAGAACTTAGTCCTCACAGCTGCAAAATCCAACTCCATCTTCAGAAGTAAGCATGGAAAAACAAACCAGAAGGAGCGAGGAAAACAGTAAGAAAACAATGAACAAACATACTGACACTGCAAGTATGTAGTGTGTGAGGGATAAGGGGACAAAATAATATGCTATTTGATTTTCATAATATCTAGATATTGCAGTCCAGTCCACTGAAAAACAGTGTATACATAGTCATATTGTAGCTCAGATGGGAATTCTGACTTAGTTTTGTATTTGCATCTGCGTAAATGTACCTTTTTTAACATGGAAAGATAAGATATTGGTATGCAGATTATTTATTTGTAATAAATAGCAATGCTCCAGACTCTATTGAGGACATGTAGTTTGTGCCCCATGCCCATGCTTGCACACAAAATTATTAGAATAAGTATGAATTAAATTAAATCCCCCACCAGAAGCAGACCCTCAAAGGCAAATCATAATGCTCATATCAGGGCTCATGTGCCGGGATCTTCATGCAGGATGGTCCTACTTTTTAAAGAAGAATCTCTTCTCATGCTGAGGTGAGAACTGAACTGCCAAGAGTTTTACACATACATATGAATCAGTATCAGAATCTTACCTGGCACAGCAGGTAAGAGCCATGAGCTCAGAGAAAGTAAGCCATTCTTGTTTACCACCTCTGCTGAAGAAGGCTTGTGTGCATTAAAGAACTTTTTGTCTACTGAGTTAATAGATGGAGATACTATTCTAAAAAATAAGGTTTTTGAAATGCAGATCTAGTTTTTATAGCAAGGTGATGGAGTGCAATTTTCATTTCAGAAAGATAACCCAACTGAGGAAAACATTAAAAATTGCTTTTCAATTTTGGTTGAGGTTCTGTATATAGCTGGTAACAGCTAAGCACATGGTTTGGCATATACTTGGAGCTGCCACTTCACAAGAAATTAATAGACAGGACTCATTTAACCTCAGAATGTGGAATAATTTTTGAATGACATTTTCCAGAAATTGATACAGACAGTTCTCTGGTGAGATGGGAGCATGGTTTATTGTAAAGGAGAATATGAAAGCTGAAGAGCTGACCAAATGCAGAGGGCAAGAAGAAGGTAGCTCAAAGCTATTTCTGCATGCCTATCTGTTGAAACAATACAACTGCTACATTAAATTGGCTTGTCTACCATTAAGACATCAATTTTTGTTGTACTGTCTATTGCTCGTCACAGGGATAATTTTACCAGTCTGTGTGCCTCTTGTCGTGATTTGCTCCTTTACTTCCAACCTGGGAATAGGCTGGGACCTGGCTTTAGTGGTTTTGCTGTGCAGGGATGCTGCTGCCTACAGGAGCCCTTGTGCACCTTCCTGGGGAAGGCAGGTAGTTGATGAAGCAGCGGCTGAGGGTGATTTCCAGGGCAACAAGAAACACTCAAGAAAAAGCTGTTGGGGAAAGCCTGCCATCAGCTCCACTCTCCAGAGGAAGATCAGGGTACTCAGGACCCCTTACAGCTCTTTTCTCTCCCACGTGCAGTGTGTCTTGTCCCAGCCCCCTGCACGCCCAAGGACAGGAGCTTGTCTTTCAGCGTGTGGCTCCAGCCGGCACGTGCCAAACCATATTTCAGTCTCTCGCCTTCCAGCACCGAGCAAACTCCACAGTCCTCGCATTCCTGCCGCATGGGACACCCTGCTCCTCCTCTTCCCACATGGAGCACAGCTTGCTGCCATGCTCCATGGGAAACCACACACCCCTTATTGGGTGTTGTGCTCTTTCCCACGTGTGTGTTCTTATGGTGGTGGACAAATTTTATCATCCAGCAGAACGAACCAGGTGCCACGCTCCAACCACCTGCAAGTGCATTTACAGTGTTTGAAGCCAGTGTCAGAAAAGATGTCATATAACCTGTTTACTGCTATGTTCTCTCTTGCCCTGCAAGAGATAACATAGCAGAATGTTCTAAATTCTGTTCTAAATGTGCAGAATTAGATTAAATTTAGAATTCTGTTCTAAATATGCAGAATTATGGTTACACTGCTTCTTTTCTGCTTGCAGCCAGGTTGGGATGTGTGTTCTGCTCTTCACTGGAGCTTCAGAAGTTGGTTGCAAGTTCTGTCTCATGTTACTTTTGTGCATTGCCCTGACACAGTGACAAAAGTCAGTTGCCCCAGAGAAACAGAGTCCATCAGTTCATCAGTCCTCCAGTTTGCCCCACTCAGGGATCCTTTCAGCAGGATCCTAAAAGCAACTGTCTTGTGGCACCTTTCTGTATGCTCCTCTTACGTGAGAAAAGCAAGATGACTCCTACTCCATGAATTGTATGTGTTAATCTCCTAAATCAGTAATGCTGCCTCACAGCTTTTGCATAGATGAGAGAAAGCTGGCACAGGGGTAAAATGAATTTTCCAAAGGGTATTCAGGGCATCCTGACACTGCATGGTTTTATTCAACTAGCTTTACGTGCTTTAGCCAGAACTGGTTTTTTCTGCATCTCAGAGAACACATGCTAAAGTAGCGATTTCACACATACATGAAACATTAAGCAGAAAAAATTACCATCCTCACTGACTTAGTACAAAGGCAATTATCTCTTTACCAACATATTTATTTCTTCAGCTGTGTTCTTCTGTACTCACAATTTGTTCTAAAACACAAATCAGTTACAGGTTTCTTTATCAATAGAGTCAATATTTTTGCTTTTAAGAAAGAATAAAAAATATTTAAAGTATGTGTGAAAATACACCCAAAATATATAGTGTTTTTCACACTGAAGAGCTCCAAATGTTTTGAAAGGTGTCGTTTACGTGTGTGCTAGACTATTCCTACCAAGATCATTTATTCATTTAATATCTACCTACCTACCTACCAGCTTATTATACAAATTTCTCAAAATTATCAAATACCTAAGCAGAGACAATTTGAGAGGGATATCATGGAAAGAGAAGCTGAGCATCTAACATCTATAAGCCAAACCTTCAAATCTAAGGGATATGATTGGGAAACTTCTAAATCAAGGGCTGGAAAGAGCATTTTGTCTTTTGGAGGCGTTGGGTAGCCTGAAAGATAATTTGTAGCAGTTTCATGGACAAAATTCACCTTCAGTCTCTTAGAGGGCCTCATAATGTCTCCAGGTTGCTGTTGTCTTTTGTAGAAACACTTGATCAAAACCTAAGACACTAATTTCCCACAGCTCAATTGAGTTAATACTTTTCTCTAGTTTTTTAAAATTCATGTTCAAGAAGGACCGGAAATCTACTGTATTTGGAACTTTTGGAACACCCTTAAAAATGCCTATCACTTGTTAGTTAATATAAGTACTGTAACTGATCACCCTTTAGTTCTGTTGTATTTGATAGTTTTGACAGAAATTTCCCTGATGCTGTTGCTTTTTGGTGATGATCCTTCTGTCACAGGGAGGAACTTTCGGCTTATGTGTCCCTTCTCTGCCAGAGTCCTCCTTTCCACTCTTTTTGCTGGAGCCAGCTGGTGATCCCAGTGTGGTTCCTTCAGTTTCTGTGGTGAGACTTCACTCTGTGTGCGCCTTCAGCAGGTGTGCTTCACTCCTGCAGGCCCAGTTTGGATTTGGACATTTTCCTAGGAAGCTGCGCTCTCATCTCAGCCCTGCATAAGCAGCATTCCTGGTGTGGATGGCCAGCTGGCTGTTGCAACCTTTTTTCACACCATGCTATGTAAAACTACACAGGGCAGGTCTTGT